ATAACTCGAGATCTAAACAACTGCAAGGAATAACAGCAGCGGCCAGACAAATATATATACACATCAGATAAATCTATTTCCGTTTTTAGAAATGCGAATTCGCTTCTTTTCATTTCGATAGCGTGACCGGACCTCCACGCGCACACAGACACACAGACGCACACAGACACACGCACACACACGCACGCACACACACGCACGCACACACACGCGCACAGCAGATATACAGACACACACAGACACGTACACACAGATATACGAAAAAAAGATCCCCCGTATAGCCTTAATAGATTGTTGGGGCAAGTGCTGTTAGCGAGCACCTATGAAGGCCGGCACGGCACACGATGGGGTTGGTGGCCAGCACCACGCCCGGCCGCCTTTGTCTCCCCGGTGGCGATGTTTACACACCGCATACCAGATACTCATTTGAGGCTGAGTCGACCTAGGGGAGGCCCCAGACCGATTCAGATAATCGTCAGCGGTGTTGACCGTGAGCGGGAATCGAACTCGGGCCGCCAGGTTCGTAGCGCAACGCGTTAACCACCGCTCCACACACTACACACACACGCAGACACGCAGATATACAAAGACACACACGTCCACACACACGCAGATATACACACACACGCAGATATACACACACACGCAGATATACACACACGGAGATATACACATACACGCAGATATACACACAGACACACACGCACACACACACACAGATATACACACAGACACACACGCAGATATACAGACACACACGCCGATATACAAAGATACACACACACAGACACACACACGCACTCGTGTTATGCAGCTCGCGTCGCCCCTTGTTCTCGCTTGGCTGCCGAACACTGCGGCCGTGTTCCTTGAGGGTCCGGCTGGCCGCACGCGCTCAGAGGGAGAGGGGGGGGGGGGCGAGTGGCGTCGTCCTCTGAGTTCGCTCCGTGATGACGCCGCGTTCACAGCGAGTCCAGACTCGCCACGCCGCGGGGGGCCGGGGGGGGGGGGCTCTTCCCTTCCCCCCTCCAACTCCGCTTTCTATTCCCTCCTCATTCTACTCCTACTCGCATCTCGTCATCCTCCTTCGCCACACCATCCCTCCTCCTCCTGCTCTGCCAACTCTTTCATCCTCCACCTCCACCCCCTCTTCTACCTCCTCATCTGACGACTTCTCACTCCTCCTCCCACGATCTCCTCCTTCGCCACCTCTTCCTTCCCTCACCACCTCTTCTCATTCGCCACCTCTCTTCCTCATCCGAGACGATCCCAAGCCCTGCCTCCCCGACTCCTCGGCGCGGGAGTGCTTCACTCTCGCGGCGCCGCTCCGAACAAGTGGGGAAAGAGAGCGCAGGGAGAGCGTGCGCTTGCGGAGATGCTGTGGAGAGAGGGAGAGAGTTCGTGGAGAGTGCAGGGAGAGTGCAGGGAGAGAACTCCTGACTCCTCACTCTTCACTCTCCTGGTGTGCGCCGCGCTCCGCTGCCCACGAGTCGCGCCGCGCCCTGGCAACGTCCAACACCGAGGGGGGCTCCCGCAGGCACAGACAAAGCTCCCCGTGTAGCCTCGCACAGACGGACAGCGAGCTGCTATTAGGGCCAGGACGGCACACGATGGGTGGCGGTGGTGGCGGGGTGGTGCTGGACAACTGCCCGCTAAAGGCTATATGGGGAATCTTTGTCTTTGTTTTGTGTTTAGGATTTAAAATGCACCTAGCCTGGCACAAGCACCGTGGTGACGAAAGGCGATTGCCTGTTGTTGTGTGCGAGGATTGGTAGTGTGTTTGTGAGAATGTAACACTCAGTGGACAGTGATCGTGTAGGCAGTGTGTGTGTGTGAGAGAGTACAGGGAGAGTGTGGAGAGAGTGTGTTTGTAGAGAGTGTGAGGGTGTGTGAGAGTGTGAGAGTGTGAGGGTGTGTGTGAGAGTGTGAGGGTGTGTGAGAGTGTGAGGGTGTGAGAGTGTGTGTGAGTGTGTTAGAGTGTGTTAGAGTGTGGAGAGAGTGTGGAGAGAGTGTGGAGAGAGTGTGGAGAGAGTGTGGAGAGAGTGTGGAGAGAGTGTGGAGAGAGTGTGGAGAGAGTGTGGAGAGAGTGTGGAGAGAGTGTGGAGAGAGTGTGTTTGTAGAGAGTGTGAGGGTGTGTGAGAGTGTGAGGGTGTGTGTGAGAGTGTGAGGGTGTGTGTGAGAGTGTGAGGGTGTGTGAGAGTGTGATGGTGTGAGAGTGTGAGGGTGTGTGAGAGTGTGAGGGTGTGTGTGAGATTGTGAGGGTGTGTGAGAGTGTGAGGGTGTGAGAGTGTGGAGAGAGTGTGTCTGTAGAGAGTTTGTGTGTGTGAGAGAGAGTACAGGGAGAGTGTGGAGAGAGTGTGTTTGTAGAGAGAGCATTCGCTGAGAGTCCAGAGGACACTCGGTGGAGAGATAGTTCGACGAGAGAGAGTGGGGAAAGCGCGTGAGTGTAGGGGGGAGAGTGCAGTGAGACCATATAGGGGGAGTGTGGAGAGAGTACAGAGAGAGAGAGAGAGTGCAGGGAGAGAGTTGCAGGGAGAGTGGTCAGTGGAGCTCTACTATGGCGGGCTGAACCAGACATCGCTGGACACGTCGCCTCGTCTCAGCTGTTGTCAGCCACGCGAAACATTTTCGCGAAATAAATCTCCGCCAAATTGTCCCCGAGTTGTATCCCGCGCGTGGTCACGGCTCGAGGAGCCCACCCGGACATCCCGGGGAGTGAGCGAGCGCACGGCACCCGCCCCCTCCACCCCGAGCGCCGCGCGTCGCCAGGCCCCGCGGGCCCCGGCTGCGAGCCCGCCGCCTGCGTGCCGCGCGCTCACGTGGGGCGCATCGCGCTAACGGCCGGGATTGAGCCAAGTTTAAAAGCGCAGAGAGCAGCCTCATGTGCCGGGGTGTCTGCTCGTGCGTGCGAGTCAACGAGTGACCTTATCTCCCGGCGCGGCAGTGGGGGCGAATTTTTAAAATCCCTCCTATCCCACCACCGCCGCTTCTATCCACAAATGTAGACACGCCACAGTCAGTTGATCGGCAGGGCGCGTCTGGTGGCTTAAAGTGTGAGCACTCCCACCTCTTCCAACAACGCGTCTGGCCAGCGTGGGAAGAGTAGGCCAAACACCGTCTCGACGAGGGAGCTCTCCAGTGCCCCCCGCCCTCTAGCGGAGGCCTTCCCACCAGCAGTAGCGCGAGCAGGCGCTTGCAGGGCCGCGCCTGTACCCTGCTGAGACCTCGACGTGTATACAAACTCGTGCCCTTGACGTCGCGAGCCCAAAGTCGCTAATGCCGCCACTCCAGCGCACAGCGCCTCGTGCCGCCCGCGTGTTTGCAATCCGCGCCGTGGATTACAGAGATTTCCAGCAGCGCCAAGAGGTCGCCGATCTTAGCGCTCTGTTTGCACAGCACTTGTGGTACGTGGAGAGATGTCTCGCACCCCCTCTCTCCTCTGTCATCATCATCATCGCCCCCACCGCCCGTGTTGTCTTAGCTGGCGGATGCGACGCGTAAGGAACGGGGCTTAATTTATCGGCAAATATTTTACTGTGTACATGGAAGCGGGTGCGCACATTGAGTGGTGGCGGTAGCCACAGCGAGAGGCGTGATGGATGTGGTGCGCTGGGAGACTGGAGTGGACTGGGTGGCATGTGACTGGCGGTAGCTACAGGCGCAGCGATAAGTATTCTCGATGTTGTGCACCGGGTGGCGAAATATTTTTTTTGTCGTAGGTGGCACGTGGACGAGTAACAGTAGCGAGAGGTGTCCCCGATGCGGTGCGCCGATTGGGGAAATTTTGAGAGAGGTGAAGCCCTGCGTAGGAGGGAACCAAGGCAGGGGGGCGAATGAAGCTGCCCTCTCCTCCTCCACCTCTTCTCTATTTCTTTCTCCTCCCTCTCTGCCAGTGGCCGGGCGAGGTTGGCACTGGCCCTGGTGAAAACAATGAACCAGGGGTGCGGGGGGTGCCCTGTCCAACTTCTCCCTCTGCATCGCCCGGCGCCTCTACCGCTCTGGCCCGTGGGCCACGCCACAGTTACACTGCCTGCACACTCAGTTAGATATGCCATTCACTAAACCCTTGGGTAGCCTTCGTCTGGCTATGTGACCCTCTTGAATTAACACTGAACCCTTGGGTAGCCTTAGTCTGGCTCTATGAGCCACCGCGATGAACAATGAAACCGGTGGCATTGCTTGGTTTGCATGGGCCCAGTGCAATATTATTTTCTCCCTCCCTCCCCACTCTGTTATTTCTCCTCTCTCGTGCACCCTCGAGCCATGGGGAGCTCACCCAGCAGACAGCCTTGTAGGCGGGGTTAGTGGATCAGGCAGAGATGGAGCATCTCCGCTATAGTGCCTCCCTCCTGCCTCCCGTACAATGGCAATCCCTGCTGATACGCTGCCCGCTGTGGCCTGTGTCAGGGCCTCCTGGAATGCGCCACAGGCAACGCCTTGCCTCACGTATTCCCGACCAAACCCTGGCTCGAATCGTGATTGGTTGCTACGTCCTCGTGGTATAGCAGCGTTTCACTCGAGTTTCAAGTGGACTGTTTAAAGCAGGAGACAGCTCAGGAGACCAATCTGAGTCTCATTTGCAAGAGTGACCTGGGGCATTCGTCTGGCAGGATGGGGTGATGATTTCCGCTGCTGCTGCTGTGTGTGTGTGATATCCAAAAATCGAGTAGATTGCCGTATCATTTTCAAATTTGGCAAATTTGGACACTGACGCCGGACAAACAAACACCATGGCCTACTCTTGCGAATGACGCCACTGGATCTTGAACGTGTAGCGTGAGCGAAACAGGTGGCTGCGTATTTCCATCAGCCAATCCACCCGCGGCACTAACCGGGGCGGCCGCTGGATTTGAACCAGAGACCTCTCCCGATGATGGTTCTGCCCGTGAGAGTATCGGTGTAGAGACGTCCCCTGCTTGACCCCTGTGAGACCCCCTGTAAGACCCCCTGTGGGACTCCCTATGGGACCCCATGTGCGACCACTGCGGGGTTTGTTTTGGCAGAATCCGAGAGGTGGCCCCTGGCGACATCGCTGCCGTGGGGAGACGTGGACACGTGGAACAGCACGACCTCTGACCTTCAGCTTCTTGACCTCCTACACCAAACTCAACCCCAGCTCTGGGGGTCACCCAACAGCTTGGGGGATGAAGATGTTTTTGAGTGGGGTCCAACCATGACGATGTCACCATCACTTTCATCATCATCATCATCACTTGTAGCAGCAGCAGAAGATGCAGCAGTAATATCAGAAGCAGCAGGAACATTGACATTATCATTATCAGCAACATTATCATCAGCAGCAGTGGTGACAGCACCATCAGCAGAAGTGTTAACATCGTCATTACCATCATTGTCATCATGGACTCTGCTTCCATCATCGTCACCATTGCGGCTCGAGGGGGGTGCGACGCGCGTGGTGACTGAATCACAGGATCTCCCGTCATCTTCTCTTGTCTTCTCACCTCCTCATCACTCCTCACCACCTCCTCCAGAAGAGACCACGGCTGGCTCAGCTGCGTCCAGAGACATCGCGCCGTCCTTAACTCCCCTCGTCGCCTTCACCGCGTCCCGCTCGTCGGCTCTCTCCTCCCACCCCGAGCTCCCCACCTCCTCGTCGCCGCCACGTGGGTCCCCGTCCCTCGCGCTTCTCGTTTCCGATTTCCACGAGTCGGAATCTTTTACGGAAGAGACTCCGTCTTCGCACCGCACGTCCTCGGATCTCTTCCCTTTGGCGGCATCAGAAGGAGGAGGAGCTCTTTCCGGGTCCTCCGAGCTCCGCTCTTCGCTTGCGATCGCAGCAGATCTCGCAGCTCCACGGCGGAACTCGGAGCCCGCCATCTCTTCTCTGGCGGAGTCGAGCGCTGCGCTGTTGGGAACGGATCTCGCGGAGAGAGTGGCGACGGGACGCGGCCTGATCCCCGCGAGCTCCTTCGCCGCCCCCGCCCAACCGTCGCCTGCGTCCACTATCGGGCGAACACCGCGCGAGGGCATCCCTGCATCGTCTTTAGCATCATTGTCGTCGTCATCATTGCCTCACCCGAGCAGAGACATCCTCCCCACGTCCGCCGATATCTCGACATCGCAAGGTCCCCTGCGTTCATCCCGGCCGCCTCTCCTCTCCTCGATGCCTGGGGACTCCGAACTCTTCTCCTCCACTGCCTCCTCGTCCTCGCCATCATCCCCGCCCGAGCTGTCTCCCTCGGTGGAGATTGCAGCCCAAGTCTCTGGGACTCCTCTCTCGGTGACGCGGACTCCGGCGCTTCCTGCAAATGCAGGGGCGGCGGTGAGCGGCTCCGTGGGGAGCGACGCTGACCTCCTGGCGTCACGGCGATCCCCGTCGCTCGCGACCGGCATGGAAGCCACCGCATTCGTCTCGTCCTCCGCTCCATCCATGTCGTTCGCGAGCGCCATCGGTTCCTCCGGCCGAGGCCCCCGGGGTACGGTGACCACGCAACCCATGAGCTCGGCCGCGCGGATCGAGGCGCCGCCGCTCTCATCTCAAGCACCGTCACCCGTGGCGGAGGAGAGCGCCGCTCTGAGCCCAGTGCCAAAGTCGACGCGGGTGACGACAACGTCGTCGATGGTGATGATGACGACGACCACGATGATGATGATGTTGACGGGGGCGGCTTCGTCGTCGGTCGGGGCGACCCCTTCTCCCGTCCTCTCAGAGCCGAGCGATTCTTCTCAGCTGCCAGATATTTTCGGAGAGATTGATGGCAGCGGCCTCGCGTCATCGCTTACCTCCTCCTCATCTTTCTCCTCCTCGTTCTTCTTTTTATCATCTTTGCCATCTCCATCGTCGCTGTCACCATCACCATCATCGTCGATCCTCCTTCAGCAGGACCTGCCGTTTGCCTCGCCGCCGCCGCTCACCTCGCCCGTCGCGTCCACGTCGATCATCGTCAACCGAGGACCACCTCTATCGTCCATCTCCACCTCCTCCTCCACATCTTCGTTCTTCTCATCATCGTCATCAACATCTTCGTCGTTGCTGCCATCGTCTGGCCTCGTCGCCTCCAGCTCCTCTGTGCCTTTCCCCACGCCCCGGGCCTCCGTGACCACAGCTCTACCGGCCACAGAGGCCTCCTCCCTCCCAGCCAGGGGCACCGCGGCCTCCGCTACGATTGGACCCACGGCCTCGTCGCCGCCACCACCACTGCCGTCAACAATGACGCCGACCTTGACATTCGCCCCCGCGATGACCACCGCAGAGTTCGTGACCTCAGGGCCATTGGGGCCCACGGTGCCCACAACCACCCTGATACCCACCCCAACCTCAATGATGTCATTGGTGCCAGCGACCAACCTGATACCCACCCCCACACCAATGATGTCATCGGTGCCCGGGACCACTCTAATACCCACCCCGACACCAATGATGTCATCGGTGTCCGCGACCACCCCGACACCCACCTCGACCTCAATGATGTCATCGGTGCCCGTGACCAACCTGATACCCACCCCCACACCAATGATGTCATCGGTGCCCGGGACCACCCTGATACCCACCCCGACACTAATGATGTCATCGGTGCCCGCGACCACCCCGACACCCACCTCGCCCTCAATGATGTCATCGGTGCCCGGAACCACCCTGATACCCACCCCGACACTAATGATGTCATCGGTGTCCGCGACCACCCTGACACCCACCTCGACTTCAATGATGTCATCGGTGTCCGCGACTACCCTGATACCCACCCCGACACCAATGATGTCATCGGTGTCCGCGACCACCCTGACACCCACCTCGACTTCAATGATGTCATCGGTGTCCGCGACCACCCTGATACCCACCCCGACACCAATGATGTCATCGGTGTCCGCGACCTCCCTGATACCCACCCCGACACCAATGATGTCATCGGTGTCCGCGACCACCCTGATACCCACCCCGACACCAATGATGTCATCGGTGTCCGCGACCTCCCTGACACCCACCCCGATGCCAACGGCACCAGCGGTGCCCACGTCCACCCTGACCCCAACGGTGCCCACGGACCCTCCAGGAACCCTGAACTGCAACGTGACGGAAGCGCTGTGGGTTACCACGGGTGAGCCACCTCCACAAACACCGCCACCACCCCCCCATGGAGCCAACATCATCATGATCAAATTCAGCATCCTCATCAGCCATGATCAATCCACTGCTGGATGCAGGCCTGGTCGTGCCTTCTACATGCTACTGAGGCAGGGCGTATCTCTGTGGGTGGCCCTGAGCCAGCGGTGGAAATTCCACAGTCCTTTGGCAGGGCCCAGTGTAATTCTCACAACAAGTTAGGTATGTGTTTGAAAGAGCGACCATCTTAAATGGCATTGTTTAATTGTGTATACAGTAGAACCCCTCTTAACGACGGTAATTGGTTCCACGAAACCGGTCGTTAAGTGATTTGGTCGGTAAGCGAGTATAGGAAATACACGTTAAAGGCTTAATTCGTTCCGATAGCATTTAATGTAAACAATGTCCCAACGCTCATGCATGGAGGTTGCTGATTGGCCGAAGCCTGGTCAGACCACTTTGGAGTTCGTATGATTGGCCAAAATTGGCGGTTGCGTGCTCTTCATAAGCCCGTCGTTAACAGGAGAATGGTCGGTAAACGACCACATTGGGCTCTGTGGAGGCCCGTCGTTAAGCGATTAGTCGTTAACGGGTTAATGGACGTTCTGCTGAAATTGTGTGTCCACGTGCAGCAACGTCTTCACTCGGCCCATTGACTAAACAACCCCCCCAACTCACCTCCCACTCCCCCGCCCCCCATCCTGCCCCTCCCCTCACCCACTGCCCTCACCGAGCAGGGGTCACGGTGTCTGCCGGTACGGACCCCTTGAGCCGCGGGTTTCGGGATGGGGTGGCGGACGGGCTGGCGAGGGCTGTGCGGGGGGCTCTGGGTGAGGGGGGTGCGGTGGTGCAGGTGAGTTTGGGGGGTGTCGGATTTCCACGTGACTTTTTTTATTCTGCACATACGCACGCAATTATTTATTCTACCACTTTTTTTTACGATTTAAGAGAACGGGTAAAACTGTACGTCCCTCCGACAAATGCATTCTGCTTGCGAACGGCGTAACCATGTAAATGTTCTTTGTGCGGATGTTTGCATTTGGAGGCTTCTCCCCCTCAATTATTTTATGATTCGTTTTTTTATATAAATAATAACGTTCATGCAAATTGCATCTCACAACCGCTGAGTCAGAACCACAGACCAAGCTGGAAGGCTGCCAGGTGGAGATCCGGCGCTACCAACACTTACTCATATTAAGATGTTTTCAGCCAATTCTGCATATATGTACGTTGAATGTCTTTCGCGCCGTCCGTATCCAGCTAATCGGAGGGATCACCCCCTCCCCAACCCCCCTGCCCCCCTCCTTTGCCCGTCGCTCAGGTGGAAGCCATCCTCAAGGCCTCCTCCCGCGGTGCCGACGTGTGGGACGTGTCCTACGTCACGGTCGTGGGGAGCCAGGCGCTCACGGCGTGGGCCGTGTCGGGCTCGCTGGCTCGCTACGGCTCCATGCGCGTCGCCTGGGAGCTCAAGAGCCACGGGGTCACGGGGGTGACGGACCCCCCCGGCTACCCGCACCTGTCCTACCCGACGCTCTTTCAGGTCACGACAGGTGAGCGACGGGGAAGGGTCGCCGCCGCCGCCACCTCCGAGGTGCGATGCGTCACGGCGGACGCGTCGTGGGCCCAAGAGGGATATCTCGCGATGCCAGTAGAGGGGAGGACGGCACAACGCCGCATCGTCGTCTGGAGCTTTGTCCCTCCTGTTGTGACGCTACTGGGAGATCCAGGACGTTAAACAACTTTTGCGACCGGAGAATACGAAGATGAACGGCCCAGGCCAGGGCTGAGATCATCGCCAGTAGACAAGAAGTGGCGCGTCACTGGTGCTAGCCGCGGTCATAGTGAGACGGATACTGGATGTGGTGTGCCGGGCGCGTAAATATATTTGTGGTTGCCAAACATGACCGGTAAAGGACAAAGGCGCAGCCCTGCAATTGCCTGCTCCTGCCACTGCTGGCAAGAGTGGATAGACCCTCCCTCCCCCCACCCCCCGGCCGCTATACAAATGTAGAATTGCCACCACCACTGGCCCAGTGCCCCTCCCATGTCTGGGCACTGCGTCGCTCACCGCTCACTGCGTCTCCGGTGTCTCCGCATGTTTCACCGCCCAGCGCTGGCGTTGGTGAAAGACGACATCCGCTTTTGCGGCTTCGTCCAGGCGCTGGAGGTCCGTCTGGCGAGGGCCTTCGCCGCCGCTTGGGCCCTCCGCGACCCGGCCCCCTCCCCCTCGACTCCCACTCCCACCCTCGCCCCGGGGATCGTCACGGCACAGGTTTGTGAGACAGCACTCGCTCCTCCTCATCGCGGCCGCCATCGCAAAGGGCGCGTTGTCGAGTTCAATCGGCGTCGTTCCGCGGGCCGTGTCACTGGGGTTTCAACTCGGTGTCACCGTGGCGGGTCGGCACGTTCGTGCGTATTGATCGTCGGCTCGAGTTGGGCCGTGAATTTTTAATTTGGACGCGGCCTGAATTCCCGGCGGCCGGTCTCGCTTGACGGCGCGGTCTGTATTCCCTCTTCGTCACAATTTGGCCGACGCGAAGTGACGCCACCAATGAAAGGTGTCGTAGGCGGTGGCGATGCTGACTCTTGGCTTTTGGGTTTTGTCAGCAATGCGGATCTTGATCCTTTGACCCTGGGAAAGTCTCGATCGGAAGTATTTCTGCCCAATTTGCATAACTTTGGAAACGACACTTCACATATGAATAACCAACTCAAGCTGCCCTTCAACGCACACTGTGGGTGACGGAGCGACGCGATCGGCTGGTGCGCACGAGCGAGTTGGACCGCGGCATCGCAACAACCACGAGGCAGGGCGAGTGCACGGGGACTGAGCACGGCTCGTGTCGACGATGCACGTGGCACGTTCTGGACAGCGGGCTTCACCGTGCGCCGCAGACGTAGCCCACGTGGGGGCTGTCGGTAGGGCAGGCCAAGGCGCCGCTGTACGAATCGAGCGATGCACGGCGAACACCGTCGCCCGCCTCCCTCCATCCCTCGCCGCAGTGACCTGCGGGTCGCAATTACGTAAATAATTAATGAGACGGCTTGCCCCCAGCACGCCACGGCGTGAAGCCCGCGTGCTCGCTTGCCGGCAGCGCCCGTCTCGCCGCAGCCGCCCCCGCGCGGAGGCGGCGACGGCGTTCGTCCGGGGCAGGGGTACCTTGCCGTGTCACAAGGCTTCTCAGTGCGACGCACCCTCCCCCCAAGGCCCCGCACCCCCCCACCCAAGGACCCGCACCCCCTCCGCTACTCCCCCCGAGGGACTCGTTGTCGCGAGATTCCTCAACGGGCATCTCCCGTGTCGCCGCCGACCTCTCGTCATCCCTCACGTCCGACGGGACGAGGGGCACGCGGACCGCAGGACGTGCGCGGGTCAGCGGAGGCGGAGCGATGGACTCGGCTCGTGTGTGAGACTGCGAGGGAAACCCTACGGAGAGAGCACCACGGTCGCGTTGAGGACGACGACGACGGTGTCTCACCTCCTCCCCCCCCCCCCCGCCCCCGCGGGTGAAGGTGCTGAGCGCGGAGCGCGTGCCCCCCCTCTCGCTGGACGTGACGCTCACGTACGTGGTGGCGGTGGCGGGGCGGGAGGGCGCTCCCCTCAACGGATCGGAGGCGGCGGAGGTGATCCGTCTCCTCCCGGCGGCGCTGCTGGGATTCTACCTGGGATACCCGCCAACCACCCTTGCTGAGCGTACAGCACTCACCCACTCACTCACTCACACACTCACACACTCACACACTCACACACTCGCTCACTCACAGACTCACTCACTCACACACTCACACACTCACTTACTCACACACTCACTCACTCACACACTCACTCACTCACACATTCACTCACACACTCACTCACACACTCACTCACACACACGCACACACTGGCAAAGCTTGCAAAGCTTGCCCAGATAGCCTTCAACACGCCGTTGGGACAAGGCCGGCACGGCGCATGAGTGGGTGGTGTGGACCGTCACGACGCCCGGCCGCCTTTGTCTCCCCAATGACGATGTTCACACTTCACCTCGGAGAAGCCCAGGACAGGTTCAGATATTCTTCACTGTTATTGGCCGTGAGCGGGTATCGAATTGGGGTGGCCGGATTCGTAGCATAGCGCACGAAACCCATAACACTACCGCTGCCAACACTTGTATGTATAAACACCTACACGCGCACACACGAGTGTATGTATTCATGCAAGACAGGAAAGCAATGACACCTTATATCTGGCTCTACTTAACAAAAAACAATTCTTCTACAACCCATCAGCCGCACGGCCTTTTGGGAGTGATTCATTTCAGCAGCATTGATTCAGCTAGCGTAAGGGTTGCTCCCCAAATGACACCCTCACACGGAGTTACACTCACAGCCACGGTCACTCACTCACCCACCCACACACTCACCCACTCACCCACTCACCCACTCACCCACTCACCCAATTCGTTTGCTCACCCGCTCTCCCATTCATTCCCACGGGGGCACACACAATTGCGCACTGGCAGCTGAATCACAGCCAGGGATATGCGCGACAAAAAATCTGCAACCGCGATTTAAATTCCTTCTCAAACCTCTCCTGCTGCTGCTGCTGCCACGCTTCAGTCACCATCAAGGCCACGTGTCTCGCCTCGCCAGCTTCCACCACCGCCACCATCACCACCACCAACGCCACCACCATCACCACCAACGCCACCACCATCACCACCGCCACCACCACCACCGCCACCACCGCCAAAGCCACCAACACCACCGCCACCACCGCCAAAGCCACCAACACCACTGCCTGGTTAGCGTGTAATCAGCTTAGGCTCCAAGCCGAGCTTTATTTCACAGGAGCCGAGGCAGTGAAGATCGCCCTTAAAGCCCAGGCAGGTGTCTCTTCCCCCCACCCCCTCCCCACCATCCTGAAGCCCCCCCCACCTGCACCCCATGCCCCCCCATGCTGATTAAGCTTCGACCCCCCTCTACCCCCTCCTCGCCCCCCCCCCTTTTAAGAGGCTCCCGGGTCAACTCGCCAACGCATTGAGAAGCCGCGGTGGAGGCACGGCGAGCGCTGCACGCGTGCGTTCATTGCATCACGGACTTACGGACACACGGACGCACGCAACGACACAGACACACGGACGCACGCACCGACACAGACACACGGACGTGCGCATGCACGCACGGACGGACGCACGTGCAGACACACTCGTAAGACGTTTCCCATTCATGTTCGTCGCCTCTGTGTCTCCTCCCCCGCCCTGCGTAGCCGTCGAGTACCCCATCCTGGACACGTCTGCCAGGACCCGGCAGCTCTGGGTACTGACAGGTATGGGGCCCCTCCCCCCTTGCTCGCCACTGCTGCCGGATCACTGCCCCCAGCCTTGACCCCCCCACACCCCCACACCCCCACACCCCCACATGCCCACCCTGGTCTACAGATCCGCAATCCCCCAGGATGTGAGACCCATTTGTCCCGAACCAGAATGAAGCTTCCTGAAAGAGCAAAACCACAGTGAGTGACATCACTGCTGAATCCACTCCGGTGCTTTCAAAAGCCACTCCACTGCAGTGATGTCACTGAATGCTCTTTGTGTTTCGGTTCCAAATGGGAAGTTAATCAGTCTCTAAACCCCATGCCAGCCACTAATTAAACATTCACACGCACACTCACTCTCAAAGCCCCAGACAGACAGAGCTCTTGCCGTGTCGCTCCACACCCGAGCTGCCTTCACCCACGAGAAGATTGAAACTTTAAAGTCTCCTTACTGAGAAAACAGACGTCAGCTGGACGCTTGGGCTGCTATAGCCCTCGAGTGAGGCCAGCCTGGCGCGGTCTCACACGCGTGTGCAGTGAGGCCAGCCTGGGGTGAGGTCGGAGCGTCCCGGTTGTGATTTTTTTTTGGTTTCTCGTTCAGGAAAGTTTCAAGCATCTCGTTTCGGACGGCCCCGGGCGCACGACGCAGTCTGCATTGGTTATTACATTTTTCAAAACACATCAGCAAACGTCCGTTTATTTTCCGTGCCGCGACTTCATCGCTCAAATCATAAATTCTTCACGAGCTTTTCCGAGACGCCGTCTAAAGAGCCGGTCCGTAATGCACCTTGCATTATCTGAGTGCCCCGGGGATGATGATGACGATGATGGTGGTGGAAGTGGTGGTGATGGTGGCGACGGTGGTGTTTATATCCTCCTTAATGCGCCCTCTTTCCGCTTTATATAAAGTCGGTGCACGGAGACTATTTTCGGCACGGCGCTTATTGCTCAATAACCCGTCTGTGTGCCGCGCACCGCACGCCCGTAACGAGGTTACTCTGACAATCGATGCCAAGTCGCGCCGCCCATAATGAAGGTTTATTGGCGAGTCAGCAACATGATGTACGATCCGCAATAACAGACGGACGGGGGTGAAGGCGCAGCGCTGCAACAGCTCGCTCACGCCTCCACTCGCGGGAGCTCCGCGGGAGCCCTTCCCGCGGGAATTTGAACGACTCCTCCACGCAGAGCAGACGCCTTGGAGAAGAGATGCGTGCCGACACTTCACCCCACCACGCGGCGTGACCTGCCCATCTTGGGCTAACGGTCGTGGGGAACCCATTTATGCCGCTGGGTGGATGGAAGCAGCGAGGGCGACTTCAGAAACTTGCACCGTTGGTCCAACTGCCGCGGCGGGAGATTGAACCTTTGACCTCTGCGCTCCCTCAGCAAGTCTATCTTGTCACTGAATATTTTCCGGGTCGTTGGTAGAGCGCAGTAGGTGACGTGCGCGTAACAGGCGCGGCCGTGGCGAGGGGTATACTGGATGTGGTGTGCCAGGTGCGACAGGTGGCACGTGGTGGGGTAAAGTGTGGAGACTCAAAGATGCCTGGTCAGTAGAAGAGTAGGCCAAACATGCCATCCAGAGGGCCTCTCTGAGCTCCTTTCCACTGGCAGTGACAGGGCGGCACCGCAACCCCCTGCGAACCCAGAAAATATTTCCACACCCGGCACACAACACCCATCATGCCCCTCGCTGTGGCCACGGCTACTACCAGCGACCCGGGGCCACGACGTGCGAGGGCGCTGCGTCACGGTGCAAGGGTCGCGCTGTCTGTCCCCCCCCCCATCCCGTGTCGCCGCCAGTGCTGCTGGACGTGACGGACGCGACGCTGCGCGACGCGCGAGGCTTCGCGGCCGACATGGAGCGCCGCCTCGCATCGCTCTACGCCCGGGCGGAGCGCGACGCGGCGCCGTCGTCACGGAGGACGCGGCGTGCCGCCACCAACGGGCGGTTCACCGTACAGGCGCGACACCCACCGAGCGCACGCCCTCCACCCCCCCCCGATCCTGATCCCTGACCCCCCCATAACCCCGACTCCTTGAACCCGCCTGCTGACCAACCCTCGGCTAAATCCCCACTCCTGATTCCGGGTCCGTATCGAGCAGCAGCAGAAGTGGCTGCCTCCTCCTCCCGCTACACCCGTGGATCATTTAATAATTCTCCCGCAGCGCGACTGCGGTCACCAATCGCAAACCACGAACCGCACAGCGCCACCCCTGCCCACTTCCATCAGTCGCTGGCAGCGGCGCGTCAGATATTCACCGCGAGACTACTCCTGGAGCCCTCCCCTGCTGACTCACTCACCCACCGGCAAACACCGCAAACGCCGCTAGTGCCACTAATACCGCTAGTGCCACTAGCACCACTAGCACCGCCAACACCGCCAACAGCACTAACAGCACTAACACCGCTCGCTTGCGTGCGGCGCTGCGACCGAACCGCCGCCTCCTTTCTGTGTGCTCTGGGAGCAGGTGGTGAACGCCAGCCGGGGCGCGGGCGGCGGCGAGCGCGCCGACGTGGTGCACTACGCGCGGCTCGACGGGCGCGACCTCCCCGCCCTGGACGCCGTGGCGCTGCTGGCGTCCGTGAGCCAGCAGACGGCGGCGCTGGCGCTGGGCCGCCGCGTCCTCTCGCTCGCCACGCGTACGTGACGCGCGGCGCTCTAACCACGCGGCCGTGACACGCGGCGCTCTAACCCCGCGGTCGCGTGCGGCTACCGCGAGGTCGGTCGGCGTCGTGCGGGGACGACGCTCGCGGCCGAGCGGCGCGGGGCGGGGACGCGAGTCCGGTCGAGGCTCACGACGGAACGGCGCCCGAAGAGAGAGAACGCGGCGCGAGAGAAGACGTCCACGGCGCAGACGGAGCGATGCGGTCGGCTCGCTGCGACGGCGCTGGACGGATTTATGCGTTGCTGGGGAGCGGCAGCGTAGCGGTTAGCTCGTGCGCAGCGCTCCGAACCCGATGAGACCCCAGTTCTTGTTCATGGCCACCACCAGTGATGATTATCTGAACCGGTCTTGGCCCTCCTCGAGATCGACTTAGCCTCAAATGAGTACCTGGGTTGGTGTGTAAACATCATCATTGGGGATTGCCCACCCTCCCCCATCGTGTTCTGTGCCGGCCTTCATCGGTGCTGCTGGCTAGCAGCTCTTGCTCCAACAGCCCGTTAAGGCTGCACGGGGGACGGTCGTTTCTATCTTTAAGTCAGGCAAACGTATTTGGTAGTAAAACAATTGCCCCCCGTGCTATATGTTGATTTGTGGGTAAACCTCTACGCACCACCGCTGGGAACGCACCACCACAGAGAGGCGTGCGGTGTACCTCACCCGGTGTCCACCCCTCTTCCCATCAGCGGTGATGCAGGTGATGTCCCCGAGCCAAGCGCCCGTGGGGGGCGCGGGAAACCTGTGGATCATCGCGGCCGTGGTGGTGCCCGCGGCGCTGGCGCTGGCGCTCTCCTCGGTGCTCTACTGGAAGCTGTGCCGCTCCAACCGCATGGACTTCAAGGCCGACACCATGAGCCGCATCCACAGGGCAAAGGTCAGCCGAGGGCGGCGCCGCCACCCCCCGCCGCGCTCACAGCGCCGCCGCGTGGGCGGCACGGCCCCCCCTCCCCCCTCCCGTCCCGTCTCCCCCTACGGCTCTTTCCGTGGCCCTGGCGCCTGGACCCCTCCGGGACCCGGTGCAGTTGCACCGCCTGCACGCGACTCGATAGCTGGGTCACTTCCCCTCGCGTGCCCAGTACCGACCACTCCACGGCAGTAGCCACTGGCGAAGGTTTGGGTGGCACCCCCCCCCCCCCCCCCCACGGTTCGAAGCCGTCTCGCGTCCCCGTCCCCTCGGCTCCAGCTCCTCCGCGTTGTTTTACCCGAGCCAACATCTTGGGAGGCCTGGCGACTGATGATGATGCTATTGTTGTTGCTGCTGATGATGATAGGATGTTCGTGATGATGATACTGTTGCTGCTGCTGATTATCATCATGATCACCATGATGATGGCGCGAATGATGGTGATGATCGTGATGCGTTGCTACTGATGATGCTGTTGCTGATGACTGTCGCGGGTGTGGCTGTGATCACGGTCGCCGTTGCTTCTTCCACTGCTGCACAGAGCAGCGTCTCCCTGGACCAGGGGGAGGGGGAGGCTGACCCCTCAAGGTCAGAGGTCGAGGTAACAACTTGTAGACGCTGATGGATCCTTCTCCTCCTCTCTTGTTAACCCCTTCACTGAAATCCCTTGCCTGCCTCGCCGACACGATACCCATCAAGTCAATTAGTCAGGTGCCAATTGGTTATTCTGTGCACACACTGGACACTGCCATACCACTGTGGAATTTTCACCACTGGCTTGGGGCTTACACAGGAGACGAGGGCCGCCCCGTCGCTCATTTGACCCGGACGATTGTTTGATTTTAATTATTATAATTCATTATTATAATTAATTATGATATTAATGGATGAATCTGACCAAATCACCCGATCGCATCGGAAGCTGAGCAGCGTTGAGCCTGGACAGCGTTTGGATGGGCGACCAGTGCGCACAAACAGGTTACTATTGGCTGATGCCAGGCCACGTGGTGGGCAGCAGAGGGCGGCGCGGCAAAACCTGCTGTTGCACTGCACTTCTACGCTCCCACGGCTTTGCTGCCCTCCGTCACCAAACACCGCGCGGTGACCGCGGCGGCGATGGACAATCAAATGACCCCGGAGGGAGTGGGGAGGCCCTCGTCCAGCAGCGGGCCGACGAAAGCGCCGTACGCACGAGAGCGCGAGCGCACGAGAGCACGAGCGCACGAGCGCACGAGAGCACGAGCGCACGAGCGCACGAGAGCACGAGCGCACGAGAGCGCTCGCTCAGTCGATGGCCACGAGACCGGGAGGGCGACGGCGCTTGGCGAGCAGTGGAACGGTTACAGCTGCCGCCTAGACGCGGCACCTCGCCGTCGCCAATGTACACATTGCGTACCTGGTGTGTACACCGCGTGTACCTTGTGTACACGTTGTGTACACGTTGTGTACAAGCTACACTCGATGTACAACGTGCAATTAGTTGAGGTGCAATCTGCGTTGATGGACAATTCGCGTGTGTTGGGTAGAATTAGCACAAAATGTAGAATTAGTGTCTCGTTGTCATTTTAGCGTGTACTGTGCAATCAGTCTGGTGGTGCACTGTGTAATCAGTCTGATAGTGCAGTGTGCAATCAGTCTGATGGTACACTGTGCAATCAGTCTGATGGTGCACTGTGCAATCAGTCTGATGGTGCACTGTGCAATCAGTCTGATGGTACACTGCGCAATCAGTCTGATGGTGCACTGTGCAATCAGTCTGATGGTACACTGTGCAATCAGTCTGATGGTACACTGTGCAATCAGACTGATGATGCACTGTGCAATCAGTCTAATGGTACACTGTGCAATCAGTCTGGTGGTGCACTGTGCAATCAGTCTGATGTTACACTGTGCAATCAGTCTGATGGTATACTGTGCAATCAGTCTGATGGTACACTGTGCAATCAGTCTGATGGTACACTGTGCAATCAGTCTGATGGTGCACTGTGCAATCAGTCTGATGGTACACTGTGCAATCAGTCTGATGGTGCACTGTGCAATCAGTCTGATGGTACACTGTGCAATCAGTCTGATGGTACACTGTGCAATCAGTCTGATGGTACACTGCGCAATCAGTCTGATGGTACACTGTGCAATCAGTCTGATGGTACACTGTGCAATCAGTCTGATGGTGCACTGTGCAATCAGTCTCATGGTACACTGTGCAATCAGTCTGGTGGTACACTGTGCAATCAGTCTGATGGTACACTGTGCAATCAGTCTGATGGTACACTGCGCAATCAGTCTGATGGTACACTGTGCAATCAGTCTGATGGTACACTGTGCAATCAGTCTGATGGTACACTGTGCAATCAGTCTGATGGTACACTGTGCAATCAGTCTGATGGTACACTGCGCAATCAGTCTGATGGTACACTGCGCAATCAGTCTGATGGTGCACTGCGCAATCAGTCTGATGGTACACTGTGCAATCAGTCTGATGGTACACTGTGCAATCAGTCTGATGGTACACTGCGCAATCAGTCTGATGGTGCACTGTGCAATCAGTCTGATGGTACACTGCGCAATCAGTCTGATGGTGCACTGTGCAATCAGTCTGATGGTACACTGCGCAATCAGTCTGATGGTACACTGTGCAATCAGTCTGATGGTACACTGCGCAATCAGTCTGATGGTGCACTGTGCAATCAGTCTGATGGTACACTGTGCAATCAGTCTGATGGTACACTGTGCAATCAGTCTGATGGTACACTGCGCAATCAGTCTGGTGGTACACTGTGCAATCAGTGACCGATAAGAGTGCAATTTGCCATGAGTGTGTACAGTCATCTTAAAATAAGTAATTGGTGTACCATGGTTTTTACGTATAATACACAATTAGCATGCAATGTGTAAATTGATGCATTATGTACATTCGCATACAATGTACAATTAGTGATATTTATGTACTTAGCATACAATCGTGAACAATGCACTGTTGGAGTACAATGTGCATATTTACTATACTAATCATAATAATTGAATATTAATAATTGAGTAGACGTGATCCTGGCGCGGGACGATGATGGTGCAGGAAGGCGCCGCTGTGCCTCAGATGCAGCCCCGCTGCCGCTGCTGCTGCTGTGGTGGAGGTGGTGGTAGTGGTCGTAGTGGTGGCGGTCGTGGTGGTGGTCGTGGTGGTGGTGGTGGCGGTCGTGGTGGTGGTGGCGGCGGTGGTTTCACAGCAGGGGGCAACGATCGCTGCTGCTGCAGTGCGATTCCAATTGAGTAATTTTTCAAATTTGGTAAAACTCGGACCGCAACGCCGGCACGCGATGCCCCACCACCGTCCGACCACGTCGCCGGATCTTTAACAAATACCACAGCGCAGCGTTAGCCGGGCCGGCCCGCCGGATCGAACCGCGAGCCTCCCCGCGACGAGCGGCGAACCCCCGACTTACTCGCGACGATCGGCGCGCGCGACAGAGCGTGCAGGGCTTCGACTACGCCAAGAAGACCATCGGCTCGGACCTGCGCATAGACCAGGAGGTCGCGACCCCCGTGAAGGTCATGGCCGGGGTGTCACGCTCGCCCTCGGTCGCCAAGGAGACGCCCTCGTCGCGCAGCCACACGCCCCAGCGGAACAAGCTGCGTGGCAAGAACGGCCGGTAACCGCGGCAACGGCGGCACCAGCACGGCTCGGCGTGGAGTGCCATAAAAACCCGTAAACTCTCCGGCCCGGTGACAAAATTAAGCGAATTCTTTGCCGATACTGCCGCGTTGTTAGCGGTGCCCCCATCAAAAACGGCGTGGCCTTGAAGAGGGCGAGTTCATAACAGGCGACGTTTCGGGCAACGGTCCTTCTTCACAGCACCACACGGAGAGAGGCCAGTGCGACATCACCCCCATGTAGGCCACATTGCCCAGCACGACGTCACGCCCGTACGGACCAGCGCCGTCGTGCTAACTAACTACACGGAGGGGTGGTGGGGGGCCTTTGTCTTTGTGGCGTTGTTCACGTGGTCTGGTCAGGAGTGACGTCTCGCTAAATCGCCTTCAATACGGCCTGAAAACACTTGGCACAGCCCAGTGGCACAACCACGAGAACCCACGCCGTGATAAACACCTCCCTGCTTGGCGCTTTGGGCCTTTGGCGCACTGAGCTCGGCAACGGCGGCACAGGGGGTCTCCATCTTTGCCGCGGTGTCTCCTGTGATGCGGTGCGCTAGGACGGAGCCATCCGACACGGAGTCGGAGCTGAGCGCCGGGCGGGGAGACACCAGGGTTTCTCCGGGGTCCCACGAGACGCCGCTGAGGAACGGACGCCTCGGTGAGGGGGGGTGGGCGGTACCGTCATCATCGCCCATCCCAGCGTAACGGTGACGTGGGCTGCCCGCTCTGTAAATCCACTGCTGGATGAGGGCCTCCCCACGCTGTGCGTGTCCACTGCGGCCACACGATAGGAACGTGGAATTTCCACCATCGGCTGATGCTGGAGGATAACACTGCCAAACCTAAAAGAAAAACCTTGTCTTCCGTTGTCCGCAGGCTCGGAGTGGAGCGTGAGGTCATCCTCTATGCTGGACGACTCAGGGAGAGCAGGAGGAGGGGTGACGTGGCCGGCCCGTGGCAGCAGCCGGGACACGTCGCGCTCACGCTCGCGCTCCCGCTCGCATTCGCGTGCTCGCACTCACGCGCAGAGACAGCCCCCTATCCAGCTCATCTCGCTCCGGCCTCTCCCGGATACGCGGGAGCCAGGCCGCCCGCCGCTCTCCCCGCGCTCTCCTCCCCCACTCTCTCCGCGCTCTCCTCCCCCACGTTCCCCACGCTCTCCTCTCTCGCACTCCCCACGCTCTCCCCAGCAGACTCCGCCGATAACCCCGACCGCCCGGGACGCCCAGGAAATGGAGCTGGCGACGCGGGCGGTGAGGACGCATCACCGAGTTCACCACGAGCGCGACCCTGGCTGTCGCCAATTTGAACCATTTATTTATTCTCAAGATCCTGAGACTTTTTTTAGTTTTCCCGAGCCTCTAAAGGCCGCTTGTGCATTGTATCCATATCTCATCTTCACCATTCCGATGCCCTGCTGTAGTCTAGCCAAGAGGACCCTCAATGGAATAGAGTAGGCCATGTGTATCCGTGTCAGATCCTGGATTTTCCACGTTTGAAAAATGACTCGCAAATTACTGGGAAACACCACATCGCAACATCGCCCCCGATTGGCAGACTGAGCTCACTTGCAGGACGGTGCTGCATTCACGGTGTGTCGCACACAGTGACGGCTGCCCCTGGGGGTCCCCTCGGCTGGACTGCAGCTGGGCATTTTAGTGGTCGGGGATGAGATGCGACGTAAGGTGCTGCGAGTCGACACGGTGTAATTCTCGAGCTTACCTTCAAGCGATGAGCAACAAATCTAGCGACTTTCTGGGACGGGGACATGATGCAGATTCATGAGCGATTCCTCATGTGGATGAAGTTTGTGTGTATTAGTTTGTCTATTAAGTGGTGCGTTGTCTCGAGACGTATTTGACGACTTGAGAGGCCAGCCGAGCGGCTGGTGACGCGCTTTGTTGCCCGCTCGGCGCCACGAGCCTCCGGCCAGTTCGCCGTTTTCTAAAAATACTCTAAAAGCATCCAGAGGATGGTTATTATGATTATTATTATTATTTATCACTGCTCTTGTTAGCTTCATAAACAATAACCGCCGAACCGTGACACGTGCTTTGTGCTGCCCGCTGCGAGCGGCGGTCGGGATCGCGCCATTCGGCAGAATACGGCGGCCGTGTCTGACAGCAGCACGCGAGCAAACAATACAACGCACACACACACACACTTACACACACACGCACACACGCACACACTTACACACACACGCACACACACTTACACACACACGCACACACACTTACACACGCACGCACACACACTTACACACACACACACGCACACACACTTACACACACACGCACACACACTTACACACACACACTCACACACACACACTTACACACACACGCACACACACTTACACACACACGCACACACACTTACACACGCACGCACACACACTTACACACACACACACTTACACACACACACGCACACTCACTTACACACACACGCACACACACTTACACACACACACACACACTTACACACACACACGCACACACACTTACACACACACACGCACACTCACACACACACTTATACTCATGCACGCACACTCACGCACACTCATACGCACGCATGCACTCGGCGCTTCTATTTTGTGGTTTTCTTCGCCCTACGAACGTCAGCCTGACTCGACTCTGGAGCAGCAGCAGCAGCAGCAGAAGAGGAAAAAAAAGAGGAGGAGAGAGAAGGCCCAGGGGCAGGCGAGCGCCGGCGACGGCTCGGCCCGGAGGAGGTCGGCGCGGGACGACTCGGCCCGGCGAGCGCAGAGGGAGATCGACCGCGTGCTCGACCCCGCCTCGCTGCTCCCCGACGTCTTCGTGGAGCCCAGAGGGTGCGGTGCCTTACTGGCTCGTCTGCTCGCTCGCTCGCTCACCTGCTCGCTCGCTCGCTCACCTGCCCGCTCACCTATCTACGCGTTCGCTCGCCTGCCACCTCGCTCGCCCACACTCGCCCACCCGCCCGCTGGCTCTATTACCCACGAGCTCAATGCCCCCCACACTCGCCCGCCCACCCGCTCGCCCGCCCGCTCTCTTACCCACGAGCTCAATGCCCCCCCCCCCCCGCCTCGTCCACCCGCCCGTCCACCCGCCCGCCCGCCCGCTTGATTGCTCACTGAGTAAGGGGGAGCAAAATAAACGCACGCAGCAAAACAACCGCGGGGTTTGTTTTGTGGATGATTGAGGCAGGCGAGGGAGCGGGTGAGCGAGCGCTGGGGGCGCTCCGGGCGAGTGAGCAGAGAGTGCTTCTCAGTGCCTCATTGCAGGGGCCAAACATCGCAATGCAGGATCCTCACAGAAGAGAGTCTTGAGACTCTGTGATGCTTTCCTGGGTAAACAAATAAAACAGACTCTCCAATGGGCAGCGCTTTGATGATTGTGGCCAGTCTCCAATAGCGCGTCCCTAATAGCGACGCAGCCTCACACACGAGACCCCCTCCCCCCCATACCAGTCCCACTGTGCGTGTACGTCTGTGTGCGTGTTGTGTGTGCGTGTGTGCGTGCGTGTGTGTGCGTGTGTGCGTGTATGTGTGTGCGTGTGTGTGCGTGTGTGCGTGTATGTGTGTGTGTGCGCATGTGCATTTGTGCGTGTATGTGTGTGTGCGCATGTGCATGTGTGCGTGTATGTGCGTGTGTGCGCGTGTGTGCGCGTGTGCGCGTGTGCATGTGTGCGTGCGCGTTAAAAACCGGAAGACTCGGAGGAAACCGTAGCACGACGGGTGGAGAGAACATAGAAACTCCACACGCAGTAAGGCGCTTGTTGCCGTGAGGTGCGAGCGTTACCAGCGCGCCACCAACACTCTGCCGCCCCAGTCGACGACTCGCGTTCGCGTTTTGGAAAACGTTTGACCGGTGGGCCCCGTATAGGCTGTAGAGTCAACGGTTCCCTAACCCCCCTTCCCTCAACCCCCCCTCCGCCTCCCCCGCCCGTGCAGCGCGAGAGCTCGTGGCTCCCGCAGGAGGAAGCGCGCCGGGGCGGAGTGCAGCGACACCGACCAGGAGCAGCTGCTGCCCTCTGACAACGATGGCTCGAGCCGGCCGCTCACCAACGCCGCCTACGCGGTGAGCGCCATGGAGGGGCCCCGCCACGGAGGGGGCCCTCATCCAGCAGTGGACTGACCAAGGGCCGTGCGTGCCCCTCGCTCTGAATCTGCGACGTGCCGGACGGGGGCCGTCGGGCTCTTTGTATTGCGACTCCCACAACTAGGGCCTCGTTACCCAGAGAGCACTCTGTCACTTCGCTGCTGGATGAAAGACCTCCTCACGCCACGTCGGTTGTGAAGGTCGTTTGACCATACTTCACCGCGCTGGTCGGTGGGAAAAGTGCTGTCAGCTAGCACCAACGAGGCTCATGAGGGGTTGGTGCGGCGAACACCGCGCCTGACCGCCTTTGTCTCCCCTGGGTGCTGGCTCTGTCGCGTCGCACCGGGTACTCACTGCGATTCGATCCCCCATCGTGCCACCACCCCCCCCCCCCTACAAGGCCGTGAGCCTGATGAACACGACCAGCCGAGGTGGCAACATTGCCACAGAGGTCACCCACGGGCAGGGCAGTGCCAGCAGCTCGGTATCGCGATCTGGCAACAAATGATAGCTGATCATCATCATCACGTGGAAATTTGTAACAATCAAACGCTCTAAATGCATGTTGATTCCAAATTTGGAGTGGAAAACCCGGAGGACCCGGAAAAAAATCCACGCAACCACGGGGAGAAAGACATCGTGAACTCCAAATATACAGCAGCAGGCGTCAGGGTCGGGATTGAACCCACAAACTCCTGCATACCAGGCGAGCTAGTTAACATCTCGCCATTGCAGCGTTAAGTATTGCACCCGCACTGTTTGACTTGATCGCAATAGATAAAATGTGTGGAGCTGAGCCTTCAGTAGTGGAGGGGTGTTCCCCCTCCCCCTCGTGTGCGTGTGTGTATGTGAGATCGGGCGCTTTGGTAGAATCCATAATGGTCATCTCACCAAGGCTTACCAGCCTTGAAGGCTGTGGCACATGACAGGTAATAAATCAAGCCGCCAGTGTCGGCTGTGATGCTGACTTGAATATCAAACTCTGAGCGCGTCCGCCGGAGCGTGGTGCTCACGCGGCACAAGCGAGGCAGCTGGTACCTGCTGATGTCACCGGTGTAACTGGTGTTGTGGTTAGTACCCTGGACTTGTAATCCAGAGGTCGCGTGTGTTCAGTTTGGGGTGGGAAGTGCAGTAGTTAGCGCACCGTGCTACGACTCAGCCTTAAACCAGTATCTGGAGCAGTGTGTAATACATCGGAGAGAACATTTAAGATGGGGGTGGTGTTGGCCACCCACCCCTTCATGTGCCGTGCCGGCCTTCCATGGTGCTACTCGCTAACGGCACTTGCCTAGCAATCTGTTGAAGGCTATACGGTGGATCTTTGTCTTTGCCAGTCCGAGGCAGACACAGCGTCGTCCGAGAATGCCGTGACGGCCCCCGCGACCGCCGGCTCGCCCTCCGACCCCTCGAGCAGCGAGGCCGTAAGTCCCCGGGCCGCGGGGACACCCGGCTCCCAGGGGCCGCCGTCGCAGGGCCCGTCCCCGCTGGGGACCCCGTCCCCGCTGGGGACCCCGGTCCCGCCGGCGACTCCGGCGCAGTCTCCGGTCGCCCCCCAGCAGCCGTCGATCGAGGAGGCGCGCAGGCGCATGCACTCGCTCCTGGACGACGCATTCGCGCTCGTGTCGGCCGCGACCACGGGCGGGGGTCTTCGGCGGCCCCCCACGACCATGCCTGCCCCCTCCCTACTGCTCCCCCGGCTTCCGCCCCCGCCGCAGACTCCGCCACCCGCCTCCCCGCGAGGAGGTCACTTTGATCATCAGCAGCAGCATCAGCAGCATCAGCAGCATCAGCACAATCAGAGTCGTCACGGTCAGCAGTCGGTGGATAACTACCAACAGCATCATCGTCACGGAGCCGGCACGGCGCTGCCGGCCTTCGCAGCTCATGACGGCGGTCCCGGGACATTGTGGGTCGTGCAAGATGGGGCAGCACCTCCTGCCAGCAACGGGGGCAGCGGAAGCGCGTTGTGGGCCTCTCATCCGAAGCCATCCGGGAGGTGCGACGTTGTCTCGCATGTGTGCTCGCGACACGCGACCGTCAAATTTCCTGCGGCGGATATTGTACAAACTTTTTAAAATCCTATCCCTGCGCCCGCATCATGGCGAGTTAGCGAGCCGTGCTCCCGCGTGCGTCACTCGAAGGAGGGCGCACGCACGGCAGGCTTATCTCTCCAAACAGTGCGGCAAATTTTATATTCTCTTTCCCTGTGCCCTTCCGACAGTCACGGTCGCTGCCTGTGAAGTGCTGATAGGATACACAGCGGTGTGGGTCGGAGGTGGTGGTGGGGGAGGGTTTGCTCATTATAGGAATAATAGTTTGGGCAGGGTGGAAGGGCAATGGAGAGGAGAGGGAGAGGGGGGGGTAAGAGAGAGAGGAAGAGGTAAGAGAGAGGAAGAGGTGAGAGAGAGGTGAGAGAGAGGTGAGAGTCGAGGACACTTGTTCCGTCAGCCATGGAGAGCGACCATGGCTGCAGTGGCGAGTGTTTTCGTTGCCGTAGTGATGGCGTCGTACCGTTCGTTTCCATGGGATACCGTCCGCCTGCTCGCGGTCGCTGCCCGAACTGATTCCCCCATGGTCTGTGTCACACGGACACCTGAGCTGTGGCGCAGTGAGGGGAAGGTTCGAGGCGCAGCCCGACAATGGCTCGCTAGCGTTGCTGCTGACGGAAGAGCCTTCACTAGCGAGAGCTCTGGAGAGCTACTTTGGCCTACTTTTCTACGCTGATCAGATATCATCGGAAAGCTGTGGTAGTAGCCACCACTTTATCCCACCGATCACAAGCTGTAGATCGACTATGGTGCACCCATTTATACTGCGGGGTGGACCAAGGCCGAGGGATTTAAGAAACTTGTATCGTTGTTTAAACTGCCGCGCCGGGAGATGGAACCGGCGACGTCTGGATTGCGATTCCGGCACGATAACCACTACCCCCACGGCAGCGCCCCCCCGGTACTGCTGGATAGCTTTCCGCGTTCCCCCCACGTGGAGATGAGACAGAGACGAACTCTCCACGTGGAGATGAGACGGAGACGAACTCTCCACGTGGAGATGTACGATATCTCATCCGAGATGTCGGATAGCCGAGATGTAGGACATCTCATCCCCACGTGGAGATGAGATGGAGACGAACTGAGGCCTCCTCGCCGTTCCGCGCGAATCCCCACGCCAGCTGGGATGGAAAACGTGAGGGGGTTGGCACTTAAAGTCAAATAATTAATTATCTTGCCAACTCGGACCGCCGCTCCCTATCACCCTGGCGATCGCACAACACTCCGTCGCGGGGCTGCTATTTTACACGATGTTCCGACCTCTGCAACGTTAATTCCATTGCGGCATTCTAAGGGGCGTTAATTGCGGGCCGCGACTCCGTTGCTGCGGGCAACAGTGGCCACGTTGGCGGGCCCGTGTGCTCATCCCGCCAGCGTGGGACGCCGCCACGGTGGTGGTGGCGGCGAGGTGGTGACTACCCCGCCTCGGATCGTCAAGTCAAACAGTGCGGGTGCAATACTTAACGCTGCGGTGGCGAGATGTCAACTACCTCGCCTGGTATGCAGGAGTTCGTGGGTTCAATCCCGACCGTCACGCATGTATATTTGGAGTCTGCGTGACTCTCTCCACTTGGTCGCATGGATTTTTCTCAGAAACCTCCGGTTTTTACCTCCATATGTAAAATCAACATCACGCGGTTCAGGTTTTTGTCTGCTTTAAATTGTAACCGGTATTGACCAAGATACCCCAATGCTGAACAATTACACTGCAAATTACTCAACTGGGATTACACACACACAGCAGCAAACATCTCCCCCCTTACTCTGAAAACTTGGCAGGACCCTCCTGGGAAAAGAGTATTAAGGTGCAGTGAGGCTTTCCTGGCTTAACAAGTATAGTAATAATAACATGAAAACAATGTCTGAGACCTCCTTTGCCAGTATTAAATTATGATAATAGGGTTTTCCCCTTTCTGGCAATAAAACAGGTGTTAAGATGTTTAAACATTTTCACGCTTTTTGGCGTCCTCTGGTCTAACACTGTTTGAGACTAGGCTCTAAAGAAAGCTGTCTCTGGTGTGGACCAATCAGTTACAAAGACAGTGCACAAACTGTCAGAGCATGTTTTTTTGTTTGCATGTTCACCACAGGTATATGTGGTAAATGCAGACATGATTCCTTGCAAAGGTTTCAGTTTGGTGTTTTAACATCTTAACACCTGTTTTATTTCCAGAAAGGGGAAAAACCTATTATCATAATTTGAAAACAACGTGTTGCGTGCTCCATAGCCACTAATGTCTTGGATCATGAGTGCTGCTGCTGCTGCCCTTGCGATCAGCCCCAAACTCGGCACGAGTCATAGTTGCGTCGAAGACGTGTTGAGCCGTGACGGCAACGTTGAAGCTTCCTTAGCGACCGCAGAGACGCCCTCGCGCCGGGCTGTTGAGCCACGGGTAAACAGGCTGTAAAGTTTACACCTCGCGAGGTACAAAGCAACCAGGGGATGTCATGGGATAAAGAAGAATATCTCACAGTAGCAGAATACCTGAGAACTGCATGCAAATGGATTGTCGTGAGTGGGGCGTTATCGCTGTTATTATTACACAATTGTCTTGGGAAGACTTAAAGATGTTCCAGGATAGCAACCTCAACGAGAGGATAACCCTGAGTAAACCAGGACAGGTGGCGGCTGTATGAAAGGGCTGGCAGTTCCATGCATCTCCTCTGTAGACAGCCCTGACAAAGATGTTTTGTGTTGTGCTACAGGACCCATCAAGACTACAGTTCACATGACCTTCAGCAACACTACAGGCACCCACACCAGCATCAACACCATCATCATCATCAGCAGCAGCACCAGCAGCAGCACATTCTGCCCGGGCTGCAGGCTTCACTGCCGGCCTACTCATCGCAGCCTCCTCTCTCGGCTGCTCAGGCGGGGCCTCACCACCAGGCTGGCGCTGTAGGCTACTTCCAGGCCTCGGCCTACCCCCGGGAGTTCACGCGGAGTGCCCGGGGAGTGATGGCGCTCGACCCCGGGGTGGCTGCTACCACCACGCGCCACCACACCTCGCGTGAGTGATGCAACACACATGCGCCAGGCAATGCACGGACGCCAAAAACTTTGCTTGTGGCCTCCGTCCATCCATCCATGCCTTACATCTCAGGTGACATCACCATACTGCGTGTATAATGTAGCGGTGTACCGTCAATCGCATCAGAACATCAACAGGACGATGCATGCGCCTCCTTTATAAATGATGAATTCAAGACGAGTTGCAGGAGTGCGACTGTGGCCATGCAATCCAAACTATGGACCATAGAGTGAACCACTGTTGTCTGCCTTTCTTCAATGGAAGAGGAAATGCAAAACGACACAAACTCGCTCGCCTGAAGCCCTCTCATCATGGCCAGCAGACTTCCACATTGGCATTTAGCTCCTAAACATATTGCCATATTGCGCAAGAATATAATCTACAGAGCATTGAGCCATTGGCCCGAAAATAGCCATCGGTAGTCACCGAGAGTGGCAACTGCTGCCAATTACTTTCTTGTAAAATATTATTTCTAGATCACAATGTGCGACAGCAAGGCCATCTCGGTGGCTTTGATTAAAAAAAATAAGTAACTAGTTCTAGAAGGGTGCCACTTTGTGTTTGATAAAATATTGTTTTTAAATAGCGAATGTGACAGAAGTCATCTGCGGAATGCGACGACGAGGAGAAGGAGGAGGATGTGTGTCTATAAACGAGATTTTTGCCCATGGTGGACACCGGGTGGCATTTGCCACTCCAAGTGGTATCCGACCAACCCTCTTGGCTGATGAGATATGTGTCTTGGGCCACCAACTCCGAGTAGAGAAATATGGTGCTCTATCTCTCTCTCTCTCTCATGCTCTCTCTTCGCTCTTCCTTGCTCTCCTGCGCTCTATTTATTCGTCTCTCTCTTACTGTCTCTCACTCAAACTCTCTCATTCTCCCACTGCCTTTCTCACGCTCTTGCCCTCTCTCGCTCTATTGATTGCCTTTAAAGCGCGATCTTTCTTGCCCCCCACCACTCACTATGGTTCTCTTGCCCGCTCTCACTCTCTCTCAATCAGAGCCGTGAGCCGTGACTCAGCCGTTTCCAGGGGGAGGGAAGCGGCGAAGGTCGATGGCTCCGCATGTCACTGCGTTGCCGTGCCGACGACGATTGGCCTGGTAGCAGCAGCGATGATGGTCATTGGGGCGATAACGATGATGATGATAACAATGACAATGGACAATACTATCAGGGCTTAGTTTCTCACAGAATATTTTCCAGGTCACTGGTAGACTGGAATCGGTGGAACAATTCTCGTAGTAATCCGAATTGAGATTGCAGGAGGAATCCGATGAGCTATGAAGCTCTTTTTCACAGATGTCTAGTAGTTGCGGATTGGTCAGCAAGCTACAAAAACAATAACCAAAACAAACAACGATAGTGCAAAGTAGAGAAAAAGTAAGAAAGTCACTAAAATAAATCAATAAAGTTTCTTCATTCCTGCCAACATAGCGAGAGGTTTCGTGGACGTTGTTGGCCCAGCCGCCAGGTGCGTGAATATCATCTGGGTAGCCGGCCTGCTCTGACCCGGCTGAAATCGATCCCTGATGACGACGACTCTCCCCTCCCTACTGCACTGCCCTCTGCTTCCAGCGTAGCCGGGTGACTGAGTCAACGGGCGTGCTGCGCGATTTACTGATGCTGCAGATTGCTGGGTGAACTGACGAGGGGGAGGGGCAGTTTTGTGGTTTAAATAAAATGGGGGGTAGGGGGTGGTGAGGGGGAGACTCAGTGCCGGCCTATCCTAGTAGCAAAAGTAGCTACATAAGCTACAGGTCCCGTACTTTCAAGGGCCCCGTATTAAATGTTTTCAAGCTATCAATTCCGGTTCAGTGATTCTGCACTTGCTCTATTACTATAGTACTATACTGCCTTGAACTTTTATGAACGACTGGGTGTTTAAGGTTATCGATTTGTCGTATTATCTGGTTGTATAGCAAATGAAAATATACAATTACTTTACTATGCAAGTACAAATTTTTTTTAATATTTCTGTGTTTTTTATTATTATGTATGGCCCCTTTATAACAGATGCTACAGGCCCCGCACTAGCTTAATCCGGCACTGAGGGGAGTGGCGGTGTAGCGGTTAGCGCGCTGTGCTACGAACCCGGCCACCCGAGTTCGATTCCCGCTCACGGCCAACAACAGTGACGATTATCATGGGCTTCCGCTCGGTCGACTCAGCCACCCACCCTGTCCTCGGTGCTTCTTGCCTTTGTGTTGCAGGAAGCGCGGGCCCATTGGTTGTGGAGTAGTGTGTCTGTGTGTGAATAAGTACCTGGTGCGGCGGTGTGTAAACATCGCCACTGGGGAGACAAAGGCGGCCGGGTGTGTTGCTGGCCTCCCAACCCCTCGTGTTGCCGTGCTGGCCTTCACAGGTGCTCGCTAGCAGCACTTGCATCAACAATCTGTTACAGGCTACACGGGAGGGGGAGCAGCGGCGGTTACTTGTCTGGGGTCAAACCCACGCTCCGCTCCACTGAGAGCGATGCGTGCCGCTTTGGCATTGCCGCTGCCACCCTGCGCGTAGCTTCCATCGATTGCTCTCTGAAGCTTTTGGCTGGGAATCGCCGATGAGTTCCCACCCCCTCTTCCATCTCCTTCCATCGCGGCCTTTTGATGAATGCGCGCAAGGGGTCAAGCGGCGTTAACGGATCTTCAATCGGAGAGGCGAAATAAAAAAAACAAATAAACAGAGAGGGAGAGGGAGAGAGAGGAGAGCATTCAACATAGCGGTGTTGTCCAGAGCCAACAAGACCAAACTACATAACATTATCTTCTTGGTTCTTTCGGTAAAGTCACGTAGAAGGGAAGTAATAAAATAATAAAAATAAAACATAATAAAACAATTCTCACGACGTTTCGGCCACAACGCAAGCAGCCGTCCTCAGGTGAAAACCAGGTCCGTCGAGGCGACAGAGTCTGAATGAAACAGCACACGGGCTTGGAGCATATATATAAGCTGGGCGCATTGACAAAGGAATTTGCATATCAACAGGAATGCAAATTCCTTTGTCAATGCGCCCAGCTTATATATATGCTCCAAGCCCGTGTGCTGTTTCATTCAGACTCTGTCGCCTCGACGGACCTGGTTTTCACCTGAGGACGGCTGCTTGCGTTGTGGCCGAAACGTCGTGAGAATTGTTTTATTATGTTTTATTTTTATTATTTTATTACTTCCCTTCTACGTGACTTTACCGAAAGAACCAAGAAGATGAATCCCTGCAGTCACGAAAGCTTTAAATCGATACATAACATTACCTAATTACTAAAGCACTTTCGAGGCACTGTGGCAGTGTCATTAACCACACCGGGACAGTGGCTGAATGACCCCACGATGTTTATTCCTGGTGACCTCACCACATGCACAATGGGCTGGGAGCTTCTGTGAGCGAAACGTCGGACGTCGTGCGGAACGACACGGTGCGACCCCCGACAAGCCACGTGGCGGCACGACGTTAAAAACGCGTCTCTGGCCGAGGGCGTAGCGGAGCGAGCGACATCAATCACTTTCAAGGTCATTTGCGGCACACGCACAGCGGGGTTCCCTCTGGTGGCCGAGCGGCGGCGGCCCTCGCGTCTGACACGGAGGGCCGGAGCCGAGGCACCGAGCTGCGTGACGAGCGCCGCCTTCCCAGAATCAGGATTCCGGATTGGCGGCTCGGGCCGTGAGAATTTGATTTGGATTCCCCGCAGCTCCCGCGGCAATGGAGCGCGAGTGAGCGATGTGCGGGGAAATGAGATTGTGATAAAAATGTTGCTTGAGTGACGGTTTTTTTCCCCTTTTTCTTTTGCCAAGCAGTCTTTTGTGTGCATCTCCTCGTGTGTGTGTATCTTTGTATGTTTGTACGTGTGTTGGGAGCGGTCGTGTAGCAGTTGGCACGCTGCGCTATGAACACGATTCAAGTTTGATTCCCGCTCACGGCCAACACCAGTGACGATTATCTAAATCGGTCCTGGGCCTCCCCTAAATCGGCTCAGCCTCAAAATCAGTACCTGGGGTGGTGTGTAAAATATCGCCTCTAGGGAGGCAAAGGTGGTCGGACGTGGTGTTTTGGCACCCAACCCCTTATGTGCCCTGCCGGCCTTCATACGTGCTTATGAACAGCACTTGCTCCAACTGGCTGTTCAGGCTACACGGGGGATCTTTGTCCTTGTGTGTGTGTGTGTGCATCTCTGTTCGTCAGTGTTTGTGTTTTCGGCTCCCTGAGCGACGGTGCTCGCCGGCCGGCGCTTTGTACCATTCCTAACGAGAGCCAATTGCTTACTCAGCCTAATGGGGAGCCAGCTTAGCTTTTGTCTGCGCCGCTACACAACGAGAGTGAGAATGAGCGAGTGAGAGCGTTTGGTTTAAATCAACCCGACGCGCTACGCCGCGCCCGTCAATCCTGCGCTAAACTGCGCGGAATACTGAGAAGCCGTGATGTCTCTCTTCAGTGCCTCTCTTTTCTTGCACTGGTTTTCCCCCCCTCCCATCTCTCGGTCCTGCCACCACCACCACTACCAGCCTCTCTGGCCATCAAACCCACACTGTCTTTGCAGCCGGCATTTTTATTCGGTTTCAGGTCCTTCCCCTGTGGAAGCTGCGCGCGTAAAACTGGTCACGGATGATCTATTACGGCCCTTTCCTGGGAGTCATTGGAAACGACGCCCGAGGCTGGGAGGGCCAATCCACAGCAGCGCAGAATGGCAGAACAACAGCGAGGGGCCGCACCGCGCTGAGCCGGCATTGGCCAGCGCAGATTAACGACCATCGGCCCCGAGAGTTGTTATTTGAAGTTTCGTGCGGTTAATTTTCACGGGACGGCAACTTTTTAACAGAGCTCGTTTCGTGCCCTTGGGCTGTCGCGACCCCGCGTCTGTTTAATCTCCAGTTGTCCGATGCAGCAGATACTGTGACAAGCCAAACTTGGTAATGAAACGTAACATGCCACTGCATTGCTGATGTGTTTTCTGGTTTTAAATGTTTTTTCCCTGCACAGCATGCGGCTACATGACCATGTACCTGAAGGAAAACTTTCATCGGTCATTTCACACACAGACTCTTAACGCGCGACATTACTCTTCCGAGTCGATGTTTGGGTTGGAGCGTTGTGTGGGTGCAATGTCAAAGTTCAGCTGCTGCGTACCCTCCGCCGCTCGACAAAGTTGTCAATGGGACAAATGTGCCAGTTGATTTCGTTTTTCGCCTTCTAAGTGCCGATGCCGATGTACTGAATCGGATCGGCACTTGGGGGTTCCACGGGGGCGTTATTGTGCATAACGCCCAGGAGTCGAACCCAGGTTGCACTCTAAACTCACGTGGGGGCGGTGAAGGCGCGCAAGGACGAGGTCACTGACTCTCCCCACATTCTCTCCCCCCATTCTCTCCCTCCAGTTTCTGCCTCTGACTCACTGACTCCGTGAATTGTACCCAGCTGTATCAAGCTATGTCAGGCTGTGTCGGCCTAATTCAGGCTGTATCACGCAGTTAGGTTGTATGAGGCTGTATCGGGCTATATGAGGCTGTATCAGGCTGTGTGAGGCTGTATCAGGCTGTGTCGGCTGTGCCGGGCTGCAGACGGCGCGCTGGAGGTGAAGGAGCTTCCCGGGACCTACCCGACCCCGTCGCCCGGTGTGGGTCGCCGTGGCGACGTCGTGTGGTTGCCGTACCACCAGGACGGGGCCACCGCACTCTACCCTGCGCACCCGCACCAGCCGGTATGGCGCTCACTCGGAGCCGTCGTCGCAATCCACTGCTGGATGAAAGCCTCCCCTCCCGTGTCGGTCATTGGTGTTGTTTGGCTGTGCTGCACCGCAATGTCCGCCGTGGGTGGGGCGAAGGCATGCAGCGTGAGGGCGGCAGCGTGGAAGTACAATTAATAATCCCACACTGCCCCCCCCCGCGTAGCCCCATGGCAGCCTATATCGACCTGTTGCGCATGGCGGTCATTCACCCAAGCGCTGTCCAGGCTCCAACCTGCTCAGCTTCCGAGATCTGACAAGATCCCGCACGTTCTGGGACTGAGTACTCGCTGACTGTGTTAACGGTCGCGCCGGTAGACCGGAGTAGGTGGCGTGCGACAAGCGGACGCAGCCATGCGAGAGGTACGCAGTATGCGGTGTGCACGCGGATACGCAGACGTTACGTCCTACAGACGGTAGGCCGGCGTCTCCCCGCTCGTGCGGGTGTCGAGTGGAGCCAGGGTTGGGGCCGTTGCTCGCTCATGCCGCCTCTCCGTTGCTCACGCAGGGCTTCGCGGACGGAGGGTACCACCGACCGCCACCCCCTCCGCCGGCCTCTCAGCCGGGCGAGGCCCTGCTCCACGCAGGCCCAGGGCCTGCTTCCTTGCTGGCCTCGCGGGCGATGGAAGGCCGCCGAGTGGGGCACGCGGGCCACCCACCCGGGCCGCCGCCGCCACTGCCGCTACCGTCGCAGCCGACGGCGTCGCTGATCCGGTCGATCCGCGAGGAGCTGGCGAGGCTGTCGGGCAGACACACGGACGTCCGTGAATTTAGGGTGTGATGCCCCCCCCCCCCCCACCGAACTCGATTCCCCCCTCCTCCCTTCTCCTAACCCCCGATCCTACTCGCAGCCTGGTCCTATTCGCTATGCCTGCTCCCAATGCATACCTGTATTCCCTTACCCATGATGCTACCTCCCTACTCCTAACCTATACCCTTAGCAGTCTCGGTCTAACCCTTGCCCGCCAATCCTACATCTTACCCGCATCGGCTGAGCCCTAATCCGACCGCTACGACGAGCAGCCGAGTCCTCACCATCCTCCTAACCTCTACTCCAACCCCTAACTCTACCCCACCTGCTAACTTTTACCCCAAGCAGCCTACACCTAACCCCTACTCATATCCCAACCAATGTTAGCTTAGCCCTAAAGATATCCTCTACTCTAACCCCGTAGCAGCCTATCTTGAACCCTACCTCCACTCCTAACTCCTTCACCTGGCAGCCTCGTGAGAACTCTGCTTATATTTGTAACCCCACCTTTAGCCGTCATGTGAACCCTCGTCATAGCCCTACCCCAGCCAGCCCTCATCCTGAACTTACCAGTTCTAGACCGATCCTCCGGTCTATAACTTCCTTCAACAGTACCCCTATCGCTACCCCTATCTCTACCCCTATCTCTACCCCTGTCTCTACCCCTATCTCTACCCCTATCTCTACCCCTAACCTTTACCCCTGCACCTCGATCTGCCCAGCACAGCTTCGCACGACCCAACGCTCCACCACCTGCACTGCTCCACCACCCGTACTGCTCCACCACCCGTACCCACCCTCTCCTGCCTGACCCCATTGCTCTCTCTCCCTCCCTCCCTGTCCCCCTCCCCGCCACCCCTGCCGCCCCTCCTCCCCGACCCCCCCCCCCCGTTCCCTTCTGCCACCTCCTCACCTCCGTAGGCATCGTCATGAAACGTGGAGCCCCGAGGAGGTTGTGCTCGGTGATCGCCGAGCGAGCGAGACAAACGGCCGAGCGTGGCCGTCGGGGTTTTTCCGTGCAGACGTTTAAACAATCGCTTTGGTTTTAGCCAGGGTGGGCGGAACTTTTGGTTTTTATCGTGAGATATGAACCCGACGTGGGCGAGGAGGAGGACGAGGTGAGGTGGAGCGCCCCACCTCCTCCACCCGCTCCGCTCTCTCCGCAGAGCCGGAGGGCCGGACGTCGCGAAGCTCCCAAAGGGCTTCTTCTGCCGCCGCCGCCCATGGACGCGTATGACGGATGCACACTGACGTTACCTTTAATCGCATTTCAATAATCTTCGTAACAACAACGATCATGATAACAACAACAACAACAACGATGTGTGCAGGTGTGTACATATTAACACAAAGATATCGCTATGGGAGAATTGGCTACTCTGGACAGAATTCACTGAGCGACGTTGCACACAGGTGGGTCGAGTTCACCTGTCGCTGGCTCCTCCGCCAGTTCCTCTCCGTCAAAAACGTTTCGTGTTTAGGGCACGGAGCCCCCCCCCCCCCCGCGCCCCTTAACGCGCTCTGAACCTGCCCACCCGAGTTCGACTCCTGGCCACGGCTAACATCAGTGGCGAGTGATGTCTGAACCGGTCCTGGACCTCCTTCCCCCCTTCACCAACGCGTGCGGAGCGGCGTGGCGCAGTCCGGTGGGCACATCTCTCACCTCGCGGTGGACTGACAAAGGGCTGTAAATAATTATTGTTGTTCTTCACATTTGCAGTGCGGTACAACTTGCGCTGTACAAAGCATCGAAACACAACCGCACCGTGAAGACGTCTCTCACGAATTCGTTTTGGGTCCGAGTGCCACTGAGCCTTAATTATGTTTCGCGCAAAACGTATGCAAAACGTACGCGTGTGCATGCGTGTGAGCACGCGCGCGAGCGTGCACAGCGTATCTTTAACACGCGGGATGCGTGGGACTCGGTTAGCGCTGTGAGACGGCGGACGACGCCACGGGATCGAGCGTGCCTCCGCCACCGAGGCCGTGCGGGAGCGGCGGCGGCGATTGCGCGCCCCGCGTGAGCGTGCACTACCGCGAGGCTCAAGCCGCGAATTAATTCATTATGCAAACGGCTCGTTAAGGCGGGGAGGCAAACGACTGCGGGGCTCCTGCACTGCAGGAGGCAAATATGCATTCCCCCCCCCACTCCGCGCGTTAACGAAGGACGCGTCCCCACCCATAAACAACAAAGACAAAGATCCCCCGTAGAGCCTGGACAGACTCGTGGGGCAAGTGCCATTAGCGGGCAGCGCCTATGAAGGCGGGCACTTCACACGAGGGGGTGGGTGGCCAACACCACGCCCGGCCGCCTTTGTCTCCCCAGTGGTGATGTTTATACGCACCGCACCAGATACTCATTTGATGCTGAGTTTACCTAGGGGAGGCCCATGACCGGTTCAGATAATCGTCACCGGTGTTGGTCGTGAACAGGAATCGAACTCGAGTCGCCAGGTTTGTAGCGAAGCGCTCTAACTGCTACACTACCACCACTCCACATCCATAAACAATGCACACACACGGGGAGACCTCCTCACCCTGGAGACACACACCCAGGCTCTCAAGCACGACCGCTTTTCCACTGCACTAGTGAGTCGCGCCAGGACCGTACTGAGCCAGCCCGGGACAGGTACGGCTCGGCTTGGGCCAGATTAAATTTTTCAACTGCAGAAGTCGAGCCGTGCCATCGGTGTAGTGTCCAATGAAGGCATCACATCGTTAGCCCGCGCCCCTGGCCTTGCTTGGCCGTGAGCCACATTCAGATATTTCTTTCGAGGCCAGAGGGCGTTTTGTTTCGGTTCGAAACTGCAAACAGCCCCAGTGGAAGACCACCCCTAGTACCGTTGACTCGGCTCAGATGTGCCAGTGGAAAAGTTGTGCGTTTTGGTTGAAAAGAGGATTTACCTCTGAGTGGACCTGTGTAGGAAACGGAGCTGAGAAGAGTTTGGGGTGTGTTGTTATGGGATTTTTTTGATCACTTAAACGCATAATAATGTACATACCCTGATGTAGAAAACAAAACAATGACGCGTGAACCAGAAGGTGCTTAGCAGTGACGGCATCGGTAGCAACCCTGTGCATGGAATCAGGTAAACCAATGGACGTTTCACAACGTACAACGCGACGTTGAGTACTCGCGCCACGGTATATTTTTGTAGGCCACAGTCGGTCGAGGCTGCCGTATCTCCCAGATACTGAAGGCCGTGCAGTGAAGGCCTGTGTCTCGGCACGGCCACCGCTCCTCGGCCCGTGCCACCATCCCGTCGCTCGGTCTCCGCACAAGCCCAGGCATCTCACGATCGGTAGGTCGCGTCAATTGGCCGAGTCCCAGTTGTACACATTTTAAACGTATCAGTTTGATGGCATTGGAGCGAATGAAAGAGGCCACTTTAATCGATCTCGGATTATTCGTCGCGTGCCATGGACGTCTCAAGTGCACAATTGAAATACATTTTTGGGAAAAATAAAATACACCACACGGGTTATGGTTTGAACGATTTCAGAAGTTAAATAATTTTACATGAACGTTTTTTGGCAAATTGTAGGCACTAACCTGGTATCCATTGCTCGGTGCAAAGAGGGCTGTGTTCTTGTGTTCATCTCGGCATTGTTCTGTTTGTTGCCTGGTCGAGCCTTGTTAGATTTAAAAAAAAACTCGACTCGCATTCTCTAAGATTCGTCGATCGATTGCAGTGCTCGTGAGACAAGATCTGACTTTTAAAAACGTCCTCATCGCGAGAAGCGTGGGGAACTGCGAACTTTAGAGGCCTCATTTTATGGATTCTGTGAATCGACGAATTGGCACAATTTAGTTATGGTCGTGATTGGTTCAAGAGTGAGTAATTGGTGCATTTGACCATACTTCACCACGCTGGTCGGTGCGGGCTGGTGAAGGAGGGCGTCGGGGAGGGGGGGGGGGAGGTGGGAACCAATTTAGTGATCACTCGCCACACATGTTCACCCTGGCTAGGAATTGAACAATATCCAATGACCACTTCACCACCCTCCCCCACGTAAATAACAGGAGTTGAAATGAATACATTGTCACCCACGTGATTCGATAGGTGTTGTCACGAGCCTATTAATCGATCTTGATGAATCGATGCGTCGTGACAGTCCCTATGCTCTTGGTCACCTCATTGAGGGCTGGCGGATCATCAAATGTCTCCTTCAGTGGAGACGCAGCCGAGAAAACAAACAGCTGGAATCTCTCAACCCACCGCTGTTTGCGCTGAACTACGGGTCCACGGTGGAGTGCCCTTGCCAGTAACATCTGACAACCCATCGGCAAGCGGCGGTATGTTTCGCACGCCTGACTTCTGGCGCACAGCCGAGGTGTGTCGCTACGAGATGTGAGCTACGTGTGTTTCTGAGCTGAGTATGTTTTTTGTCTCCCAGTTTGTGTATATATTTACCTCTTAACCTACGCGGTCTGGACACTGATCAATGTCCCATTTTTAAACAAAGCCAACATCCCACGGGTTTGCTCCATGGATCTTCGGCTGACTCCCACTGCGGTTTTTAGAGCTGATCCCAATGCAGGGTTTCTCAACTCCGCGGTCCGCACGTACGCATTTACCACTCTCATTCGTTCGAATATAAATTAAGTTGGCGCCTGCTGCACCAACCCGATGATTGCTAAACACGTTCCAATGTGTGTGTATATACCGAGTGTGTCGATTCAAATCGAATAGGGATCTTCTGTGTCTCTCTGTCGCATACATGATGTACAGAGTTCCGATTCAAATTCGGATAGCGATCTCGTGTGTGTGTCTGTGTCCCACGTGGGGAATTGTGGTGCAGCGGTTGGCACACCGTGCGATGCGAGTTCGATTCACAAATGAGCCGTGGTCCTGGCCACTTTCTTCCGTGTGTTCAGGCCATCGTAGATGCTCGATAACAGCACTATCCTCAACAGTCCATAACGGCGATCCGGGGAGGTGTAAGGGGGGAGCGGGACCTTCATGTATTGTCAGACCTAGGACGTATTTACCAATCATCCGGCGTGTGCAGCGTGCTGAGAATCAATGTGAACTTGAGCGCTAATGCTTGGTAGAGCGTGGTTTTTGAGAAGACTGCTTGAGCGCTCTGGAACAATGGAACCTTGGGTTATTCCTGGCGCTTTAAACACCGCCGCTATGGTGTAGCAGTCCGCAAACCTCGCTGTGGCAGCGCCTTCGTAAGGCGCGCGCGTGGCTCAATGGGTGGGCGGTCGTTTCATAGTAATAACAAAAGCCAGCATAGGTTGCATGGGTCATGGCGCGTACACGGATAGTGTGTGTGTGTGTGTGCGCGCCACGCGTTGTGGACGAATGCTCCTGCTCGTCCGACCCTTGCTTCTTGGAGGAATCGTGCCCCAGTCGCCTCATCGCCAACGCGGGGGTGCTAATCAAATCGCCATACTTGGCATGCCGATGATGATGCTGATGATGATGACGACCGTGATACCGATGATGACCAGGGCTTAATTCCCCACTGAATGTTTTAAGAGCGGTTGGTGGAAGACTGTCAGCGCAGATCTTGGCGGTCGCCTGACTACTGGGCAGCAGCTGCGGGTTCTGCCAGGGGGTGGTTGGCGAGGTGTGGGTGGTGGCATCAACAACTTCGGCCACCGTGGCGCCTTGCTTCTGTTAATCTAGAATTGGTGGCACGTGACTCGTAGCCAACAGCCACAAGGCGAGAGGAATACTGGATGTGGGGTGTCCCGGGTGCATACCATCAATCCTGTTGACTGACTCGGACAGACCCGGCTGAAATTAAGCCCTGGTAACGACGACGATGTGGACGACGATGTCGAAGATGCATCTCACTCCGCTTGCGAACGCTGCCGTGTCCGTGCAAGATTGTCGCGCGTCGGCTTCAGTCGCACAGACAAACCTAGCGCTCTCGCGTAGCGATCGATCGCCTTAAACGTTATGCATTCAGCTTCGTGACAATAACAATATTAATAATGATAATATGCAAACGCAAGGCTCTGTAGAACGCCGGGCGCCCGTACATCTGCGCCGGAACTCTCGCGGGGAATCCACGGCGCGAGTCGGCGAGTTGATTCGTCTCGCGACGCGGCTCCAGGACGCGGCTCCAGGAGGCGGCGGCTCCACCGCGGCGGGCGCTCCGAGGGTGCCCGCCCACGTGCCGTTTGCGCCGTCTGTGCCGTCGCATTTTTAGCGCAAGCGAGCAACGCGCCCGAGCGGCCGTAGGACGCGGCCGTGACACCGTGCCGCGGTGGTCGTCCCCATTCTGCTGGCGTTTGGCCGCGGGGTGGAGACAGCATCGGGGCTTGCGCGACCCCGAGGATCGCCATCGGGAACTGTCCCCTCGTCCGAGAGGCGATGCGTTCATTGGGCCGAGTGGCTGCCATCTCTCCGGGCGATCCGGTTTCCTCCCACTTGCACAAACACTCGTCGATTGATCGATAACACTTTCATATATAGAGGACCGCAGAGCTTGGAGGGGGGGGGGCGTGCAGGTAATTTGGTGCTGGCTCCTCACCGCGTGGCTGCTGCTGCCGCCTTCTCTGCTCGTCTGTGGCTCCTGCTCGCACCTCCGAGTCGTCCTCTCTCGTCGAGAGCGAGCGGATGCTGTGCGGCATGACAAGTTGACATTATTATGATGATGTTATGGTGATCTGTGTTGCATCTCCAGTTCTAAGTGGAGGCTGCTTAAAATACGCGATTCCACAAAAACCTCAAACAGCTCTTGTAAGATGCGCGACACGAGCCAGAAGCTTCGCTAATGACAAACATTTGATGTCAAGTTCGGATAGTCGTGCCAATATTGCGCCATATTTCCGTCGCTACGACGTCACCCACCCACGTGCTCTGAGACATTAATGCAGCGACGTCACAAAGACGCTGTCATGGAAAGTCTGGCCGGCAGTATGAATTATGTTCTTAGGTTTTTTCGGTAAAGTCACGAAAGCTTCAAATCTAGTATGAGTTATGTGGAACTTCTTCCGCCAACCGTGCTGATTGGAGGCGCGGTTTGAAGGGCAACACACGAGAAAGGCAGCCCACGTGTGTTGTAGCTGCGAGACAAGAGCCGTTGGTGGTTTGTTGGGTCGCTTAGCCCACGAACAGGTGTTTGTGTTGTTTCTATCGAGATTGGAGCGAGGGAAGTTTAACTCCGCTACCTTCCCCCTAACCCACGGTCTCTCTCCCGACCGCCACCTCGCCGTTCCCATGCCGGTGCCGGTGAGTGCGCTCTGTGCGCAGGCGAAGTCCCGGCGCGTTTGGTGTCACGTGCCGATCTGCTAGGCGCTTGAACGAGAGGACATTCAGAGCCAAAGCCAGCGCCGTTTCGGTGTCACGGTGCGTTCCATTCGTGTCCACAGAGCGCCGCGGAATCTCCTCTGCCAGTGGCATGCCGCTCTACGGGTTTATATCGATCACACCAGCCGGGCGAAGAGCATCCCAACCCTCCCTCGCGTGAAGGGCGTCATTGTTGCACAACGCCTTTAAGCTCCACATCACCGGTAGACCGGGGTAGGTGGCACGTGACGAGTACAGCGGCCATAGGCCGCCGCGTGCGGTGTCCTGGATGTGGTGTGCCGGATGCAGGCATGGCGGGTGGCGACTGAGGGAGAAGGCGGGGGGAGTGTGTGGCGGCAGGAAGTGGGAGCCCCCCAATTAAAGTTAATTGAGCACAAACCGCGGTGTTTGCAAGCGAACATCGCCGCCCTGCCCCCCTGGGCTAGAGACCCCCCCCCTCCTTGATCTCACCACGAGGCCACTCGCTGCGTCGTGCATATCGAATTACTTTAGCAGCGCAACACAGAGCGATACATTTGGAGATGCCCCACCGATCATCATTATCGTCGCTACAGACACGACACTCGGTTGCTATTGAGGCATTGTGTGCACGCACCGCATTGTCTCCGTTTAATTGCTCGGAGAGACGTTGCTCTGTTATTCTCGCCACGTGTTACGGACATTCTGTTTACTCCAGTTGCCAATTGTTTTTGTTCGTGGTGGCTCACGGCCAAACTGTTTTACTTGGAATAGGCGCCGTGCGTACGTGTGCGTGGCAGATGCGTGAATCTCCATCCATGTCACCACCACCACCACCACCCGTTGAGAAGAAAGTCGAGAGAGGGTCGTTCGAAATGAGTGGGGCATCTATAAACGGGGATCTCGCTTGTCCACTCGGCTCATTTGCACCGCGGTCAGCGCTCCCGAACTCACAATCGGAACTGCGCGAGGTCGAGACCCGATTGCGGGGCGAGTGGACCAAATCATCCCTTCGGGCGACCTCGTCTCATGGATATCCGGTGCCCCGTCAGGGAAACGTGGAATTTCTACCACCGGCTCTGCAATGGCAATTGGTGATGAGCGCCAACCCATTTGCTCGCGTTGAGCATGGGGGCGAGTCGAGCTTTGACTTTGATGATGTTTATTGCTTTTTATTATGCAGTGTCGGTGCGAGCGTGTGCCAGGTGCGGTGGATGTGTTCCGGATGAAGGGATCTTACCTGGTGCTCTCTGTCGCGTTTACAAAGGTCACGCGGGACTCGCCCACAAACCCTCGATTCCGCTCTCGAATCTACGTCCCGAGAGCGACCTCCGACGCGGAGATGGAGCGATGGAATCGGTTCGTGCGTAAAATGCTCGCCGGATTGTTGTCGCCTCGCAGGGACGGGAGAGACAGCGGCGGCTTACATATTTAATCATCCAGCAGTGGATACATCACGGCTGCTGCTGCTGATGATGTTGATACATAATTATAAATGTAATGTGTTTATCTAGGAAAGCTTTCCCAGTCGTAGGATTCTTGAGTCGAGGAGCTGGTGGCGGCTACGCTGCGGCGCGTGGCTGCCTGCAGCCCAACGATGTGGCGGCACCACGGAGGGTTGGTGATCACGGCACAGGTGTCGCAAAACTCCCTTCCCGTGGGTGTCGGATCGAGTGTTGCCCCCTCGCACACGTGGTTTTATCTCCCGGTGCTCCGGTTCGCTTCCACTCGTCTAAAGACTTAAAATAGAAACCCAATGTGGCAGGACCGGCCTGAAAGAGTCATACGACGCAGTGTGGCCTTCCTGGATAAATACATTTCCAAAATCCACTGCTATATGAAGGCCTCCCCACGCCGTGTCGTTCATTGTGGATTGATTGGCGATACTTCACCACGCTTGTCAGCGCGGGTTGGTGAAGGAAGGGTATTGCCCAGGACTGGTTTAGATATCACTCGCCACTGACGTTAGCCGCGAATTAAACTCAGGTTATCGGGTTCATGGCGCGGTGTTCCAGCGGGGTGGCGTAGTTTGTAAACAGCAGAGGGATATCTGCGTGCTCCTTGCAGACCGTACGGTTAGCGAGCACCTATTAAGGCCGGTACGGCACATCAGTTAACGGCGTTGGGATATTTGGCCGACTCCATTTTAATAAATAGAGTAAATACGCAGTCAATCTGTCTCTTACACGTGTCCGTCTCTCCACACAAACATATACAAGTAAATCTTATGCAAATCACCAGCCACACGGCCGTCTGGGGGTGCGTCATTTCAGCAGCATTGATTCAAACGCAAGCAAAGCTCTGGGCCGGTTTCGACGCTCAGTGTCTCATCAGCAGATTCAGATTCGCTTGAATCAGTGCTGGTGAAACTGCCGAAGGTACAAGCAAGGCCCCTCTCTTTAGGAGGTGCAAACTGCCTGCTTGGCTATGTTGTGATGCGCATTCCCCACAAGTGCGTTGGGGATTATTCTGATCGTCTGTAAATCGGGAGTTGTGGTTTTTAGTTTTCACGAGGGAGGAAACTGGCGTCATCTGCAGAGAAGTCACCACGGCACACTGGGGGGGGGGGGGGGGGGGGTGAGACTCAGAGGGCAAACTCGCTTGCTGTGCTGCCATCCATCGGCGTGACGAGACGCTACATCCGTTTTAACGTGGAATAGATTCCGCGAATGGCGTGGCGAGGTTCGGCATCGTCCCTGATGTAAAGAATGGCATGGCCCCCCCCTCTGCCCCTTGTGACCGACGTTGCAACCTCTTCATAACGCGGTGCCTGGGGCCCCCGCTGGTCTGCGTGGACTGCGGGGCAGGTGCACCGCCTGCACTCTCGATGGCTACGCCACTAATTCCACGTGATATTGATTTAACATATCTGAAACATATTGTTGTTGAGATCAATGTAAGTGATCGAGCTGCATACAGGCAAGACGTTGCCGAGTAGGGGAGGTAATGCTGTACCGCGTTCGATGGTGTACGGGAAGGAACGCGAATGAACTCAAACTTGATCCAGATCCGTTTTACTCACGATTTTTAATTATTTCATGAAAACGAATGCATTAAAAAACTATTTCCTAATTTACTCAACACCCATCGTGAGCTTCTTCTCTCTCTCTGTCTCTCGCGCGCTTTCCGTGTCCTGCTTCCAGGGCTGTGTTTCAGCTGGAGCTGTCCGGGGCTGAACTCCGAAAAAATGGTCATCACAATTACATTTTATTGGCCATACAGAGATAAAGTGATACCATTAAAGTGGTAATATCTGTTTTTATATATATACACCCCAGCGTGTGAATTGTTCATTTATCTGCTTTGACAAAATTCTGATTTGTTAAAATGTAATTGTTTAATTGCGTAATGAAGCTGCTGGTTGGAGGCCGTGTTCTGTAGGTGCAAGTCGCGATGCAAATCCAGGTTCCGCGCGGATAAGTCGTCACGGGCTTTGTGTCCTGCCGCCGTCCGTCCAATCGAGGTCGCATCGTCCTCGCAAAGAAAGGAAGCAGCGACTCTGAACTAAGCCTCGAGGAGAAACCTGAAGTAGATCGCGACCGTGCAGCTAGAAGATTCTGGATGTAACCTCACCATTCCACACCCGAACGCACGCCGACTTGGTAATATCCCGTCGGCTGTCCGATGGATGCCCTGGTATGCGTACAGCATTATTAGGGTACCTCATTTGTGAGTCTTTGACTTAAACAATTTTTTTGTGAAATATGTTTAACTGCAATCTATTAAACTCGGTTAAACGTGAAGATTACACGAGATTGTTAAAAGATACATGGATACAAAATCGGCACTAATGTAACAACACGTTATTACAGTGTTCATTCCAAGCCCTGCACAGATCCCATATCGTGGTGGAATTGTTGTTGCCTGTAACATCGGCACGTGTATTTAGAAAATGTCACATCTCTGCTGATGACACTCAAAAATATTGACACCGTCCCCGTGGTGTATTTATGTTTACGTATATACAGCACAAGCAATAGTTACAGACCCAAAACATCTAACGGTCAGCAATAAACAGCACTTAGCGTTTAGTTAGATTCGCGTTAACATACGTATTTATTTGAGCAAGGGTTATATTCTGTTAAAAAAAACGCTGGTCTAGGAAGCCCATAGGAGGTTTACGTTGGATTCTATCGGCCAATTGATCAGAGCCTCGTCTGCCCCTAAGCAGTAAGACATACAACTGTCAAATGTGTTCAATTGTGTTCGCGTCGAATTCTCCAACAAACGTACTGCGCAATACACTAAACCGCACCGCTGCTAAACGTCCCCTCGACCAAGTGAAAGTTTGAGTCTCTGCGTGGCCGTGAGCCGACTGCAGGGGGAGCAACAATGTCGCTGTCCACCGCGCGGTAGCAATGCCCGCATCGCCACTCGGGGGCGCCCCACCCGGCAACCCTCACCCACACACACAGGCGGCGTCGGTGGCGGTGTGCGAGAGAGGGTTGGTGAGTTGCGGGAGGAGGATGAGGTCAGGAGAGGTGGCGAGGAGGTGGAGTGGAGGGGGGTGGGGTCGGGAGAGGTGAGGTGCAGAGAAAGGAGGAGGTGGCGGTGGAGAGGACATTTGGTGAGGAGGTGGTGAGCAGGTGACGGACGGTGGTATGGAGAAATGAGCAGAGGTGGGGAGGTAGAGAAAAGGAGGCGGTGTTGGTGTGGAGTGGTGAGACGTGGTGGAGAGCCATGGTGAGGAACCGGTGAGGTAGATAAAGGAGGATGTGGTGAGGAGGAGGAGGTCTCTAGTCGGGGAGGCGGTGGTGTTTGGGGGAAGCGGGCACCACGCTGGCGAGACGCGTGGCGCACACGAGGCTGAGGAACCACAGCCCCCAGCCCACGGCGGCCGCCACCCAGCCGCTCTGATCGGCGCCCAGAGCGCATCACGAGCCCGCCACGGCGCCCGCGGAGGGTCAAACAGCGGGCCAAGTGGCACGGCGTGACTTGGCACAGCGTCACCTGACCCAGCACGTCCGCAATGGGGGCTGGCACAGCAGGCTGGCTTGGCACAGCACCACAGCACGAAGCGTGACTTGGCGCAGCTGGCAGTCTACAGAGCAGAACAGCACCGCACGGGGAGGTGCGGCGTGAAGACAAAGCGCCACTTGGCACGGCTCATGCCCCCCCCACTCACCCCCCCCCCACTCACCCCCCCCCCACTCATCTCCTCCCCCCCACTCACCTCCCCCCCCAGCTCACCCCCCCCACTCATCTCCTCCCCCCACTCATCTCCTCCCCCCCCCACTCCTCTCCTCCCCCACCACTCACCTCCCCCCCCCAGCTCACCCCCCCCCCCAGCTCACCCCCCTCCCACTCCTCTCCTCCCCCCCCTCCCACTCCTCTCCTCCCCCCCCACTCACCTCCCCCCCCCAGCTCACCCCCCCCCAGCTCACCCCCCCCACTCATCTCCTCCCCCCACTCATCTCCTCCCCCCACTAATCTCCCCCCCCCCACTCATCTCCTCCCCCCACTCATTTCCTCCCCCCCCCACTCACCTCCCCCACTCATCTCTCCCCCCTCACCTCCCCCTCTCACCTCCCCCCTACCCATCATTACACCCAGCTCTCCATCACCCCTCGGCCCCATCAGGGGCCATCTATTGAGTAGGTACGAATGGAGGGGGGAGGGGGGGTTAACCCAAATGCGTAGCTTGCGTATGGGGGGGATCTACTGACAATGTGCGTACGCATAGGAAACGGGGGGGGGGGGCGTGAAGCCTCGATAATAATTTGTCTACATCGGCCTTCAAATGAGCGACAGTTCAGTGTCTTCAGCTGCGAGAAAACAAGCACTACCGGGACAAGTGGGAGAGGTGCCACTTGTTTGCCGCCGTGCCCCTGGCTGCTCGCTATCACGCAGCTCTGCAGCGAGTCTGATATCGTACCTACTAAATGTATGGTCCCCTCGCCACTCACCTGCGCACGCTGTTCGCGGGTCCGTGTTCGCCGGTGCCGATGTGGTGGAATTGGCGTCACCTGAACAGAGCATTGGAGAAAGGCATAGGAGGAAGGGGGGGTCACAACGATTCTTATATCCCCCGCACCCCCAATCCCTCGGGGTCTCGATCCTGAGTCCCCGTGTTCCGCTCGCTGCAAAGTCCACAATCGGCACGAAGCAAGGTGCTCTTCGCCATTGAGGGGGGACGCTTGTGTGTTGTGTGCGAGCTACATTTGTGGGGGAGCTGCAGGATTAGCGGTGAGCGCCCAGCGATACAAACCCGCCGAGCTGAGTTCGATGTCTCGGACGACAAACATCAGTGCCCGATGATATCCCAAGCGGTCATTTCACAAACCTCTACCGACCAGCCTGGTGAACTGCTGGATGAAGGAGGCCTTCATCCAGCAGTGGATTGACGAAGGGCTGTGCATCATTAATATTATCACACGGATTATCACCTGCAAACGTCACGGGCCCCACGTGCTGAGAGAAGAGATCACGCGGTGGAGCTTCGCGCAGGCAGAGGGCCAGGTGAGTGGTGGCGCAGGCAGAGGGCCAGGTGAGTGGTGGCAGGTGGGACAGAGAGGGGGTGGGTCAGTGGGCACCTGCCCCATACCCCCCCAACACACGGGGCGCGCTGGAACAAGACCCAGGCGGTTCGTGCCAATTCGCCTGCCCTGCAGCTAAGGCGAACTCACCTCCTCATACACGCAGCGCTCATTGAGATGTGCGGCGCTGATTGGTTCATTGAGCGAGTGGAGGCCGGTGAATTTAATTTGTTGAGCACAAAGAAGCTGTCATCCGTGGTCTTGTATTAAGCAAGACGGAGAGAGACGGAGAGAGAAACGTATCCTTCAAGAGAGACCTGGGTTTGAATAAGTTCAGCAAAACAACATCGGTGTATCTGGAAGTGCCTTAGACTTACCTAGACAACCACATTTTTACACAGAGAACATTAGACGTACATAAAAACCCGAGGTTTAGACGCACACAGAGACCCAGGGAGCTAATGATAAATCCAAAACAAGACCGGAGTTCCATTCCTGGTTAGGGTTGACATCAGTGGCGAGGTAATAACTTAACAGTCTCTACCCTCCCCCTTCTCCCCCCCCCACCAACTTCACAAACCCGCGCTCACCAGCGTGGTGAAGTATGGTCAAGCAACCCCTGTGGCCAAGAGGCGCGGGGAGGCGTTTATCCAGCAGTGGATTTACGAAAAGATGTGCGTTGGGATTTGTGTAATCACGTGGGTTCTCAATCGGGATATTGAACACAACGGTGGAATGATTAACATGTTCACTGAATATGCAGCTGTATGGCGGTGGAACGGTTGTTGCCGCTGAAAATAACTATCTCGACGTTTCGGTCGACTGGCCTTCTTCAGGAAGCGTCAAGATCGTTGTTCCATTTCAGTGGCAGCCACAACATCACCAAAATATTGCCATTCTCATTTTTACAGCGTTGTGAACTGTGAATTGTAAAGAGCGCGTCCTGGGGGCCGGGTGAGAGGATTTTTAGTGATGAGGAGGTGAAGAGGGTTTAGGGCAAGGGAGGTGGGGGCGGGGGGGGATTGGTGGCTCATTCAATAATCACTCCACGGTCTCCACCACGCACAGTGCGGCGGTGTGGAGCGGCGCTAATCTCTTTGTTGCAGACTGCGCCTTTCTCTCATTCAGTTAACGCAGCATTTTGTCTTGACAAATGAAGCTCATTATTTAGGTCGACAGTTACCGTATATTCCCGATTATAAGAAGCGTGCATGTCCCGTCTGTGTGGGTTTTTTTTGTCTCTCACCGCCAATGTTCAGCGTGTGTCGTATAATCCTATAGGGAATAGAGGACGTGAATGCGGCCAGATTTAAATCACGCCGTTGACATCGAGTCCGACCTGGGGTGTGCGTCTTACTGGTCGGGGCGTCTTATAATCCCGAGAATACTGTCCTCGGGGGAGCACGATCTGCGTCGAAGGAGCGCGTCGTCTTCATAATGTCCCATCGGAAAACGACGCTCGGCTCTAGCGAATCCCCACTGTCTCCAGCAGCAGGCGACGGAGTCTGAAGCGCCGTGGGATTACGGCGCGTTGAGAAAGAAGCCGAACGTCCCTCGGGGAGTCTTGAGGCTCTGCGCGGGCGTTGCGTTCGCCGTTATTGAGTGCTCCGTGCACGTGTCCATAAGGCATCATGAGTGTAAAGTACTCACAACCTGTCCAGGTTACACAAGGGTGCTGTACATAAAGCAATGCGAGTGCTGTCATTCGTCGTGCAGACTTTTACGTCGAAGCGAGGGGGGAGCGGTGGCGCATTGGTTAGCGCACTCGGCTATGAACCTGTCCACCTGATATTGATTTGAGTTTGATTCCGGTCCCACGGCTCACAATCGGTGGCAAGTCGTATGTGACCAGGTCTTGCCCCCATCCCTCCCGCCTTTAATTAATCCGTTCTGACCAGCGTGGTGAAGTATGGTCAAACAAATCCCGATGACTTACGCGGCGTGGGGAGGCCTTCATCCAGCAGTGTCAAGAGCTACTATTCATTGTTACGTGTAGTTAATTTTATTTACAACAACAACAACGAAAAACTCGCAGCAGCGGAGACGTCAATTACACAAATTTCACGGGACACGGGAGAATAACAATTTTGACGCACACCAAAGACACAGATCCCCCGTATAGCCCTAACGTACTGTTGGGGCAAGTGCTGTGAGCCAGAATCTATGAACGCCGGTAACGGCACACGAGGGGTGGTCAGCCATCACCACGCCCGGACGCCTTTGTCTCCCGAGTGGCGATGTGTACACAACACACCAGGTACTCATTTGAGGCCGAGTCGACCTAGGGGAGCCCCAGGATCTTTTCAGATATTGGTCACCCGATACGGCGCACGTTGTGACAGGCGCTCTTAGATGTCCTGACCTATATGCATCTATTTACATCGAGCAGAGTGAGTGACATTATCAATATGTATCACCCTGTGCGGTGCCACTGCTGGGTCAAGGTCATCACCCCGTCTCGCCAGCCCGAGCCCCGCTCCCTGTCCCTAACGAATCCCCTGGTGATGCTGCTGCTGCATTGGCAGTGGTGGTGCACAAGCACACTTAACACAAGAAAACAACAACAACAACACATTCGTAAATGACATTGCGACGTTCCGGGCAATGCCCCTTCACAGAACGTATAGAGTCGACATTCGTTCAGCTCGTCTGATATGGGCACCATTTCTGTCCCGATCCAATCTGGTAATCTCTGAGATCCATCTCACCATCATCATCACCATCCTCATTGATATTCTGCACACTTCTACGCAACGAATCGACCTCGCGTACCCTGCAGTTCCACTGCTGACCACGCATCCCCGCGTCGCACTGTGTCCATGGACACACGCCTGGTGGTGTGTCCATGGTGTTTTATGTTCAGAACCAACGTTTGTTGCTGAGTTGGAGGTCGCTCATTCCCCTCTGCTGCCCCCACGGTCTGGAACTTTCCACCCATCCCCAGCCATCCATGCTATAGACTCCCCGTCAATGTTCAAATCCAGGCTCAAGACCTCCTCTGCCGATGACCGCATCTCTCTCTCTCTCTAAAGCAAATACTTCGACTGTCTCTGTACAGCGTCTCGAGACGCGGCCACACGTGCGCGCATTATACATAGAAAATCCACGTTGTAATTGCATAGTTTCATTTCGTCCACGCACCCATAATCCGCCGAAGCGCACACCCCAGCATTCATTAGGAAAATGCGTAATGAGCAGAAAGGCTGCGTGGGGGGTAAGGGATGATGGTGTGTGGGGGGTAAGGGATGATGGTGGGTGGTGGTGGTGGTGGTGCAGTAAAAGAGCTTAGTTGACATTCCCTGGGCGCGTATGTGACTGTGCGTGTGTGTGCGCGCGTGTGTGTGCGCATAACACAGGCTGAGCCTTTGTTATGGAGAGGTGCGGTTTGTGACTCAACCTGTAACAGATTACTCAGTTGAGTAATCATTGGAAAGATGTGATTAACCATGCAAAAAATATTTAACTACACTTATTTGCCAATCTTATTTGACAGACAACCATCACAGTTGTACCATGCTTAGTGGTGGTCTCCCTGTTACAGGTTGAGTCACAAACCGCACCTCTCCATAACAAAGGCTCAGCCTTTGCTACAACTCGGTGGGCTCAGCCTTTGTTATGCAGTCTATTCTTAGTCTTAAGCCTCACCTTACCATATTAATAAAACGTATGCGGCCCTTGCACCCCCACCTTCTCCGACCTTTATATAAACGGAGTGGTAGCTCCTACAATCTCTCATTTACTTGATACAGCCGTCGTGGCTGTGACGGTACCACCTGAAGACGGAAGCTTGTGTTGCCTCCGAAACGTCGTGATTTTTATTTTATTTTACTTTTTAATGTTTTTACCTACGTGACTTTACCGAAAAAACCTAAGAATATGAATCATTGCAGTCACGAAAGCTTCAAATCTAGAATAGAAGTGAGTAGTTTGTCGAGATTTACGATTATACTGTAAATCATAAGAATAGGGGTTTCCCATTTTTTCTGCCAATAAAACTGAAACCTTTTTACAAGGAATTATGTCTGCATTAACCACAATGCTTGTGGTCAGAAAGCAAAACAACACATACTCTGATAATATAATGTATGCATTGTCTTGGAAACTGATTGGTCCACACCAGAGACAGCTTTCTGATAGGTCCACACCAGCTGTCTCTGGTGTGGACCAATCCGTTTCAATGACAATGCATATATTATTAGAGCATGTGTTTTGTTTGCATTCTGACCACAAGTATTGTGTTTAATGCAGACATTATTCCTCGTAAAAATGTTTAAGTTGTGTTGCCTTTGTGTGTGTGTGTATGTGTGTGTGCGCGACTCGTGCGGAGATGATTACACGAAGCTGCGTGTCAGCCCGGCTCTGACGCGCGATCCGATCTTCATTTCGCTAATTGTCAAATCCACTCGGCGTCGAGCGCGCGAGTCAGCCGCGGGGTTTGGAGGCTTGCGCACGCGTGGAGGGGCGGGCGGGCGGGCAGACGATTTGACGCCTGCCTCTGCTTTAGCAGGGGACCCACCCACTCTTTCAGTGGACACCTCTCACCCCACTCCTCCCACCAGCAGCCCCCTACCCCCCCCCCATACGACACGCGTGTATATATAATACTCTAGACCGCACGTGCTATCACCTGCGCATCGCCATCTGTAGAGGACGCTCTCGGCACAGGTATTCGACGCTCGTCAGACAAAAGCGAAGTTTGGCGGATCTCTCGCAGTGCTCTCGGGTCGGGTACCGCGTGTGGCTCGGCACACGATGTCCGACGTTCCCACAGCTGTCATACCACACGGTTCACTCCGTCTTCTTGTGCAGGGAAATCGAAGTTTTTCAGGTCCATACGGCGTACAGCCGTTTCAATACGGGCAACATTTTTTGGGACTATTTGTTTGTGTGTTCCTCCCTTGTGATGGGACTTTGTAGGATGAACGTTGAGATTTATAAGGGCACGGGGTGACCAATAAGATCTGAATATGTCTGTAATAAGGTAGGGGCACTGATAAGGGGTTGACAGGTATGTGTCCCGCTCCGAGCACGTGGAGCGAAACGTTTTATCATAGTCTAATTATCATGTAATCAACGTGATCATCCAATCATCCTAATTTCGTCATCACTAAAATCATTTCTTCATCATTACATTTTATAATGTATCATCATTGTCATCATCATCCATTGTCAAATATTATTGCATCGGTTGTACCCTGTGTGTGTACATGTACCCTGTGTGTGTACATGTACCCTGTGGGGAGCGGTGGCGCAGCGGTTAGCACTCTGCGCGACAAAGCCGACGACCCAGTTCGATTTCCCGCTCACGGCCAACACCAATTACGATTCCTTGTATTTGAACCGGTCCTGGGGCTCCACTGGGTCGACGCATCTCCAAATGAGTAAACATCGCTACTCGAGAAACGAGGGCGGTGGTGGTGGCCACACCACCCCCCCCCCTAGTGGGCCGTTCCGGCCTTCATAAGTCCTGCTTACTCGCTAACAACACTTGCCACAAAAGTCTGTTAATGCTATACGGTGGACATTTGTCTTGTGTACCTCGTGCAGGCTCAGCCGCAGCGCACTGATCACTGTCGCGATGGGGCTGGCGAGCAGCGGCAGCGGCGAGCGAGCGGGTAGCGAGCGCAGCGTGGCCCATCACCTTCACGAGTGGTACAGGTGCGAGGGTGCACGCGTGTCCGTGTGTGTGTGTCCGTGCGTGTGTGTGCGCGTGTGTGTGTCCCCGTGTGTGGGCACGCGTGTCCGTGTGTGCGTCCGTGTTTGTGTGCGCGCGTGTCCGTGTATGTGTGTGAGTGTACGCGTGTCCGTGTGTATGTGTGTGCACGCGTGTGTGTGGGCACGCGTGTGTGTGTGTGTGCATGTGTGTGTCCACGCGTGTCAGTATGTGTGTGTGCACGCGCGGAGGGGGAGCCATGGCGCAGTGGTTAGCGCCGCTGAACTTTGAACCCGGCCACGAGGGTTCAATTCCCGACTACGGTTCACATCGTTGGAGAATATCTGAACCTGTCCTGTGCCTCCTTCATGTCGACTCAGCCGTAAAATGAGTACATGGTGGGGTGTGTAATCAGCTTTGGGGATACAAAAGTGGTTGGGCGTGATATTAGCCACCCTTTTGTGCTGGTGTCGGCCTTCATATGTGCTCGCAAACAACACTTGCTCCAACAGCTTGTAACATGCTATACGGGGGATCTGTGTAGTTGTTGCTAGTCTGTGTGTACGTGACACAGTGGGGAACACAGGTGGCGCACAGACACGCACGCACAGACACGCACGCACAGACACACACACACAGACACGCACGCACAGACACGCACATACAGACACGCACGCACAAACACGCACGCACAGACACGCACGCACAGACACGCACGCACAGACACGCATGCACTCTGGTACATCCCAGAGGACAATGCAGAAGTGAGCGAATGAATTAATTCCCAGGACTTCTTCCACTCGTACGATCCACCACACGCGGCGAGATCGGGGAGATGAAACTGTTTTCATTACGGAGACAAAACGATAACGGCGGAGGTCATTAGATGCGTAAAGGGATTTCAAGAGCAGCGATGATGAAAAGTCTCCGAAAAAAATAACGCGCTGCCGGGAATTGCCCCAGAAGAATGTGTGAGCGAGATAATGACCGGAGACACCGCCTGCCTGCCTCTCCAGACCGTAGATTATAGCAGCAGCAGCAGTCACCCTCCCGTCTAGTGCCGTACAGATGGATTCAAGCAATCCACCATCCCCCTGCCTTCTCGCTCATCTGTTTAAAGAAGGGCCACTGCCCGAACCGTCGGCGCTAGCAGTTGTTAGCGCACCGGGAAATTAACCCTGGCGATCTGATTTTAGATTCCCCGGCCACGGCTAACGTCAGTGGCGAGTAAAATCTGAACCAGTGTTGCGCTCCGCATTGACAAGAGTGGTGAAGTATGGTCAAACAACCCCCACGTGACCGACAAGGCGTGGTGAAGCCGACACAATTGCAATGCATCATGAATATATTGAAGGCGGTGTTCATAAGTCGCGCGGTGAATGTATGGATTTTTATATTCTTAGGTTTTTTCGGTAAAGTCACGTAGGTAAAACATCAAAATTAATAAAAATAAAATAAAACAAAAATCACGACGTTTCGGAGGCAACACAAGTCTCCGTCATCAGGTGGGACCGACGGTCGTGATTTTTGTTTTATTTTATTTTTTTATTAATTTTGATGTTTTACCTACGTGACTTTACCGAAAAAACCTAAGAATATGAATCCTTGCAGTCACGAAAGCTTCAAATCTAGAAGTATGGATTTTTTTTTATCTCATTGCAAATCCAGGATAAATATGAATCAACATAATTTTGCAGGAAGCGACTCGTGTGTTTGTTTTCGAATATGTACCCACCTGTTCCATCCTCATGAATGTGGCATTTACAACTCTTGTCATGTTCACCCACCCCTATCACATCCCCTGCCCGTGACCACCGCCTCCTCCACTTCACAAGCCCCCCGCTTCCAGCTGACCATACCGATATTGCCTCCAGCCACGCTCCCACCTCCTCCGGTCGTACTTCGCCCTCGTTTGACGACGCCCCGACCTCCCCTGGCCCTTCTACGACCTCCAGTGACATCGCCCTGACCTCCTTCGGCCTTGGCACTACTGCCCTTGGCCATGAGCCGACCTCCCCTGATCGTCCGTCGACGTCCAATAACCATGCCCTGACCTCTCCACTATTCGTGTCCCCGCCTTTCCTGGCCATGGCCCCCGCCTCCCTCTGGCCATGCCTGCGGTCACCCCTGGCCGTGCCCCTGTATGCGGCTGCCCCCAGGAAGTTCATGCGCGAGTGCCCGAGCGGAATGATCACGCAGCACGAGTTCAGGCGCCACGTGTGCGCCGCGGGGGCGCTGGGCCCCGGCTCGGCCGAGTACGCGGAGCGCCTCTTCAGCACCATGGACACCAACGCGGTGGGGGCGCCCGCAAGCGAGTGTGTGTCTGTGTGTATGTATGTATTATAGTCTTTCTATGTGTGTGTGTATTAGGCGTGTGTCTGTGTGTATGTGTATGTATTACACGTGTGTCTGTGTGTGTGTATTACACGTGTGTCTGTGTGTGTGTGTATTACACGTGTGTCTGTGTGTGTATGTATTACACGTGTGTATGTGTATGTATTACACAGTGTGTCTGTGTGTGTGTGTATTACACGTGTGTCTGTGTGTGTATGTATTACACGTGTGTCTGTGTGTGTATGTATTACACGTGTGTCTGTGTGTATGTATTACACGTGTGTCTGTGTGTGTGTGTATTACACGTGTGTCTGTGTGTGTATGTATTACACGTGTGTCTGTGTGTATTACACGTGTGTCTGTGTGTGTGTGTATTACACGTGTGTCTGTGTGTGTGTGTGTATTACACGTGTGTCTGTGTGTGTGTGTATTACACGTGTGTCTGTGTGTGTGTGTATTACACGTGTGTCTGTGTGCGTGTGTATTACACGTGTGTCTGTGTGTATTACACGTGTGTCTGTGTGTGTATTACACGTGTGTCTGTGTGTGTGTATTACACGTGTGTCTGTGTGTGTGTATTACACGTGTGTCTGTGTGTATTACACGTGTGTCTGTGTGTGTGTGTATTACACGTGTGTATGTATTACACGTGTGTCTGTGTGTGTGTATTACACGTGTGTTTGTGTGCGTGTGTGTGTATTACACGTGTGTGTGTATTACACGTGTGTCTGTGTGTGTGTATTACACGTGTGTCTGTGTGTATTACACGTGTGTCTGTGTGTGTGTGTATTACACGTGTGTGTGTATTACACGTGTGTCTGTGTGTGTGTATTACACGTGTGTCTGTGTGCGTGTGTCTAGTGTAGCGGTTAGCGCGCTGTGCTGCGAACCCGGCGACCTGAGTTCGATTCCCGCTCACGAGAAACATCGATGACAAAATATCTAGGCCCTCTCCTATGTCGACCCAGCCTTAATCGAGCACCTGGTGTGTTGTCTAAACATCAGCATTGTGGGTATATGTGGCCAGGTGTGGTGCTGGCCACCAAACCTCCCGTGTGCCGTGCCGACCATCGTAGGTGCGCGCTGACTCTGCTTACCCCAACAGTCTGTTAAATGCTATGCGGGGAATATTTGTCTTTTTGTGTTTGTATCTGTGCGTTTGCAATAGTAATTGTGTGTTTGTGTGCTAGAATTAAACCATTTATGTGTTCACACTGACGCAGTACCCATGTAAGAAGGCGAATATTATGTTTGGTGAATCAGACATTGACTGTCAAGTGTGGGCTACAGGAAATTGAAAATAATACAGTATACATACTGCATGCGTGGGTCAAGGATATGCAAATTATGGGTTTACATGGAATAATCACCTCCTTTCACTTTAATTAGTGCCTTAGTTTATAACTATGTGTACAGCTGGTGCATGTGTGTGTGTGTATCTGTGTGTGTGGAAGGGAGCGGTGGTGTTGTGGTTAGTGCACTGCGCTCCGAACCCGGCAACCCGAGTTCGATTCACGCTCACAGCTAACACCAGTGACAATTATCTTAACCGGTCCTGGGCCTCCCCTAGGTCGACTCAGCCTCTAGTGAGCACTTGGCGCGCTGTGTGAAACATCAGCACTGGGGAGACAAAGGCGGCCGGGCGTGGTGTTTGTTAAGGAAGTCCCCACCCACCCACTCGTGTGTCGTTCCGGCCTTCATCGGTGTCAGCTAACGGCACTTGACCAGCGAGTCTGTTAAGGGGAGGTCTTCGTGTGTGTGTGTATCTGTGTAAGTTTGCCAGATCCACAATCATCATTTTTTGGGTTTGTTAATCCTCGATGTAAAATGTAATGGGCGCAGCTTCAAAGTCTTCTCCCGACCCGCACCCCATCCACTTCAAATGCTAATCACGGCCCCTGCCCTCAACGGGGGGGGGGGGCAGCGGGGGGGAGCGGCAGACGCTGCTGCCAAGGGTCGAGATCTGAGCTTCAGATCTTTAATTGGACGTTAATTGGAAATAATTTCATTTGGCTGTTTGTCATTCGCGAATCCTGGCCCGTGGCGAGGGGTCGGGGGCGGGGTGTGGGGGTTGGGGTGCGATGTGTGTCGACTGCGTGTGTTGAACTTTTTTCGCACCGTACGTAGCCAACCGTGATCATCAAAAGTGCGAGTAAGCGCTGTATCAGAGCTGGGATATTTGCTTATTTACGTAATCGATCACTCTACCGATGTATCGGTTCGATTACTCCAATGTGTGCTGCTGGATACCCGAGTAATTGAGCACGGAAATTGTAGCCGATTGCCATTTTGAGTCGACATCAAGCCGATTAATCCACTGGCTCTGTCTGTCACAGAACACTGCGTTGTGCCGTCACTCTGCGGGTCAGAAGCAGACGCGCCAAGCGCTGCCAGGCTCTCGGTGGGCGCTGTGTGCCAGGGGGCTGTCTGATGAGGAAAATGCCGCGTGCCGCCCACTTATCAGTCCACTGCTGGATGCCCCCACCTCACGCCGTCGTGATTTGACCATACTTCACCGCGATGCCCCAGAGCGGGTTGTGACAAGTTCGGGTGTGCCACTTGGTGCTGTCACGCTATTCCGTTCTACCGTCCCCACGTTTAAGGCAGTGGCTCTCAACATTTACTGCAGCCTTGCACCCCTTTGCTACTCAATCGTAAAAAAAAGTATAATGTTCAAAAACACGTAGGTTTGATGAAACAAAGTATTTGTACTTACATACCCGTGCTTAATTGGTTTCGACTATTTACCTTCTAAAAACAGTAGCCACGTCTCGCACCCCCAGCGTGCACCCCGAGTTAAGAACCAGAGGTCCAAGATGTTGCCGTCACGTGGCGTCCCACTGCGCTACGTCAACCATCACAGCGCCACGCCGCGCAGCGTGGTGCCGCCAGACACTCAACCCATCATCCTGCCGGGAGGTGCATAAATCGAGTACCACTTTGCACACGCAGGACGGCGCCGTGGATTTCTTGGAGTTCGTGACGGCGCTCAGCCTCCTGCTCGAGGGCTCGCCCCAGCAGAGGCTCCACTGGTCCTTCCAGCTGTGCGACCGGGACAGCGATGGGGCCATCACCAGAGCCGAGATGTTGGAGATCATGAACGTGAGAATCTTACCTCCACCACCACCACCACCACCATCATCGCTTCATGTTTATCCCGAGGCGCCCTGCGGCAGAGGCCTCGGGGTGCCACGTGTCCCTGTGCGGCGCAAGGTGGACGCGGCAGCGGCCTGCACGCGGGCGTGAGGCTGCCAGTCGGAGGGCGATGTCGCTCCGTTCGCACGGTTGGCTAAGTACGATGAGAAAGAAGCTCAACATGCATGCATGGCTTCCCAGTTGTGTTATTGCATTGGTCCACCACCTCTCGCACACAGACACACCCCAGCGTCGAGATACTGGTTCACGTATCTTGTGGCAAGAACGTAGAGAAGGAGTTAGAAAGTTCGCAGGAGGTGGGGGCAATGATGAGTGTTGTTGAGGGGGGAAAGGCACGCGATACTCTCGTGGTATGTCCTCCCTAAATCGCAAATACATGACAATGCCCTTTCAGAGGCAGCTACCAATGATAAAGCAACAACAACGATCCCGGGTGGCAGTGGTGGCTACGCTGAGGCAGCAGCGAGCGTTGATGGATCACACACAGATGATGTTGCGAAACTCTCTTCCCGTGGGCGTCGAGGAGGAGGTGGCCATACCCTGGCTTGCCAGGAGAAGGCAGCGCAGCAAGTTAACTCATCGCCATCTTCTTCTTGGTTCTTTCGGTAAAGTCACGTAGAAATGAAATAATAACAATTCTACGTGACTTTACCGAAAGAACAAAGAAGATGAATCCCTGCAGTCACGAAAGCTTTAAATCGAAATTCATCGCCATCTGTTTCCATCGCACTCCCCCCACCCCCCGCCCCCCCAACGCCCGTACCACGCAGGCCGTGTGCCGGATCGACGTGGCCCTGGGTGGCGGACACGGCTCCCTGGGCCCTGTGGAGTGCACGGAGCGCATCTTTGCCGGCCTCGACAAGGATCACGACGGTACGCGACAGCCGACGTCCCCGTGCGCGTGACCAGCGGGGCACGAATTGGCTGCACAGACCCGAGCGCTGTCGGTTGGCCGACTGAGATGACTGGCAGCTGTGCTCCCCACTGTGCCACTTGGCTGCGTTTTATCCACCCGGCACTCCGCTCGATGTTGTGAGCGTCGCTCCTCTACCCTCCGTTGCTTGTGGAGGGCAATTGCCTCCAAATGGCCCAGTAGCGTCCTTCACAAGCCTCCTCCTACACAACAAAGACAAAGATCGCTCTATAGCCTTCACAGACTGTTAGGGCAAGTGCTGTTAGCTAGCACCTATGAAGGCCGGCACGGCACATGAGGGGGTGGGTGGCCAGCACCACGCACGACCGCCTTTGTCTCCAAAGTGGCGATGTTTACACACCTCACCGGGTACACATTTTGAGACTGAGTCGACCTAGGGGAGGCCCAGGACCGGTCAGCTGGTGTTGGCTGTGAGCGGGAATCAAACTCGATTTGTTTTGGGTCTGTCCCCTTAGCACATATACATATTAATGGAACAATACATCATTCAATAATTTTCCGTATCCCACTCTTCACTCGGCCACAGTCGTTCCGCGCTTGTTTCACAGCAGGCGCGGCCCGTGGTCGGGATTGATTGGCCACTGGCCGCGTGCCCGAGCGGTTGCTTTGATTTCATGAACTCGACGGACGAGGCCGCAGACTTGGGACACACGGGTTCACACCCTCGCGTTGACCCGATGCGCGTGTTGGCCATGATGGACCACGCCTGTCATTGCGACGCATTGGAGGTGGCGGAGGGTTGGTGAATCGCGCAAATATCGTTGTGTGTCAGACACCCAAATTTCAGGGCTTCGGTGTCCGGTAGGTGACAGTACAGCAAGTAGGATTATTATTTATACAGGTTTGAGTTTTATTCTCTTCAATACCGGAGTTGCGAGTTAAAATCCCGACTGGAAGAGATCAACTTAGTCAATCATTTTTCCAGGGTCGGTAAAATCTAAACTACCGTATAAAGGAAGCGAGCAGCCGTTCTATGTACAGACTTGTGTTTTTGTCACATGAATGTGGAATTTCCACAACCGAGATGGGCACCTTCCCAGCTCTCAGTAGATAACGAAGACACGATGACCCTCCTCACGTGTCGTGCCACGTGCGACTTTGAGCTAGACACTGACCTTCACCCTGACCTTGACTGTGCAGCGCTCATCACCCTGGAGGAGTTCACGGAAGGCGCCATGGCGGATGCGTGGCTCCTCAGCACCCTGCAGTGCGACCCGGCTCGCATGCGCGTCCAACCCAAATCCTGCTGAGTCGAAGTCAAGGGGAGGGGGCACCCCCCACCCCCCCACGCCTCCTCCCCTCTCCCCCTCGTTCTCCCGCTCCTCCACCTGAGCCGGGTGTTAGGGATAGAGTTGAGGGGTAGGGGCTTTGCCAGTCGGGGTCTATTGAGCCCTCTGCTGCGGCAGAGGGCCCACGTGGTCGCGTGATTATCCACTCCTCACAGCGGCGCGTGGAGGAGTCCTATCGAGGTGCACAGAGTTGAATCAGACGTCCGTTCTACGGCCACGTCAACACATTAATTCGAATTTTGGATTAGTGTGCCAGGGCAGGATCCTCATGCCCAGGGGCCTGAGACACGGTGTGTGCTTGCTTTGCTTGAATCATTTAGAACGTTGTCGTTATTCACGAGAATTATAGGGGCACGTTGGTGAATAGTTGAAGGTTTGTTATCGTGTGTGGCTTTGATGAACGGATTTTTTTGTTTGTTATATATTCATCGTATTACGGTTAACAACTGGTTCGTAAGAAATTTAATCCTAAATAATCAATTGGCTAAACACCCAAGCAGAATTAATCAGTGAGAATAATCCGGATTAAAACAGATGGATATGAATCAACTATGCGTTTAATTATACTTTTTTTAAATCTCAAGGGCATCTGGTGGCAACATGGATAGACAATGATGGGCAACAGGTCTCGTTTGACACCGCCACGTGCTCAGGGCGTGCCCTTTATTACGATCTGGCCCTTGTTGTCGAGGCCACATCGCTTAGAGACTGGTCCTGCCTGTGCTTGCATATTCCCCGAAGTTGTACAATGAATATTCACAAGGACAGATTTCTCTGAAATACCACCCTTGTTACATATCTCACGGATAGATCTCGATGCTCTGTTCAGCAAGGAGTGAGCCAATTTATTAATTATGAATTTAGCTTGCTCGGTAATTTCTTTTGTATTGTTTTCAAAACTTTGTTACCAGCACACAATCGCGTATTCTTGTGAATTATATCACAGAGTCACAGCTAGAGTGAGCCGTGTGTCAAGTGTCCACTGCAGAAACTCGTGTGACCTGGAGTTCCTGCCCCTGACATGGCCCAATCGATAGCGTGTTGACTACTTGGTGCAGAATTTTGCAGCTCGAACCAAGCAGGCCGCCCTAGTGACTATAAATTGTGCACCGTCCACTTCTAAGTAGATATTAAATATCCCATGACGTTCTTGGAGAGAGAGAGAGAAAGAAGGCAATCGTGTACCAACTCGCATCGTCCAAATCGTATGTGCAGTTGGAAAAATATGACCCGAATGTGACCGAATTGTAATAACGAGATAGCAACACCTCTTCCCATCGGCCAACGATACCCATTTGCAGACCGGTGTTGCCACTGGTGGTCCCCTAGGCTTGTCTTCCACATGGAAAGGAACGGTTTAGCCGGGATTTTATGTCAGGTGCGTTCAGATGCCGAGGCATTTACGCATCCGACAAATGCAAATCCTAAGTCTGTTCCTCGAGTTGTCTTCACAGCTTTCCTCCTCACCCCACCTCCACCCCCCCCCCCTCCCCATGCCTGACATTTAAACGTTCGTTATTTAATTTCGAAACACGCGGGGAACTCAGCTCAGAGCTGCCTCCTCACCCTCCTCCTTCCGCACAATTCCCCCGTCGCTGCCCTCGGCGATGCGTAATTGGCGGATGTTTTTGAAAGGGAAATGATGGCGACGTCTTCCTTCATTACATCTCTCGACGCGTGGGGGTGTGGTGGCGGTCGCGGTGGCGAGATTCCTCACGGCTCGCTCACCTCGGCGAGGTGGATCTCACAGAGTTTGGCAAACGTGAACGATGACCAGTACGGGTCGTCATCGCGAACATCTTACACAATCAGAATCTTCAATATAATATTTAATCATCATCGTAATCGACACACATTATTATTATTCATTGTAAAATATCAGCAGTTAAAAATCAATATCATCTTCATCTTTCCACATCAAAAGCACGCTGAGCAGTGACGCAGTGGCCAGCAGTTTAGCCACTGGTTGCAAAGGTTCGCTGTTCGGAACCCAGCGGCAGCCCTGGTTATTACTGCGGTGGTGCTCGGTATGAATGATAATCATACGCACCGTCTCTTTCACAGTTTACGTTGAAGATTCCGTGACAAGTTGTCCATTATGTGCCGGCGTCTATGGTTCAAATTTCCATAATTTTAAAAATGACGCTGCAAATTACTCAATTGGAATAACGAATACACGGCAATCATCGCCGCCTCCTGCAAAACAAAATTGACAGAACCCTCCTGAAAGAGAGGCATGAGACTCGACGAGGCTTACATGGGAAAACAAGAAGCATAACAATTATCGTCCATCATCAAAAACCATCACCCAAGGCACCATAAAACATCATCCATTATCACAAATAATTCTCATCATCAAGAACCCGAACTGTATGAAATACATTTGTTTTGTATCAACTGACAAGGCACAGGTTTGATTTCCCAAGTGGGAATGAATTTAGGTGCACGTCAGGAACGTTACAAATAATGACGCGAACGTGAGACTCAATCCCGTGTGGATCACGGCCACGTGGCATTGAGGGCGGTTAGGAGTTCCCCCCCCCCCCACCCAACCCTCCCCACCCACCCTGCAAATCCTCCTCATTTGTGGTCATGAATTATTGGTGAAGTAGCTGCCAGCACGTCACGGGTCACTCACCAGGGCCTCCAGCAGCCGCGCGGTCTTCATCCGCCAGTCCAGGGTGGGTGGGGGTGGGGGGGTGGCGAACAGGTGAGGGGTGAGCGGGGCTCTGCTGTGTTCACCATCCACCCCCTGCCCCTTGCGCCCCCCCCCCCCCACTGCCGCCTGCGCCCGCCTCAGCTACAGCAATATTCGTCACACATCAATGCCGCAATACGTGGTGGGAGTGGTGGCGAGGTGGTTTGTGCACTGCGCTATGTGAACCCTTGTGGAATATTTTGACATTTTTTATTTGGGCACGCTTGTTTTTGTCCTGATTTATATTTGCTTCTTTGCTGTTGTTTAGTTTTATTTGTTCTGGCTCTTGTCATGTTGGTGGCCCAGGATCACTCTTGCAATTGGCATGTACCCTGGTCTCTTGGGTTCTCACCACGGCTAATATCTGTGGCGAGTAATATCTGGGCCGGTCCTGGTTCCGTTTTTCACCGTCCCGCATTGACCCGAATGGTGAAGTATGGTCAAACATATCCCCATGAACAACATGGCATGGTGGAGACCTTCATCAGTGGAACGACAAATGCCTTTAAATATCAATCGATTAAACATAAATTTGAAACATTACATTACAGCCAGTGTCCACTGCTGGACTAACAGGTTCAATGTATTTTCCTGTAATGAGATAATTTTTCAATCCACTGCTCGATGAATTAGACTGACAAATAATAATAATAATACAATTATTTAGATGTATAAGTTGTCCTTAAACAATGGATCAGACAGCACCATGCCCGCAAAGGGAAAAAAATAAGTGAGAAGAAACTGTGGGGGGGGGGGGGGGGGGGCGTCTATTGAGACACAATAGAGACGTAGGGAGGAGGCAATTTGTAACCAGTTGGTGGGGCCTCAGCTGGCATTTAAATGTCTCTATCGACTCCGAGTTGCTCATCTCGTGTTAGTGAACGTGTGTTAGCTATGAACGCCAATAAACCACCATCCCTTGTGTGAGCGGAGTGCGACCGGCGTCTCTGGCTGGGGCGTCGTCGTCTGCGTGAAGGAGCCTCACGCGTTCACGGTGCTGACTGTCACCGCCAACATGCCGCGATTTGCCAAACAAAATTAATCCAATGGGTCAGAGCAGATATTGGCACCACCCAAGTAAGATATCTAAAATGTACTCGCAGCGACGTACGCGGCTAATAATAATAGTTAATGAATTAATAACCCCACTCATTCCCAATGCTTATTGTATAATTAATTAACTGATATTTGGCCACTATGGGAACCTTAGTGCGCCTTTTGGCGTCATCTGGTCCAACCCATGTGAGACTAGGCTCTAAGGAAAGCTGTCTCGGGTGTGGACCAATCAATCTTCAAGGACAGTGCACATTATCAGAGTTATGTCTTTTGTTTGTATTACGACTGCAGGTATTGCGGTCTATGCAAACATGACTCCTTGTAAAAAGGTGTCAGTTTTGTTGCCAGATAGAAGGGTATAAAACCAATTATCATTATGATATTTGGCCACTTTGAACTACTGGGACCGCTGCAGTTATGCCACCGTGACAAGTGAGCTGGGCTCGCCGACTGAATCGTTGGTGATGGCTCCACCGAGCGGTATCCTCGCCACGGAAAATCCCACGAGAAGAAGCCGACAACACGACGCCTCCCGTGGCGTTAGCCCCGACTGGGGAGGCTCACGGGGCGAGTGTCGCGGGGTTCGCCAACGGGTCAGAAGGAGGCGCCGCGTCTGAGCTTTGCTCTCGTTGCGTTATCGGGCCCTGCTGGGCAGGTTCCGGACGTGCCAAGGTCTCTGTGATGCCAACCTCCACCGTCGGGGTCTTCGTGACAACCCGCACTGCAGCTGCTGGCACCGTACGAACCACGTCGCGCATCCTTGAAGTTCAGCGGAGTGCTTGCGAGCGCTGCGCGTAGCCATCGAGGGCGCGAGCGCTTGGCTCGGTGATTTCGCACTCGCTGAGTGAATTCCCTCCGACCAAGCGACCCTCACGGAGGGTGCGCGCGGTGGCCTCTCCTGTCCCCCGTTCTCATTCGTCGGTTCGTCGGCAAACGTTTTGAGCGCGCACAAAGTGAACTTTCAAAAGGAGATTCAGAGGGCGCCTATTCCATTCCCATTGTCGCAAGGAGCACAGCGGGAGTCGTCGGCCGCTGCTCCTGCGGCCTAACGCGGTGAGCGGCAAAAGGGAAGTGCAGAAAATAAGCCGCTGCCGTGATTCCTGTGCTGCTCAGCCGTCACCGATCCGCGTTGACCAACGTGGTGAAGTATGGCCAAACGGCCCCCGCTATCCGAATGGCGTGGGGGCGGAGTGCCTCACGTCCCTTCGTGGATGGACAGAGGGGGCTGTGCCAAGCACATCTCGGCGTCGCGTTGCCATGAGATGAGAGAATATCCATTCAGCTTTATCACAGTGAGCATCGTGACATCGTCTCCCCTTGGAAAATGCTGCCACAGAGCTACTTCCTAATTGCCTTCAATTACCTTCTATCCACACTAGGTGGTGGTGCTCTTCCTATCCACATGCCCCTGATGTCGAGGTGTTCGTCGCTTGGCAGTCAGGCCAATTTGATGTTAGTTTTCTTGGCAGCCCACACGTCCTTCAATGTCTCTCCATCCCTCCCTCTCTCTATCCTACCAGCCAACCAGTCAGCAAACATTTTCCTAATAGAGCAGCCCACGTTCTTTGGACGTGATCGTCCATCAATCCGTCTTTCCCTCCAGCCAGCCAGCCGGCAACACGTTTGTTTTTTAAAGTCTAAGAATGTGAATTTGCCGATTTTAGTGAAAACGTACTTAATTATGTTTTGGTATGCAGTCACTGGTTCGCGGGGCTGAGACCATCAACTCGCTACAATCACGAACCAGTTTTAATGCCTGGCGGCTGAAACCCGAATTCGAACTCGAGTATCTATTTCTCAGAAGAGGCAACTGATCGTGTCTGACGAGGCCGTTATGGAGCGCCCGAGGCAGCCGGCCTCCTCGGGCGCGCGCGACCTTGAGATGGATGAGATGACGGCTCTCGCGTCCCAACATGAAATACCCATCTCCAACGAGATGCATGCCGAGAATTCTAAAGTAGATGCCCCAATTCTTCTTCGTCCAGCCCATCCCTGCATGTGCGCGCGCGTGCGTACGTGGCAGTGTTTGGGATGATTTTTCCACCGGAGAAAGAGTTTTTCTGCCCGCAGTGCCGCGTCTTTCCGTGAGCAGCACTGATCCCCACCTTTATCCAAGTTTCACACCTGGCGCGGACTCCTCCACAACGCGGTGATATAGGATTAGTGGTGGGTCGTGCCTCTTTGTTCTGATGTCCACGCGATGTCCTTGTCATATTGTCCACGTGGTGTCGTCACCGCGTCTTGATGGTCACGTGGTCTCCCTGTCCTGCTGTAAGCCACGTGTCTCTGTACCGCCGCGCACGCATCTACGATCAGCACGGTTGGCTACGTAGGGTGCGAAAGAAGTTAAACACACGTACACGCGGCTGCTCGCTGCCTGCTGCATGTGGCGTTGCTCTCATTTCACTGTTGGCCGCGCGTCTCATCGGAGCGCCGCGCGTGATGAAGAGAGTTGAGTGGCCTGGAGGAACCCGCATCCTTGGTGCTGACGGCTCCCTTCATCACCGGGGCCCCGGGGTGACCGGGCAGAGCAGACCCTTCCTTCAAGCCCACACTCCTCACGCCTCCACCCCATATCCAGCCTCCCCCTCTACCCCTCTCATTTCTCTAACCCCCCCCACCCCATCGCCATGAATCTCTCCCTCCTTCCATCCACTACCTATCCTCATTCCTATTTCTCTCCATCCTCCGCTATCCATTCGTCCACCCTATCCCATCTTCCCTGTCTCCCTCCGCAAATCAATTTGAATTATACACAGCAATATTCACCCCCCGCTCCCCCCCCCCCCACCTACTGTGAAAACTTGGTAGGGCCCTCCTGATAAACGGCATGAGACACAGCGAGAGTTTCTTGGGTAAAACAAAACAAAAACAAAAATCGGAATTATAAATATAAACATTATTTATGTTTATATATTATTTATATAAACATATCGTATCATCCATTCATGCTCCCTCCATCCATCCTCCCCCCCATCAACAACCCTCCCTCTCCCAGCCCCATCTCCGCACCCCCCCCCCCCCCCCATTCTCCCTCCCCACCCTCATCGCTCCCTCTATCCATACCCCCTCCACCCTCTCCACCCCCACGAGAAGAGCCTCACCCCTCGTTGTCTGCTCACCTCCAGGACTTATTCTCCGGGCGCGGCCTTGGCACGGGGCGTAGCGAGTGATGAGTCGCCATGCGACTGCCTCTCGCCTTTAATTGGGTTCCTCGTTTGGGAGACTCGTCGAGATGAAGAGCCGCATCAGGCGCAGAGGTTTAATTTATTCATGACCCCACAGAATGGAACGATTGCATTTAAATAACCGAGGATTAACCGTGGACGCATTCGGCATCGGCGTTGCATCTCCCCATGGGCGTCTGCCCCACATTGGCCGCGATGCCACCCCACGGATGGAGCGACGAACACCTTCATGGAGATGGCGCAGTGATGTCGCGCACCGCGCGTGCTATGAAGCCTGCCTGAGCTCAATTCCCGGCCACGGCTAACATCAGTGGCGAGTGATATCTGAACCGATGTCACCCCCGCACCACTGTCTCATTCACCAACCCGCACTGCGCACACGTGGTGAAGTATGGTTAAACCACCCCCATTACCGACACGGCGTGTGGAGGCCTTCATCCAGCAGTGGATAGATCACAACTGATGACGATGTCGAGTCGTACGCGGAGGTGTTTGAGCCACGTGTTTGCATGAGCGACGTCCTTGGAGGACCAGTGGTGACGTGAGAATGTGGAGTTGGTGCGCGATATGCCACCAGCCTACCCCAACGCCCCCCCAGCCCGTCGTTGATCATCTGGCGACGTCTCGTGTCCCCCAACACGGCAGGAAGGTTCATTAATTACTCCTCGGCTGCGGATTAATTAGCGGGCGGGTTCCGCAATCAGGCGGCTCGCCTGTCCTCTCGCCGTGCCGCCAGGGAGCTGTGCGGGGTGGGGGGGGGAGCTGGTCCGGGGTTTTTATTGCGCGCGTCGACGTGAGCGCTTCCCTTCGACCGCGTCCACGCCGACCGGGTTCATCAACCTCGCCTCTCGCGGCAACGTCGCCACGGGACACTGGAACAGAAAGAGGCACCAACAGCCCCCCCTCGCAATTACTGCTGGCGGTGTGAGTTTAATTGCAATAGTGGGGGGCGCGGGGGGGGTCCTGAAATGCCAGGCGAACCCTGGGCCCGTAGTTGACCTTTGTTCGTTGTACGCAGCCTGCCTGGTCGGGCGCCACGCCCAAGGCATCGTGTGCCTGACTCTGTGGCGATCAAATTCTTTATTTCAGACTCCAGGAGGAATCCGTTGCACTAGGAAGCTCTTCTTGTTCACAGGTGTCCAGCAGGTTGTGCGTGGGGAGCGGTGGCGCAGCGGATTAGCGCATGCCACGCTTTGAACCCGATTGGTGGCTCACAGCCACCAACACGAGTGACGACTGTTTTAACCGGTTCGGGTCAACTCAAACCACCAATCTCGCCATGCTGTCAGTCTGGGTGTGTATGTGGAGCTCACTTCGCACCGTACGTAGCCAACTATGCAAAGGCGTATGGTATTACTGGATTCTCATCAGTGCGCTATGCAGAACGGATATTTCTAGAAACGGCGCCTGTAATAGATTTAGTTTCATTTTAGGGTCAGTGTTATTGGCGAATGTGTAACGTTGTCTTTGCTCTGTGTGCTTATGCACCCACCGCTGCCAAGGCGGAGGCCACGCATCTCTCTTGTTTAACGATGAGGGTGACGCTGCATTGCCCTCTGCTTCCCACGACTCTGCCCAGTAGCAGCAGCAGCATCAGCCGAAAACAACCCCTCTTTCATACATCCTCATCACCCATCCAAGCAGTATCCAGGCTCAACCTGCTTAGCTTCTCAGCTCGTTCCGGGTCATATGGTCTTGGGCAGAACTCAATGAGGATGCACAAAGAGACGAGGCTAATAGACAGGCAGCCTCCACTGGCTTCACATACGAGGCAAGAGGCACAATTACGGCTTTCATACGGAATACATTATTTGTGTGTGAGTCTCTATTCCAATTCAATCTGTGTGTGTGTGTGCGTGAGTCCCTATTCCGTGGCCGCCTTCTCGATTTGCTTTCGTTTTTTGTTCGCGTAAGTGTTTTGCAATCGAGTGAGCAGAAATTGGAAACTGAATAGGTCATAACAGAAACCGAGATATTACCTCCCTTTGGAACAAGCGTGTCCCCCTCTCAAGGCCATGGCAACAACACAGTGTTTATCCGGCCTTGAATTATATTGATTTGAAAACATTTAGGATAAATTGGACAATGTTGATGAATTGTCTTTTTTGTATGCGTGTTTGGTAAAATCCATTAGTAACCAAATGTCTACACCGTAAATGATCATTTTCTTGCCCCGAAAATAAACATCATGTGCTGTTACAGATTTCGAGACCCAGAATGCGTGCGATCTCGTCAGATCTCAGCGCGAATCTGCGGAAGGCCCGGAGCATAGACGTGGGAGCATAGTGCAGTACAACAGTGGCATGTTCTGCCCACGTTTCCTAGGGCCTTAGTCTGGGCTAATTATTAACGCGATTTTTTACAACTCCCGGGCAATCGGGAATTATTTGCACATTGGAGGTGGTGGTTTACTTAGCCACACAGTGTCCCAGGTCGCTTAGCCACGGGGGGGAGTGGGCTAACAATCCCTGGGGGTCAGCATTTAGATATGTGTGTGTGGGGTTTGTGTGTGTGTGTGGGTGTGTGTGTGTGCGGGGTGTGTGTGGGGTTTGTGTGTGTGGGGTGTGTGTGTGTGCGGGGTGTGTGTGGGGTGTGTGTGTGGTGTGTGTGTGTATGGTGTGTGTGGTGTGTGTGGTGTGTGTGTGGTGTGTGTGGGATGTGTGTGGGGTCGGTGTATGTGTGGTGTGTGTGTGGGGTGTGTGTGTGTGGGGTGTGTGTGGGGTGTGTGTGTGGTGTGTGTGTGTGGTGTGTGTGTGTGGTGTGTGTGTGTGGGGGGGTTGTGTGTGTGTGTGTGGGGTGTGTGTGGGGTGTGTGTGGTGTGTGTGTGTGGGGTGTGTGTGTCTGATGTGTGTGTGTGGTGTGTGTGTGTGTGTTTGGTGTGTGGGGTGTGTGTGTGTAGGGTGTGTGTGGGGTTGTGTGTGGGGTGTGGGGTGTGAGTGTGTGGGGTGTGTATGTGTGGGGTGTGAGTGTGGAGTGTGTGTGGGGTGTGTGTGGGCGGGGGGCAGGGAATCTGCCTCCCCTCCTCCCCACCCCCAGCCTCCCTGAGACTGGGTTCACCGCCCCCCACCATTGTGCCCCCTCTCTCCGCACGGCGGAGTTGTTAGTGAGTCGCCCCGGCACGCACACGCAGGCGTCACACTCGTCATCGCTACCCCCCTTTCGTTCACTCAGCCCCCCCCCCCAGTTGCACCCCCCTCGCCTTCCTGTCACTCACACTTTGTTTTGTCCGTGACCGTGGTAACGAGCACCGCAAAGTTTAAATACCCCACTACCCCCCTTTACCCCTCTACACACACACACACCCCCCACACACACCCCACACACACCCCACACACACCCCACACACACACACCCCACACACACACACACACCCCACACACACCCCCCACACACATACTCCACACACACCCCACACACACCCCACACACACCCCACAAACACCCCACACACACACACACACCCCACACACACACCCCACACACACACACAGACCCCACACACATCCCACACACACCCCACACACACACCACACACACCCCCCCCCACACACACACACACCCCCCACACACACACCCCACACACACAGACCACACACTTGCCCCGCCGCCCCCGCTAACGGCGGGCTCATTGAGTGGCTCCCGGTGGCGGAGATTGCGCGTGGCTCTCGAGGAGCCCCGAGGTCACCTCCGCGTGGCTCTCTCGGCACGCAGGCTCCAGCGGCACGTGGCACGTGGCACGCGGCACGTGGCACGCGGCACGTGGCCGGGTGCCGTCGCTCGCCCCCAGCGCGTCTGGTGGCGCTGTGGAGAGGGGTCGGTTGGGTCCGCATGGCTGTAAGAACAAATCTCATTCAGCAGCGATTTGAGAAATTGTCACGACTCAAGCCGATTATTATCAGTGATTATTGTTATTATTGTTGTTGGTACCCTCGATCTTTGCTTGTCTCGGGGTTTAACGGCCACGATTGTTGTATTTATTTAGAGACATTGTACACGCGCTTGCAGAGCGCTGGCGGACCCGGCAGTGGAGGGCTTCCGCGATGGCCCCCCTCCCTACTGGTGCCCCCCCCCCCCCCCCTTACACGACTGATCTCTTTAATTCTAGATTAGAAGTTTTCGTGACTGCAAGGATCCATACGCTTTTGTTCTTTCGGTAAAGTCACGTAGATGAAAAATAAATAAATAAAAATCATAACTTTCCTCTAACGAGCTTTGCTCCTCTCTGGCTCCTTTATTTGCCAGAAGAGTATTTATTTATTTATTATCTTCGTCCTTTCCATGAACGGCGTCTGTTAGACAATGGTTATAAAAGACGTCTCATGAGCGTCAATGATTGTCAATCTCAACCCAGCTTAAGATTGTGCACGGGTCGTACGCGTTCATCATTGAATTGCGTGTACGTATGTTGGACTTCTTTCGCACCGTATGTAGCCAGCCGTGCTGATTGGAGGTGCGATGGCTGCTCGTACGATGCGACGTGCTAGCTGCTTCAGCTGTGCTCTGAACAGTGCCGGATTCAGCTAATGCGGGGCCCGTAGCAGATGTCATAAAGGGGCCCTAAAAAAACACGTAAATATTAAAACACAAATTAATTACTTGCATAGTAAAGTAATTGTATTTGTTTAATATTATAAACAGCCAAATAATACGACAAATCGCTTACCTTAAACACCCTGTCGTTCATAAAAGTGTAAGGCAGTATAGTACTATAGTAATAGAGCAAGTGCAGCATCACTAAACCGGAATTGATAGCTTGAAAGCATTTATCGCGGGGCCCTTGAAAGTGCGGGGCCCGTAGCATCATATGTAGCTACTACACAAGTAGATACACATGTAGCTACTATACAAGTACATATGTAGCTACTTATGCTAATTAGATAATCCGGCACTGCCTCTGAGCGTGGACTGGCTCGAGCCGTGCCACGCTCTCTTAAAATTCAGCAAGAATGGAGATTCGTCGGTGGCACGAAGGGCAGCAGAGGCGTTAGATTCACGCGGGAACACATTTCCACTCGTCCAATGAAATACCGCCCATCCTGTGCATCTATTAGCTATGACGAAGGCCCATTGCCTGAAACGTCACCTATTATATGCTGTTCTTTTGAAGGCTACTGCGTTACTGGGCAATGTGTTGAGTTTGTTCTGTTATGTTGTCATTGTTTCCCGAACACTGTCCGTGTGTGTGCGTGCGTGCCACGTGCGCGTCTGTTGTGGTTACCGGCGCGCCCGTGATCAGAGGGCGCCTTCAGTTTGATGGGCTGCCCAGAGCTGTTATTGTTTATGAGGTTCACTCGCTGTACTTCCCTTCACCTTCTTGACGTTCGTAGTCATTTCTACAGTGCCACCTTCACAAGAGCGCTGGACAAACATCGGTGGTGAGTCCGTGGCAGTGAGAATGGGTGGTGAGTCCGTGGCAGTGAGAATTGGTGGTGAGTCCGTGGCAGTGAGAATGGGTGGTGAGTCCGTGGCAGTGAGGATGGGTGGTGAGTCTGTGGCAGTGAGAATGGGTGGTGAGTCCGTGGCAGTGAGGATGGGTGGTGAGTCCGTGGCAGTGAGAATGGGTGGTGAGTCCGTGGCAGTGAGAATGAGTGGTGAGTCCGTGGCAGTGAGAATGGGTGGTGAGTCTGTGGCAGTGAGAATGGGTGGTGAGTCCGTGGCAGTGAGGATGAGTGGTGAGTCCGTGGCAGTGAGAATGGGTGGTGAGTCCGTGGCAGTGAGGATGGGTGGTGAGTCCGTGGCAGTGAGAATGGGTGGTGAGTACGTGGCGGTGAGGATGAGTGGTGGGTCCGTGGCAGTGAGAATGGGTGGTGAGTCCGTGGCAGTGAGAATGGGTGGTGAGTCCGTGGCAGTGAGGATGAGTGGTGGGTCCGTGGCAGTGAGAATGGGTGGTGAGTCCGTGGCAGTGAGGATGGGTGGTGAGTCCGTGGCAGTGAGGATGGGTGGTGAGTCCGTGGCAGTGAGGATGGGTGGTGAGTCCGTGGCAGTGAGCATGGGTGGTGAGTCCGTGGCAGTGAGAATGAGTGGTGAGTCCGTGGCAGTGAGGATGGGTGGTGAGTCCGTGGCAGTGAGGATGGGTGGTGAGTCCGTGGCAGTGAGAATGGGTGGTGAGTCCGTGGCAGTGAGAATGAGTGGTGAGTCCGTGGCAGTGAGAATGGGTGGTGAGTCTGTGGCAGTGAGAATGGGTGGTGAGTCCGTGGCAGTGAGGATGAGTGGTGAGTCCGTGGCAGTGAGAATGGGTGGTGGGTCCGTGGCAGTGAGAATGGGTGGTGAGTCCGTGGCAGTGAGAATGGGTGGTGAGTCCGTGGCAGTGAGCATGGGTGGTGAGTCCGTGGCAGTGAGAATGAGTGGTGAGTCCGTGGCAGTGAGGATGGGTGGTGAGTCCGTGGCAGTGAGAATGAGTGGTGAGTCCGTGGCAGTGAGAATGGGTGGTGAGTCCGTGGCAGTGAGAATGGGTGCTGAGTCCGTGGCAGTGAGGATGGGTGGTGAGTCCGTGGCAGTGAGAATGAGTGGTGAGTCCGTGGCAGTGAGAATGGTGGTGAGTCCGTGGCAGTGAGATTGAGTGGTGAGTCCGTGGCAGTGAGAATGGGTGGTGAGTCCGTGGCAGTGAGATTGAGTGGTGAGTCCGTGGCAGTGAGGATGGGTGGTGAGTCCGTGGCAGTGAGGATGGGTGGTGAGTCCGTGGCAGTGAGGATGGGTGGTGAGTCCGTGGCAGTGAGAATGAGTGGTGAGTCCGTGGCAGTGAGAATGGGTGGTGAGTCCGTGGCAGTGAGAATGAGTGGTGAGTCCGTGGCAGTGAGGATGGGTGGTGAGTCCGTGGCAGTGAGGATGGGTGGTGAGTCCGTGGCAGTGAGAATGAGTGGTGAGTCCGTGGCAGTGAGATTGAGTGGTGAGTCGGTGGCAGTGAGAATGGGTGGTGAGTCCGTGGCAGTGAGGATGGGTGGTGAGTCCGTGGCAGTGAGGATGGGTGGTGAGTCCGTGGCAGTGAGAATGAGTGGTGAGTCCGTGGCAGTGAGGATGGGTGGTGAGTCCGTGGCAGTGAGATTGAGTGGTGAGTCGGTGGCAGTGAGAATGGGTGGTGAGTCCGTGGCAGTGAGATTGAGTGGTGAGTCCGTGGCAGTGAGGATGGGCCGCGTGCGGTGCCAGGCGTGTGGTGATTGACACTGGCGAGGTATATCGCCACCCATGCCCGATGTTAAACACCACTGCATTGGGTTTTTCTACTTTGGTTACTGACTTTCAGCTTTTTGTTTAAATGTGATATGCAGTACCATTTTTAAAGCTCAATCGGACCTCAAAGGGGAACACACCAATTATAATTCTAACACGTTAACCGGCAGTGATAGACATAACGACGCCACGGCTTTGCGAAATGACACGGGAGTATTTACCATTGCGCTTCAGTGTCACGATTTACGATTCAACCCTCAACACTCGAGGCCCCCCGGCTGCAGCCCCTAAAGGCCCCCCCCCCACTCACCTGGCCGTGTGAAGCCGCCGGCCCTGTCCTTGGTAGGGAGTGGGTTCGGTGCTTCCTGCCTTCATGTTGCAGGAAGCGCGGCACCATTGGTTGTGGAGTCGTGTGTCTGTGTGTGTGTGTCGACTCAGCATCAGATGAGTAGCCGGTGCGGCGGTGTGTAAACATCGCCGCTGGGGAGACAAAGACGGCCGGGTGTGTTGCTGGCCTCGCACCCCCTCTTGCGTTAACAAAACTTGCACCATCAGTCTGCTAAGGCTATACGGGGGATCTTTGTCTTTGTGTTTATGTTGAACTTGTGTGTGTGTGTTCATGAACAGTGCTGGCAACCGGCAAAAAAAACTCGTCGCTCAGTGGGGGCCACCGTGAGATGTTGAATCTGCCGGTGACATCTCACGGTGACATCTCACGGTGACATCTCACGGTGACATCCCACGCGTCCCACAATGGCCCGCGCTAATCTCTGGTGTTGGGGGGAGGTTGTGGACGTTATTGAGTGCGCAGGCGGTGCGACTGCGCCGCGGGCCTACGTGCGGGAGCGGGGCTGCCGAGGTGGGAGATATATTAGGGCAGGCCCACGTCAGCCCACTGATTTACACAGAAACTCGTACACTTGCATAGAGACTCGTCGACTGAAATAGAGGCCCATAGATTTCCATTGAGAGCCAATTACTCATATAGAGAGCCGTATACTTACATTAAGACCCACTGACGACCATACATTAACATAGCGAGTGTAAGCGGTGCTATTGCACCGATCTCATGGGCGCTGAAGAGGGGGTCTGGCATTAGAAAGGGGAAGTCCCCCCACTCCAACCACGCTCCTGCCATAGGTTGGAATTTAACAAGTACAGGCGCAGTTTGGTCTCTCGTCGAGTCATTCGACCTCGCTGTGGAGGGGAAAAAACCCCCCAAGGCATCTGTGCGTATGTGTGATTAACAACCTCACCGGGGCAATTCTGAAAATTCCTGGCGATTGTCGTTAACATAAAAGACACACCGCTCCCTAATCCGCACCACCACCACCCCCACCGCACGGCATCGGCACCATTACGGTCCAATTAACAAATTCGTCCCCACCTGCGCGCGTCGTCACCCGAGACCGGAAAACCAGAGGTGGACTTTCGTAGCCTCTTGCTCATCCTCCTCTGCATCGAGCCACGCAGAGTCGACCGCTGCAAACGGAGATATTTGCGCGCTTGACCGTAGTCACGGACCAACATTGTGCAGGGTGAGAGCGGGAGAAGCCATTAATTCACACTTTTAGAACCCCGTAATGGCTCATAAAGGGAGTGCGGCGGCGATAAGGCGCGCGCGCGTGCGCGAATACGGATACTTGTTATCGGTGGCAGCACCTGGTCACTGCTGATTAATTTGGCCGCGTTTAATGGGAGCCCCCCCGCCCCGCGCCCCACCCCCCCCCGCCCCCCCCCACTCGCCCACGCGCCCCCCTCCCCCCACCTTATTTCCCAATTCCCGGGCAGCGCCGTCATTAACCCGGGCGACCGCCTGGCTGCTCGTGCACAGATACAGGAGGAAACACACACACGCACGCACGGACTGTTTAGAATGATTAATGGTGATGGGAATATGGGTATGTATTTAATAAATGATATTGATCCGGAGAGAGAGAGGTTGCCGCTGCAGTTAGGAGACCGAGAAATTTAAACAAAAAAAACGGCAAAACACATTTCCATTAGAGAATAATTGCTTAATCAAATATTTATTTCTTCGCGGTTCTGGCTCGTGTCGTGGTGTTGGTGGAGTGCCCGAGGTCACGGTAGCGCCAACTCACAACCGCTCCCCTCCGCGTGTTCGTGAGTCCAGCAGGGCCCAGCGGCGGTGGGGAGTGGCCCCCCCCACCCTCTCTCCCCACGCGTTATTTTGGGAATTGAATCTTTGCTGAAATATAATTACGCCATCGATTTTGTGTTTGTGCTGGGCCTGCAGAAGCCATGCCCGGGCTGTGAGTGTCGGTGACTCGCCGTGGCTGGAAGCGCTGCAGCGGGCAGGACAGGACAGGCCGTATCGAGGTAGCTGATGTTCTGAGGATTGAAATCCACGGTGTTTGTCAGTTGTGCAGTCGTGATCATAACAATAATGAAGATGTACCGCTCAAGACGATGCATTTACGTGTAGATCTTCTTGAATTGTGAGATGATCTTCCCATGATGTGTTCCAGTTTTTTGTATTTTGGCAACCCTAGCCGGACGGTGGTGGCTCTGCGCGTGGCTTCCTCAAATCCAGCGCTGTTGCGATACTCGCTGCCAGTGGGTCGTCAAGGAGGAGTCGAACTTCGGTTCGCTAGGAGATCGACGTACACAGCAACGTGCGGAGACGAATGTCATCTGTCCCCCTCTGTACGGGATAGAGTGTTGCCCCCTTGCACGCCTGGGGTTTCCACGTGCAACCGGTTTCCTCGCGTGTGTATGAGCGTTCATTGATTGGCTGAAAGCATTTTAATATACAGAGGAGCATAGAACTTGGGCAATTGTTGGTCGCGCCAGCTCGCTGCCTGGCTGCTATCTTGCCGCTCGTCTGGGAGAGATGCAATTTGCTTGAGTGATGACGACGCTGCTGTGTATGCCACTAAACAGTAGCATTATATTACCTGTCTGCTTTGAAATGTATGATTGCATAGCTGGTGAGTATCTAAATTGCACTTAATTTAAATGTGTAATACCAGTACATTTGTAACATGTAATTGAAATCTTAAACTACACGAGACGTGATTAATTGGTCATTTATATCTAATTACATTTCCTCTGGTGATTTGTCATTTGAATGTTGGATATATTTGGCTCAGGTCTGCCGGCAGGCATCTTTCTGAGATGATTCCCGCATTGAATTGTGTCTGCTTAGAAAGTCTGAAAACATTGTACTGCACTTGTGTACTCAGGAACGCCACACTGAGTCCCAAGACTCATTCTATTTTTATTGGGATTTTCTGGCCAACGCCAATTACATTGCTGTGTTTTCAGCCAAAGCAGGATATCAGCTTGAGAATATACATGTTCCACTCAGAAAGGTGCCCGAGTCAGGAATCAAGTATAAATGCCACTCCTCTGCTACCCTGCCACGCTAAGATATAATGTCAACACTGTGAAACGCTTGACGTAGCTCATCCAGGTGAAATAGGCCTTACTAAGAGCAACATCCCCTCCTCCTCAAAACAAATAATAGCGTGGACGCACCCTCCTGAAAAATAATCTTAAGACTCAGCGAGGCTTTCCTGAGTGAACGAGCATCATCATACTAACGACAACAACAATGGTAGGGTCGACGCCGGCTGACGTCACAATGGTAGGGTCGACGCCGCCTGACGTCACGCTGACCGTGCCGCTGCGCCGAAGCAGGATGAACGCGCCCCCTCGTGCAGGCGGCCCCTCGCGCCGCGACGCGGGTGAAGGGTCACGGCGAGTTCCAGCCGACCCCGGAGAAGGCCCCGGATGCGCGTACGAGGAGAGCGAAGCGACCCTGGTCGGGACTCTGGTCCTGGAGCAGCTTTTGCCCATGGACCCTCCTCCTCCTCCTCCTCCTTACCAGGTGAGTGTCAGCAAGCCTCCAGTCTGTCATCATCACCACCATGATTTTAGAATGTATACCACACCTCCTGGTGATATTTGGGCGGCAGGGTCACTCAGTGTGGTAGCACTCAGGCGTCTCTCCGTGCACGGTTTTGTGTTCTCTCCACCTGCTGTGCATGGGCTTACTCTGGGTTCTCCAGTTTCCTCCCATAGTAAAACTAAAATGTAACTGCTATTGACCAAACATCACAATGTGAACAAATAGAAAATGGCAACAAAAATTATAGAACGGGGATTGCACAGGGCAGGACCCTCCTGAAAAAAAGAGTCTTGAGACTCAGTGGGGCTTTCCTAGGTAAAAAAAATGAAAACGAATAAAATGGCATTATATAAATTGTCAGGATTTATGGTAAGTGCCTACGGATCAAAGAGCCAAAGTGAAGATCTCACAAAATCACGAATCACGTCAGTGCAGACAACGTAATTGTTATCGCAGCCGACAAGGTAATTGAAATCTCCATCGGAGAATCGCGGAGGTTTCTCCTGAATAATAAGCATGTGACGATGCATCAATCCACCACGTTGACTGTTACACTCACGAATGCACGTGACACTTAGCGCGTGTAAAGCATACGTTATTCTATTATTCCCGTCCATTCTGCGTAATTCGTTCACGGAGCGCCCTACGGCCATGAGAGGCACCACATCCACCACCAATAGAATACATATATGTAGCGGGTTGCATTCTGCAATCAAATGTGCGACCTTTGATTATTGTATCAATTCGTGGAAGCCTGGAGGGTGAACGAATCACTCGATGCCTACTAAGGACCAGACAGACGCGCGCTGGGCAGCGTTGCCAGCTCCATGAAGCGGAAAGTTGCCAAACGATCCCCGAAAAGTCTCGAGATCGGCTTCTAAGGTTGTGCCAATGTCACGAGACAACCAATTAATGGGCAAAGTGAACTGACACAGGGTCCTCAATCGACACGTGGAAACCACTCTCGACTCTGCAGGATGTTGCCTGCACTGAGAGTCGCGAGATCTGTCACTCGTCGCTTTGACAATGAATTTCGTCGCTTAGAGAAACCCAAAAAGCCGCCAGATCCAGCGACAAAATCGCAGAGTTGGCAACAGCAGCTACTCGTCATGCAGGTTTAGATAAAGGCGCAGCCCAACAACGGCTCGCTCACACCACGCCTAGCAGAAGGGTCTCCCCTAGACACGGAGCTCTAATTTAGGAGGTCCCTGTAGGGAGAGCTTTTGGCCTACTCTTCCACGCCGGCCAGACGTCTTTCCCGCAGCTCCGATTAGCACGGTTGGCTCCGTGCGGTGCGAGAGAGGTTCAACATATGTACGTACATCCATGTGGGAGTACCCAAACGATACCCCCATCACACGCGACCTGCCGATGTGCTGCGGCCTAATTGGGCGTCGCGACATCGAATGCGTCTCTCTCGGCTCGCGCGTCAGGAGCGTGGGAATCGATTTGATGAATTGAGGCATCGCTGCGTGCCGCTTATTCCACGGGGGTGGAGGGGAGGGACCCCCTCCAGTGAATGTCTCCCTCGTACGGAAACTTCCATTATCTTGTCGGCAGTAATTTGCGCAATTTGTGTTCACATGCCCGGGTTCGGCGTCTGCCGGGCCGGGCGCGCTGCCCGCGCCGAGGCGCCCGCCCTTCTGGCCGATGATCGTACGAAATAAATAAATTACAATTCACAACGATTTGTCATTCCACTGCTGGGCTGCATGAGAGAAACTAAAAACAAGAATACATTTTTACTATAGCTCCATAGTGAGACCTGTAGACCAAGTATGTGGCCAAACATCGATTTGTTAATTCATATCGATTGTTACGTTGCATCGCAAATAATATGTATGAATACACCACTGGATGAAGGTCTCCTACTACTGTGTCAGCTATGGGGGTTGTTTGACCATACTTCACCACACTGGTCATTGCAGGGGTAGATCGGGAGCCCCGGACTCGTTCAAATGTCGCTCCCTGGTGACAGTTCCGACGTGTGCCGGGAGCTCCTGCAGGGACTGAATTCGGCTTCCGGCGTGCGGAGCGAAACGTCGGACATCGTTCCGAACAACGCGCGGCACGACCCGAAAGCACGGCGGAGAGCCGCGCGGTCTCGTGCGCAGTCTTTCTTCCCGCTGACGATAGCCGTGGCAGGGAGTCCAACTGGGTCTCTGGGCATCTGCGTCTCATGCAACATCCTCGTCCTGAGAGAGCGGGGGCTGTGACGGCAGCCAGACACGAGCACACCCTCCCCCGCCCCCCCCCCCCCCCCGCGGCCCCGCCTCCCGTACGGTGTGAAAGAAGTTCAACATACTTACATGTGCACGTGAATGTCACCGCGCGTGCGCTCGCTCGCGCTTTCCGCGTCGGGGTGCCCCGTGGGGTTTGCGTCGCCTTCGCCTCCCTCCCCATGGCCGATGCCGCCCGCGTGGGAGCGACCCGGGCGAGGCGCGCAGCGGCGAGGGTTGCCACCCCTCTTGGCTACGCGAACACAGCGCCGGGACACACACACGGGCACAACACGAATGTGTCGCAACAACCATCCGCCCAACCCTTCCCCCAGACGCAGCAGCCAACCAGACCCGAATACCAAACACGAAGCGCACTTGCCAACCAGAGCAAACACGCAACGCAGGCGGGTTGCCACTTCTGGAGTCCAAAAACTGGGACATCCTCGCAGCGGCTTTTGGCTGCTGGCCATCGGACAAAGGCGGCGGTCACCGCATCATCGCGCGCTTTCGGACGCGCCTCTGCGACCGTCTGGAACGCTCTTCCTTCCGATATTAGGAAGCGGCTGGAGCTATGCGCTTTTCAATCATCTAGATTGCAAACTCATTTCTTTCGACAAATGCTCTTTGCGTTTAGTTTGTTATCCATCCCCCGCGCCTCCAATTAGCGCGATTGGCTACGTACACATATACGTACAAGATGAAAGACGATTTGTGCAACAGTGAAAGAGGGGAGAACTACCAGTGTACGCACGCGTTGCCTTGAGCAGGGCCGGGTTAGTGCAGTGGCTTTAGGGGCTGCATCCCAGGGCTTCGGATTTCAAGGGCCCTCCAAAATGTAAAAAGACAGCGACTAATAGCGAGCAGCTGAGATGCAACACCGTGGGCGCTGTTGCCAATCATCGTGCCGCGTGCGGTCCGCTAATTGAAGCCATCGCTGCGTTATGAGTTGTATTGCCGGTCGTGTGCCAAAATAAAACGTAACTCTGATTAAGCCCCGGTATTATTCGTACATCACGATTAATCACCTGAACTGAAAATAATGGAGGTGAAACGGCAGTGGGGAGTTTTGCATCTGGCACGGCTGGCGACGAAGCAGTCAAGGGACAGATTTAAAATGTCAAAGGACCTGGAAACGACGATTATGCAACTGAAATAATCCGGCACTTTCAATTTGCCAAGGATGAATGACAGATTTCCCAGGACAGTTGGCGCCTGCTCAATACGAGGACGATCCTGGCAAAACCAGGACGGGTGGCAACCCCCTTGAAAGCCACCCTTTGGCAGCTGGGGGTGGTTGTTGGCTTCAGGACTGTGGCCACGCTCGATGTAGTCGCGACGAACCCCGATTAAACGTTGTGTTTTACTCATCCGACCCGATGGCACTGTAATTATATCGTGTTCAATGCAACTCCTGGATACTGACTCCCGTACTTGTCCGACTGCTCGTGCGCCTTCGTGTATTCAAGGGCTCCGTTGTCAACGCAATCGGCGGAAACGCTGATGGGGGAACAGCGCGGACTCAACATGAGCCAGAAATTTTTCGATTTAAATTTGATTTAAAGCGTTCGTGACTGCAGGGATTCATATTCTTGGTTCTTTCGGTAAAGTCATGAAGCAATCATCATCAGATCTGAAAACTACAGGAATTTTCTTGCTGTGGTTTTCACACCTGATGATGATTGCTTGTTTTGCAATCGAAATGTCGTGAGAATTGTATTGTTTTATTATTATTATTTTATTATTTCCCTTCTACGTGACTTTACCGAAAGAACCAAGAATATGAACCAGGAAATTTGTCTCAAACGTCGTGGCTAGCAGCCACTGCTAGCAGCCACTGCTAGCAGAATCTCCTCCACTTGAGGGAGTCCTCTAGAGGTACATGGCCTCCTCTTCCACACTGGCCTGACGTCTCGGAAAAGGCGGGGGTACCGACACACTACCCCCATCACACGCGGCCTGTCGATCAACTAACTATAAGCACAGGCTGGGGGGTTCGAGAGGCGTTCTCATGGGTTCGCAACTGCCGCGCCGGGAGATGGAACCATCGGCCAGTGGTGTAATGCCATGACGCCACTGCGGCAGCATCCCTAGGTGACTCTCAGCCACATCTAGACAAGATGTGGGGATATCTTAGCCACATCTAGACATGTAGTGGTGTCTCTTAGCTACATTTAGACATGTAGTGGTGTCTCTTAGCTACATATAGACATGTAGTGGGGGTGTGCGGACCCCCTAATCTAGCCAACTCTCCTCGTAATGCCTTTCCCCAGCAAACATCCCCCCCCCGCACCTCCCTCCCCGCGACTCCACGGCGTTTGAATGCCGTAATTGGCGATGATAATTACGAGGATGATAATTTGGGGTTTTATAAATTATCCTCAACGACGGCGTACATTCTGTCCCTTCAGTGCAGCTGTGCTCGACGGATCCTCTCTGCCTCGACGGCGAAGTTGCGTTGGGGGGTTGTTCTTGTTGTTGCGTGCCTTAATTAGTGAGAGTAATTTTATATTTTTTGTTCGATGTAATTCAAATGCAGGAAAGACTCGGGATCAAATAAATGCGTCGTTGCGGCGAACGCTTTCGAAACGCGACTCGTCAAAATTCAGTCGTTAACCATTCCAGCAATGGATTCCACTGCTGGATGGGGGCCTCCCCACGCCGTACAGGTCACGGGGATAATTGTTTGACCATACTTCACCACGCTGGTCAGTGCTGGTCCGTGAAGGTGGTGTGGGAGCACGTGGGTTGCGTCGCTGTGCCTCACCACCCGTGATAGGTTCTCGGCCATGGCTATAGCTAACATCCTTGATTTCTGAACTGAAATGGGAAAACAACCCCGATGTAACAGTGCGAATTATTAAAGACATCTTACACTCGTGATTAGTTTACGAAAAATAGCCCCACAATTTGTTCGCTGAAACGAAACTCCAAGTGCCTGGAACGTTTCTCCATCGCCGACCTAACGCAGTACTGCAACTGCACAAAAATGACAATTCCCCCCCCTGCCCCCAGTTTTTAGTGGGAAAAGAGTGAAAATGATAAATGGTTTCGTTTACAACGCGGGGGCGGGAGAGAGAGGCGATTGTGATCCGATGAGGGCTGCGGTAAAACTATCCCTGGGCGAACAATATCTCCCCGCGAAATATTTCCGCCGTGGTGGTGATTGATTGATCGAGCAGAGCGTTTGGGCGAGCGCCGCGCACGGTGTGGGGGGGAGGGGGCACTCAGTGTCTTTCAGTGTCTCTCAGTGTCTCCCCAACGTCTCTCAACGTTTCTCAGTGCCTCTCAGTGTCTCTTAGTGTCTCTCAGTGTCTCTCAGTGTCTCCAACGTCTCTCAGTGTCTCCAACGTCTCAGTGTCTCTCAGTGTCTCCCCAACGTCTCTCAGTGTCTCTCAGTGTCTCTCAGTGTCTCTCAGTGTCTCTCAGTGTCTCTCAGTGTCTCCAACGTCTTTCAGTGTCTCTCAGTGTCTCTCAGTGTCTCTCGGTGTCTCTCAGTGTCTCTCAGTGTCTCTCAGTGTCTCTCAATGTCTGCCCGAGCCCCCACCACGCCGGAGCACTTTGTATCGTGATGAGAGTGGCACGAGCCGGGCGTTGTCTTTCCGACGCGTGCGCTTACTCGTTGAGGATAAGCAAATGCCGCAATGTTCCATCCCTCGCGCAACAATAAACAGAAAGGCCGCGTTGCGTTTGATCTGCGAAATAAGAGCGTTTAGTGGGACATGCCACTTCGCTTTCTCTCTCTCTCTCGAGTGAGAGAGAGAAAGTGAGATAGAGAGAGGGAGAGAGAGAGGGAGATATAGAGAGGGAGATAGAGAGGGAGAGAGAGGGAGAGATAGAGAGGGAGAGAGACGGAGAGGAACGGAGAGGCAGGGAGCAGACGTCGCTGTCTTCGTTCAGTGGCTGAGACCACCACGGCTCGTCGTGGTGGTTATTGTTGATGTTTTTGATGTCGTTGTTGATGTTGTTGCTGATTTTGTTGATGTTGTTTATGTTGTTGCTGATGTTGTTACTGATGTTGTTGTTGATGTTGTTGTTGATGTTGTTGCTGATGTTGTTGTGATGTTCTTAATGTTGTTGTTGTTGATGCTGGGCCCCGGTTGCTCGGTCCCAGGCTGTGGTGCGTTTATTGCTTCTCGCTCTCTCCTCTGTTTGCCTGCCATGACCCCCCCCCCCCCCCACCATCATCCTCCTGCTATGCGAATTGAGTGTTTTTTTGTAATTCATTTTAGAAAGCGTTGCGAGATGCAATTATGTTTACACGCCATATAAATTTATATTGTCGCCTTCGTTGTTGTTAATACGGCATGTGCATAGCCTGTAGCTCGGTGTGTGCGTTCACGATAGATGCATTGCTTATTTTGTCTGATCGTGCCCCCGTCATGTTCAATATGCTTGTCCCGCACGGCGTCTTGAGATGCTTCGAGTTCTTTGACACCGACGAACAACTTCTGATGCCACTGGGTCGGGAGACACCTCTCCGTCGTGGAGACTCCGGCGAGCGGGCGACAAAGCGACGAGGCGACGCCGGTTTCACTGAACACGTGGGGCTGGCGGCCTAGCCACACGATTACTCGCGTTCTCTCACTTGTCCAGGAAGGCCGCGCTGAATAGCAGGACTCTTTTTCAGGAGGCTCCTGCGTTGCGTTTTGATTTATAAGAGGTTTTCAGCCAACTAACGATGAGTTTATTTGTATCGTACACGTGGGAAGAAACCGGAGAAAAGTCACGCGTTGTGCGAGGGGGCAATGCTCTATCCCCGCACAGATGGAAGCGGATGGCGACTAGTCCACTTTCTGTATCGCCTTCTCCTGGGAACGGCACCTCCTCGACGCCCACTGTGAAGGAGTTTCACAAACAAAACATCTTTGCGGTGATCCAACAACCGCCGCGTCCACAGTGCTGGACCACAGGCAGCCTCGTGCGGCATAGCCACCACCACCGCCCGCCTTCACGGAATGTGTTGTGCCACCAGGGACGAACGCCAGAGCAGAAGGAGATGCAGAAGGAGAAGCAGGAGGTGAAGCAGGAGGAGAAGCAGGAGGAGAAGCAGGAGGTTGAGGAGAAGGAGGAAGGGGAGGAGAAGATTGCGGAGGACCAGGGCGGCCAGGTGCGTGGTGCGGTGTTGACTTTGTTTCGTGGGGGTTCACGTCGACAGTATTCGTCGACAAAAGTTGTTCGATTCGATTTCGGCCACCGATGACCGACGGCGGTCGAGGGTGGCCTGGAGATCGCGGAGCGCGACGATGACGTCACCCCGAGACCGTGGGCGATGACGACGCGCGGCCGCCCGTGACGGGCCGGACCGAGCGGTCCCCCGGCAGGGTACGGCACCACCACCGTTGCCTAGCGTCACCGCGACGTCTGCAGCGCACTGAGGAAGACATTTATTTATTTATTTAGAGATTTACTGAGGCCTTCTGATCCGCCGGTCTTGTATGATATTTGAAAGTCAACACTTTTATCAATAACACCGTGGCCTTAAAATACAAAAAAGTATCTTGTCAACCACGTTTTGAGCAATCTCCCTTCTTCAGAGCACAGAGAGTGGCCAGAGAGGTCGAGTGACATTGAGTTGGGGGAGAGGGGGCAAGTGCACACCCCGCACACCCCGCACACCCCGCACACCCACACTGAATGACTCGGAGCGTTTGGCTGACGCCTGACTGACGTCTGACTGACGTCTAACTGACATCTGACTGACGTCGTGACTGCTTTAGTCGTCCAACACTAAGCTGGGAATGACTCCATGGAGCCCATAGACGGAGTGACACTCGGCCACGGCTCTCATCTCCCGGACTTAGACTCTGGCTCAATTAATCAACAGCTGAATATGCGAAGTCGCGCACGTGTGTGTGTGCGTGTGTTGGGGTCAGGGTGTCGTGCAGACCTCGGACCCTCTCTTTGAGTTCATGGCGTGCGTCAGCGGCCTGGAGGAGCCGTCGCCGGCCAGGGACATCGCGCCCCGCGTGTGGAGGAACGTCTTCCCCGCGTCGCCCCCGCCACAGCCGCGGAGACGAACGCAGCCGCCCCCCGGCCAGCGCGAGCGGGGGCCCAGCCGGGAAGACGCCGAGCGCACGCGACCGCAGCGGCACAGTGAGTGGCGCCGCCGCGCGCGCGTGCACGTGTGTTGATCAACGGGTGCTGCACCTGCCAATCATCTCAGCCGGCTGACCCGCAGCACCTGGGTCTGTCCCGTGACCCCCGGGCCGCGAGACGTCACCTGAGAGCCTGAACGCTGGTGGGTGACGTCACTGCCACTTGTTGGTAAACTGCGGCTTTCGCGACTGACAATAGGTTCTGGCTCACAGCACTTAACCAACGAGTTGCTATGATCATCAGGAGGATATTTGTCGTTGTACACGTGGATTGGCTGCGGTGGTGCAGTAACTAGCATCAGTGGCGAGTGATGTATGAGCCGGTCCTGCGCCTTCCCCAAGTTGAATGAGTACGTGGTGCAGTGTGTAAACCTCCCAATAGCATCGCCCCTGCTGTGTTGATGGACGACGCGACGTGTGTGGGTGGGGTGCCGCTGGGTGATGTACCGGGTCACGTGATGTGCTGGGATGCCAGGTGAGGTGGCGGTCTATGCAGGAGGGGACGGGCCCGCCGCTGACACCACGTGCCCCGGACTGGAGCATAGCCCGGAGATTCTGAGGGGGTCTCTCCATTCAGCCCCCCCTGAAGCCCACAAGGTGACCACCTACTACCACTCTGCCCCCCCCCCCCCCCATGTAGCCGTTTAGACCGTCGTGGTGTTAAGCGCTGCTTGTGAGCGCCGAGTAAGGCCGGCACAGCACACGATGGGGTGGAGAGGCGAGGCATCACACAAGGCCGTCTTTGTCTTTCCAGTGCTGATGATGCTTTCGCACCGCACCGGGTATTGATCTATGGCTGAGTCGGACGAGGAGCGGATGGCTATTCACGACCGGCAATCGAAAATGGGGTCACTGAGTTTGTAATGCAATGTACCCACGATTGAGCCACCACTACCTCACCATCTCTCCCTCGCCATCGTCATCAGCAGCCACTCTTTATCCACTGCTGGATGAAGACCCCCCCCCCCCATGTTGTTGCCACTCCTCACGGTCCAGTGCTGCTACTAAACATCCATCCATCATGCACAGGATCTGATTGCATTGCTGCGTCTCTGCCGTGGCCATCCTTTCTCCACGCGGCGCCGCTCGCTACATTTGAACGCAGATTTGGAACGCGTTGGTGCGTGCGCGACATTTCCGAAAATGCGATGCAAGACGGCAATGGCAGTTCTATGAAAACATTGTGATCTTACACAAATCCTATGCAGCGTAAATTACGTGAATATAAGAAAGGTAATAGCCTTCCGTTCAGGATCCATAAATTGCCCTTTTCTCCCTTTGTGCGAAAATCATTACCATAATGTTACGTCTCTGATTTAAATCGGCGCTTTGATTTCAAAAAGCGAAAAGCCTACCGTGGTATTGCCCCTGCGATTACTTCAGAAATTGACCGAACAAAAAAAAATACCACTCCGTTACGTTTAATGAATGTGATTATAACGTGAAGTCGCTCTCACGTGGAGGCAGGAGACGGGGCCGTGACGAATTGGAGGCGCCACTCATTATTCCGGACACGGTTAACGAGAGTGGCGGCGGCTGGGAGGGGGGGGGCTGTGTCTGTGTCAAATCCGAGTCGCCAGCCAACAAACGCGGTGATGCTGTAAAGGTTGAGATGGGGCCAACCTGTGGCACGGCGCATCGCCGCCCCGGTTCGGTAACGAGCGCTGTCACTTGGAAGGGGCGGGGGGGGGGAGGAGGCGAGGGAGGCTGGAGGAGCGGGGGGGTGGAGTGGGGAGGGCTTTGCTGATGAGCGCTAACGCGCCGCCGCGCCGCGTGCTGGCGACGACATTGATCTCGACGGAGCGGGCGGGCGGGCGGGCGTTGAGAGGGCGGCTCCATAATCGTCGGGGCCTCGGCCACCGCCGCCAAAACAGCTGCCTCAAAACGCCGCAATCTTCTTGCGAGAGAGGCAGAGCGCGAGCGAGCGAGCTAGAAAAGTGCCCATGTCAATTTCTTGTTGTTTGTTTCAGTTCTCTCTCCCGTCACGAGGCTCTCGGGGAGGCGGGGGGGATGAGAAATTGCTGTCATCTCTGGGGTGTGAGTGCGAGCGAGCATGTGTGCGCAGTTGTGTGCGTGCGCAGTTGTGTGCGTGCGCAGTTGTGTGCGTGCGTGCGTGCGAAGTGTTTGTTTCTCTCTTCTCCACGGTGCAGCGATGGTGCCGCACTGGGTTTAATTTATGTACAGAAGATGTTCCGAGTCTGGAGTAGGCGCTAGACTGGAGCACGTGATATCCGACAAGTAAGAGCCACAGTCGTAGCGAGAGTGGAGTCGTCCAGGATGCCGTGTGACGGGGTGTGGGGATACTCGCTGGCGTAGACAGACCAGGCTGGAATGAAACCGCCGTACGAGAGTACGCGTCGTGTGCCGTGAAACGCAGAGACGCACGGGGCTGGCGGCACAAACGATACCGGCAGCAGATGTCATGGCGAGGAGATGTCATCTCCTGTGACGCAGAGGTTGTGGGTTCGATAACTGACCCTGAAGATGCCTGTTGTGTATTTAGCGTCCGCGTGTTCTCTCTCTCCCCGTGGTGGTCGCGTGGATTGTTTTTCTCCATGTCCTCCGATTTTGCCTTCCACGTTTAGAAACAACACGCGTTTAGATAATTATTGGTTGCTTATATAAATTCCCAAGCGTGATGATATCAGCTTTCGTACGGGGCCAGGTCGCCTCGGAAAAAGAGCTCATAGCTTAGTGAGCTTTACCTGGTAAAATACAAGAGTTTAGCTCTCAGAGAAGCGAGGCCTATTATGGCTTCCTGGAGCACTTCAGATTCGAAGCCAAATATTTAAATTGGATTTAGTAGATGAACATTTAATCCAAACCTACGAGAAGTAATTTAGACGAAGCCATTTCAAAGGCTCTGTCCGTGGTGCTGAATAGACTGCGCGATAAACACACGCGGCGAGGCGTTAGGGACTGCAGAAAAGGCGCAAGAGACAGTCCCAACCTGCGTTTGATGTAAAGACGACAGCCATTGGCCCCTCTTAGCTAACAGTGCAGCCTCTTCATTCAATGCAGCAGCAGCAACACTAACACAGTAAGCCAATTGCATAACGGTTTCATCATCCGCATTAGAACCCATCAGCATGTCTAATTTCCAAATGCTGCTATATGTGCACAAAGCTATTGTCGGGGACCGTGTGCAGAAAATACGAAAGTACATTGCGGTGTGAAGTTGACATTGTAAGTAGGCTGGGGCTTTACCGTAGCACACAGTCTGCTGTATAAACCACTCCTGAGTGTATTGTTAGTCGTATTATTATTATCCGTACTGTTCCCGCCTGCACAGGGTGGCCGCAATTTGTCGCGGGGACAAAAATCACGATTGTGGGGGCGATGGGAGGCGACGCAGTTCCATCGTGAACGACGCGGTCTGGGAGGGGGGTGAGTGGGGGAGGGGGGTGAGTGGGGGAGGGGGGTGAGTGGGGGAGGGGGGTGAGTGGGGGAGGGGGGTGAGTGGGGGAGGGGGGCAGCAAGAGAGAGGAGACTCGCGCGATGGGCTGGTCGCGGGATTCACTCGAGAGCTGGAAGTGTCACGCGGCAGCATCGGTTTGAGCGAATGTAGGAAACAAATGAGGGTGACGAGGAGGAGGCCCTGAGACTCGTTGACGATGCCCCGGATGTCAGAGGAGCTCGTCGTTGTTATTATTTGTCTTTTCGTTGTTGTCGTTGTTGTTGTTGTGGTGGTTATTATTGTTGTTGTTGTTGTTGTTGTCGTGCTTGTTGTTGGTGCTGGGCCCCGGTTGCGTTTGGGGTCCGCTGCTGGACAGGAGCGACTCAGCAAGGCGAGGGGTGGGAGAACATGGCGACGTGTCCGAAGCCTTTCTCCAGCAGTGGGAAGTTACTGGCAGCAGCAACAACAACAACAACAAACAACTATGGCATGTTTCTCTTGCCCCTGGCCCCCGTTATACCCTGTAATGTCGGTTTTATTTACCGTAACGCTTCTGGAATTACCGTTACATTTAGGCACTTTCCAAATTGGTGTTGTTTGTCGTTCGCCGGTCATTGATTTGTTCATATTGAGCAGAGTCCTGGCCGTAAATAAATAATGGGTGGTGGACACGGAATGTCTTTCGAGGGCTCTCCCTCTCTCTCGAGTACCATCGTCCAGGGATTCTTGTCGAAATGACCGGGTCACGAAGAGAGAGCCACAGGGACCCACGCAGTGGATGAGAGCGCACGCCACAGGGGAGGAAGGAGGGGGGTGGAGAGATGATTCACGGCGAGTGCCTCCGGCGGGACGTTCATATCTCAGGGACGTCAGCCACGAGGGTCCCCGAGGCCACGTTACTCACGGGGGCCCAGGGGGAGTGATGGAGTCGCGGTGGGTGGGGGGAGGGACAGGTGCGATAGCGGCCCAGGTGCCACAACCTCGGAGAGATGGATTGGAGATGGATTCGAGATGGATTCGAGATGGATGCGAGATGAATCCGCGATCTGCAGTGAGAGAGAGAGAAAGTCCGCAAATGAGAGCCGCGTGAAGGTGATTAACGCGTGGGCGATCAAACACCGCGGTGATTGAGGGTGTCTCTTCACGCTGACACCGCTGTGAATGAATGCGCGTTCACAGCCGCATGCCCCTGCCTGACGTTTTAATCAGCGACGAGGAGACCCGTATTTCCCGCGTATCGTCGTCGTAATTTTTTCATTTTTTCTCCTTTCGCAAAGCGGAACGCGTGGGATTCACGCCGATCCTTTCATAACGTCACATGTGTAGACTGCATCAAGATATCTGTAATAATAACAATAATTCAAATGTATAATGCGCATTCCATCCGAGGATCCCAATGCGCAACGCATGAAAAGCAAACAACATAAACAGAACCAGGGGGCAACCGACCAAACTAAAGAGGGAAGGCCACTTTAAAGAGATGGGGTTTCATAGCAGACTTTAATAATAATACTACCAACTCCGATTTGCCTGATTTCAAGTAGCAAGGCGTTCCATAGCCTGGGTACCATGCCCGCATCACCAAAAGAGCGCAACCCAGACCTGGGAGTGCTGAGCAGTTGGAGATCAGACCATCTTAAGGACCTTGATGGACTACATACATTTACTGTAGTCTGCAGTGGTGTATGTATGTTGAACTTCTTTAGCGCCGTACGTAGCCAACCACTCCAATCAGAGGGGCGGGACAAGGACGACAAACTGATGAGTGTGCGGGCTGTAGTGATCGTGTTGGAATTGCTGTAGCCTGCTGTGACGGCTGTAATAATCGTAAGGTACGGGCGCAGCCCCGAAAGTGCCTGCTCACGCCACTGATGGCAGAAGTGCCTCCACTCGAGGCAGCTCTCGAGCGCCTCTCCTCTCGGGCGTATTTCAGGTTAATTGGACTCGTCTTGCTCGCTGACCAGACGTCTTGCAACACGTGTGAGTGCCCACACTTGACCCCACCGCACGTGATCTGCCGATCGACTCAGAGTGGTTGTCGGTTACTCGTGAACGAGGCTGGTGGGAGGTGGTAATGAACTTGCACCATCGTTGCACCTGCCGCTCACGCCATTGGATGAGAAGGTTTGGCTGCGTGGTGGTCGTGGTGGTGGTGGTGTTGATGCGTTCACAAGTGAATTCAACCGAAGTGATTTGCATCGTCAAACGCTAATGAAGATCCCGTTATAAAAAAACAGCCTGCATATGAATTATCATATCGACGCTGTCATTTCGATTTGTGTCCTGGCAGTTTAATTATTGATCGCTGATGATGATATATCATAATCAAATCGATCATATTTTTAGCCTTTTTGTTCATCCACTGGCGGATGAAGGCAGCCCCATATGCATTGTCGGTCTTGGGGGTGTGTTTGACCATACTTCACCGTAATGGTCAGTGCGGGTGGGTGGAGGTGTTAGGGGCTGGGGAGGAGGGTGGGGGGCGGGGGGGGGGGGGTAACGGGGTCGGGCAGAGGCGCCCAGCCCCAGTCCAGACATCACTCGACAAGAATATTGGCCGTGACTGGGATTCAAACTCGGGGTTCTTTAGTTCGTAGTGCAGTGGTGCCGACAAGGACCCCAAGCCCCCCGTCGCCTGTAGGATGAGTACGCGTGCGTGACAATGAAGCGGTGCCGTCCTTTGTTCACGGCTGGATCGGATGTTTAAGACGCGCTAAACGTGCAGTGTCCTCAACGCGTGACATCTTCAATTTGTTTCTTTGACTTCACGATGCCAATGTTTGTGTTTTCATTCCATGACCTCTCATGGGGCGGCACCGTGCATCCGGGTGGCGGTGAAGATGCAGCAGCAGCAGCAACCACAACAGCAGCGGCACCACAAGCAGGGGAAGCAGCAACAGAAACAGCAAGAGAAGCACCACCAGAAGCATGGGCGTCTGCACGAGCAGCAGCAGCAGAAGCTGGAGAAACAGAAGCAGCAGGAGCAGCAGAAGAAGAAGCAACAGCTACAGGAGAAGCAGCAGAAACAGAAGCATGAGCATCTGCACAGTCCTGAATTGCATAAGCATGAACAGCAGCAGCTTGAGCAGCAGCGGCTGGAGCATGAGCAGCAGCAGCAGAAGGATGAGCAGCAGCAGAAGAGTGAGCAGCAGCAGCAGAAGGATGAGCAGCAGCTAAAGCAGAAGCAGCAGCAGCTGGAGCATGAGCAGCAGCAGAAGAGTGAGCAGCAGCAGCAGAAGGATGAGCAGCAGCAACTAAAGCAGAAGCAGCAGCAGCTGGAGCATGAGCAGCAGCAGAAGAGTGAGCAGCTGCAGAAGCAGGACCGTGGCAACCGCCCTCCGGAGCCAAGCGCTGGCTACAGGTGACTCGCTTCGTCTGGCGCAATCGCTCTCCGCCGTCCAATAGGAACGCGTCTCGCGGTGGAGGCACACGGCCCGTCACACGCACGCACACACGCACGCACACACGCACACACACACGCACACATGCACACACACACACACGCACACACGCACGTGCAAGCAGAGACAAAGATCCCCCGTACATGAGAATAGGTTTTCCCCTATGATCTGGCAACAAAACAGGTGTTAAGATGTTAAAACACCAAAATGAAACATTTTACAAGGAATCATGTCTGCATTAACCACAATACTTGTGGTCAGAATGCAAACAAAAAAAAACGCACTCTGATAATATATGCATTGGCTTTGACACTGGTTGGTCCCACCAGAGACACACCAGAGACAGCTTTCTTTGGAGCCTAGTCTCAACACGATGTTAGACCAGGGGACAGCCTGAACGAACCATTGGCACCAGTGCTGTTAGCGAGCAGCACCTGTGAAGGCCGGCACGGCGCACGAAGGGGTGGCATAGCCAACATCATGCCCAGCTGCATTTGCCTTCCGAGTGATGATCTGATTACACACTCCACTCAATCATGCAGCCGTCTCGCCCTCCCTCACTCTCTCCGTCTCTCATACATGCACACATACCTCCCCTCCCCCTAACACAAAGACCCCCCGTGTAGCCTTAACAGACTGTTGGAGCAAGTGCTGTTAGCGAGTACCTATGAAGGCCGGTACGGCACACGAGGGGGTGGGTGGCCAGGACCACGCCCGGCCGCCTTTGTCTCCCCAGTGGCGATGTTTACACACCGCCCCAGGTACTCATTTGAGGCTGAGTCGACCTAGGGGAGGCCCAGGACCGGTTCAGATAATCGTCACTGATGTTGGCCGTGAGCGGAAATCGAACTCGTGTCGCCAGCTTCGTAGCGCAGCGCGCTAACCGCGACACTACTGCACCCCATAAGCGCAGTGCACGCACACTGGTGGTGGTGGTGGGGGGAGTGGGGGGTGTGGCACGGTGCACACTGGTGGTGGGGGGGGAGTGGGGGGTGTGGCACGGTGCACACTGGTGGTGGGGGGGGAGTGGGGGGTGTGGCACGGTGCACACTGGTGGTGGTGTGGGGGGGGGGGGGAGTGGGGGGTGTGGCACGGTGCACACTGGTGGTGGTGGGGGGAGTGGGGGGTGTGGCACGGTGCACACTGGTGGTGGGGGGGGGAGTGGGGGGTGTGGCACGGTGCACACTGGTGGTGGTGTGGGGGGGGGAGTGGGGGGTGTGGCACGGTGCGCACTGGTGGTGGTGGGGGGAGTGGGGGGTGTGGCACGGTGCACACTGGTGATGGGGGGGGGAGTGTGGGGTGTGGCACGGTGCGCACTGGTGGTGGTGGGGGGAGTGGGGGGTGTGGCACGGTGCACACTGGTGGTGGGGGGGGGAGTGGGGGGTGTGGCACGGTGCGCACTGGTGGTGGTGGGGGGAGTGGGGGGTGTGGCACGGTGCACACTGGTGGTGGGGGGGGGGGAGTGTGGGGTGTGGCACGGTGCACACTGGTGGTGGGGGGGGGGAGTGGGGGGTGTGGCACGGTGCGCACTGGTGGTGGTGGTGGGGGGAGTGGGGGGTGTGGCACGGTGCACACTGGTGGTGGGGGGGGGGAGTGGGGGGTGTGGCACGGTGCACACTGGTTGTGGTGGGGGGGGGAGTGGGGGGTGTGGCACGGTGCACACTGGTGGTGGTGGGGGGAGTGGGGGGTGTGGCACGGTGCACACTGGTGGTGGTGGGGGGAGTGGGGGGTGTGGCACGGTGCACACTGGTGGTGGTGGGGGGAGTGGGGGGGGTGGCACGGTGCACACTGGTGGTGGTGGTGGTGGGGGGAGTGGGGGGTGTGGCACGGTGCGCACTGGTGGTGGTGGGGGGGGGGAGTGGGGGGTGTGGCACGGGGCGCACTGAGCCTAGGCGGAGCTGTCCAAGTGTTTCAGCACCGCGTAATGCAGATGGCGACCCTGGTTTGCTTTAAGCAGGTGGCCAAGTGATTGACAAAAACAAAACTCAGCTGACTGCCGGCTCATGGCAGTTAGAAACGGACAGTTTCACTGCGCAATGTACATCTTCTATGGTTGGAAAAATAAGTTCCACTTTCTGGGAAGTCGTCAACGGTTGTCCCATGAACTCGCCGCCATAAAAATGTGGAATTTCCACCACCGCCTCAGAGCCACCGATTGAGATGGGAACTGCTCAGTGTTCGTCAGAGCAAAGAGTCGTTTGGCTCTTTTCTGAGCAATTTTGGGGATTTTGATTGCGACTGCCATCACACAACGCTCTCTCGCCTCGCCGGAGCGTCTTGCATGTTTCTCGAGGAGTGTCTGCAGGCGAGAGCTGTGCCGACGAGCGGTGCGGGCGGCCGTGAGGCTGCCTGCACGCCCGAGCCGCGCACAGACGTCGTCCGTTCATGCGGGCGAAACTCTCTGTGTCAGTTGCAAATCGTGATGTTTACATCATTATTTATTTATATCATTCATACCCTCATTGCAACAGATGGTTGCACTTTGTTCATTTCCTGCAGTAATTAGGTGGCTCCCACAATCAAACCATCAATTGTCTGCAATGCCGAGCTCTCTTGGCGAGCAGATCCCACCTGCAGACCTCCCCGCCACCTGTTCACCCACAGCTCGTGGTAATATTTCTACAAAACAGGAGCTGGGGGGCTCCGGAGATCGAGCACCAAGCCGCCACGAACCGAAAACCTGGGTTCGAATCCGAACTTCAACTGGCCTGCGATTGAATGGGTTCGTGAGCCGGTCGGTGCAGATCTTCGAGAGTCTTCCGCTCGCTAACGTGGGGGGGGGGGGGGGTGGGGGGTGGGGGGGGGGTCCCCACGGCACTCCAGTGTCCTCTCGTACACAGGGGTGCACCTTCAATCAGAAGTTGTTGTCCTTCCCCAGCACTTACAAATAACACGTTTGGCTACGTACGGTGCGAAATAAGTTCAACATACATACAAAATTGCCAAACATACTCATGTAGCGGAGTCTTCCCGAATCAGAGAATTGAGACGCAGTGAGGCGCTCCCGGATAAGCTAACCGTAGGGAGGTGACGGTCTCAGGCTGGTCACCATTAACACCATCGCATTCAATTTGGTTTCCGAATTTAATTGGAAAAATGTCAGCTCCCGAGAGCGAATGCATTCGGTTTGGCTGTAACGCAATGAACGGCAGGGTGCGTGTGAATGTGAAGTGCAATCAACACGTTCGTCCATAACGCTGTGGCCTTTAATGGAAATATCGACGACGTTTCGGACAATGACCCTCATTCATAGCACGAACAGTGGACTGAGTTCAATTGCAACCCTACGCCACAGTCCGTTCCTGACGACTGCTGTGCTTCTGCTTCTTGGCATTATCCCCAGTCCTGTCCTCAGCCACCATCCCACATCCACTCCACGATCCTTCACACACCGGTTCACCTCTTCACATCCCCTCTGCTTAGCCCTGCCTCTGGCGCTCCCACGTTCACCCCCTTCTTTATCTTCGTGCGGATTTCCTCTCTTCTCCATGTGACGCATCACGCTTGCCACCTGAGTCGACTTTCATTCAGTTCGCCTGAGATGGGCACCAGCGCTCCCACCGTCTTCCTCGTCTCTTCATTTCTCATCCGATGCAGTGTTGCGCATCCCTGAGATCCGTTTGATCATCATCATCATCTTCATTTTCATTTTCCACGGTGCACAACCTCCGCTCCTCCGTGGGATTTAAGAGTCCGTCGTTCAGACCCGCACGTCGATAGCACTCTGCGACAGTTGCGTATAGATTCGTCTTCTCCCGACAGCGCGGTTAGTGGAAGAGAAGTGGCAATAAAACACAAAGGGATTGGCGTGCGGCGGTGGCAAGGAAGCTGAGCGTCCCGCTGATGTGCGACCCCCCCCCCCCTCCCCCCCTTAGGATGGTGGAGGCGTCACGCAGGGCGCGGTGGGGGGCGACTGGCATGGGAGCTGCAACCTGCCCGCTGTGACCACCTCCTCCTCCCACCTCCTCCTCCCACCCCCTCCTCCCACCTCCTCCTCCTCCCACCTCCTCCTCCTCCCACCTCATCCTCCCATATTCTCCCACCTCAACCTCCCACCACCTCCCACCTCTTCCCACCTCCACCTCCTACCACCTCCTCCCACCTCCTCCTACCACCTCTCGACCACCAAGGAAATTCAAATGCAGGGCAGCGGTGCGGAGGAGCCGCCTCAATTGGCGCTCATCCGCGGCGGGGGCGTGAGGCGGCGCGGGAACCAGCGGCGGCCAGAAGAGGGGACGAGGAGGGGAGTAGTAGCCCACAGCTCGTGATGCCGCTGAGGGCGAGCACCTGTTGGTGAACGCGCTTGTGTACGCACACGTGCGTGTGTACGCATACGCACGTGTGTGTGTGTACGCACGCGTGTGTGCGCGTGTGTACGCACACGTGTTTGTGTGTGTTCAGTCTAAATAGACAAAGATCCCCATTATAGCCGCAATAGACTGTGTGGGGCAAGTGCTGTTAGCGAGTAACACCAATGAGGCCGGAAAAACACGCAAAAAATGGGTGGCAAGTATCATGCCCGGCCGCCTTTGTCTTCCGAGTGGCGATGTTTACACACCCCACGAGACACTAATTTGAGGTCGAGTCTACCTAGGGGAGGCCCAGGACCGGTGCAGATAATCGTCACCGGTGTTGGTGGCCGTGAGCGGGAATCGAAACTCGAATTACCGAGTTAATAGCGCAGTGCGCTAACCACTGCACCACCGCTCCCCCACCACCACCTGGGAGCGGCGGTGTCGTGGTTAATGGGGGTGTTTGTCTTTGTCAGTCTGAAAGAAAAAAATTCCTCGGGTGCTTACTGCGAATGCCATGGGCACGGTTGTGTCAAACCCGATCGACTGGGCCTACGCTCTCTGCAGGGAATTTGCTGTAGTAGAGTGCGGTGCGGTATTGTGTTGTGTTCAACAAGAATGATTGATTTGTTTTTTTTATTTTAATGTCACTTGATTTCCGCGCACGAGGAGTCGCCGTTGAGATTCGCTTCGTAGTGCGCGCGCGCCCTTCCCGAACAACCGCCCCCGTTTGTCGCGAGAACAGCCACAACAAAAACAACCCCGCGGCGTTAACTCCGCCACCACGAAAACAACCCCGCGCCAGTGGTGGAATTCACGGTCGCCACGCCTGAAGCAAAACTTCGTGCCAAACGAGCGAGGGACCGCCGCTCCACGTCTCTGTCCGCTCTCCGGTGCCGTCACGCGGCGTGGGCCCGCACCTCGCGCTGCGTTGTCACGCGGCGGTGGGGGGGGGGGGTGACGCGAGAAATCAAGGTGCGCGTTACCTTCGTGATGGCACAAGAAACCCCCCCCCCCCCACCACGCCGTGATGGTGTCGTGGTGCGAGATGGGATTGGATTGAGGCCAAAAGCCATTGCCTCCACACCGCCGACTCCCCGCACTCCAAATGCCCCCCCCCCGCTGCCCCCTACTCAACTTCCTCAGTGTGGGCGCCATACGACCGCATCTCATCTTTTACACGCACACCTGTACCTCATTACCGCCGCTCGATTTCTCTCGCTCTGGACCTTCCGCGCTCCTGGCGGGAGGCAGGAGGGGGGGGGGAGTTCTGTTTCTTGCCAGGGCCCTAATCTGGAGCCCTGCGGCTCCGTCCCATCCATTCCCATCCAGCGCAGCTGAGTCCAGCGGCCTCATCCTCAACGCCACGCTGGTGACGCCCTCCATCTCCCACCGACGTCTTTACATTCGCGGCCACCGTGCCCGTGCGGATGGGTTCGCGTGTTGAACAAAGTCCAACAAGCAGTATGTTGGGCAGTTAGAATGATCGCTGAGCTGGCATTGATGTTCAATGCCTCGGCATTATCATCATCATCATCGATGATCAGACTACTGTTGGATGAAGGCCTCCCAATGCCGTGAGGGTTGTTTGACCTACTGTTCAGGGCGCTGTCAGTGAAGAAGTATGGGCTCAGGATTGATTCATAAATCACTCGCCAATGAAGTTAGCCGCCGCCGGGAATCCGACTCAGGTGGCCGGGCTCATAGTGCAACGTACGAACCATTGCGCCTCCACTCCACCTTGCGTCCTGCCCCCAGAAGTTGAGACTGAGGGTCTGGGCTCGCGTGCGCCGCACGCAGACTGTCAGCTTGAGACTCCAATCTCGCCCTGCTGCATGGCGGCCGTGATGTGGCAGCACAGCAAACAGGTTCGTGAACTCAGCTGTGACGATTGTTGAGTGTTTATCGGCGTCAGATCCCCGTGGGGTTTCTCCCGGACGCAGCAACACGCCCAGAACCGCGGCGTTGGCCAAACACCCACGTGAGACGGAGTCCAGAGACTCCGCGAGCCTCTCCTGGATCAACAAACAACATTATTAGTTACCATTATAAATAAATGTGTCTTTTTATTATCACAAATGGCTTTTAAAATTTATTTGTCCACGGTTTGTTGTTGGGGGCCACATACATTGTACAGAGATATCAAAATACAGCAGGATGCGTACATCACACGTGTACGTACGGCTCGGGCGACTGTGGAGACCGCACAACGGGGGTGGCGGCCGAGGGCGGGGAGCGAGAAGGGGGGGGGGGGGGCGAGACAAATGAGGGACGATGGCCACCAGCCTCGACAGAACACAGACGGGACTCGCGATGCGACGTGTCCCCTCCATCATCCCATCACCATCGCAGCGGCAGTGTTGGGGTACACACACACACACAGAGGGCCTAATTCATCACTGGGTGTTTGCCAGGTTGATGTTCGACTGGAATAGGCGGCACACGACTTTAGTAGCCACAGCCCTGGTGAGAGAGGCATGATGGATGCGGTGTGCCGTGTGTGGAAATATTTTAGGGGGTCGCTGAGCCGGACAGACCCGGGTGAAATTAAGCCCTCGGTGCAGCCTCGAGCCACGCTCCCACTTGGAGGCTCACACCGACCGATAGCCGCAAGACCACGCCACTGAGGACCTTTAAAAGACAACGCCAGGTCACGACCCCTTGTGACACCTGCACCGCCGCCGCGTTCCCTCCGCCTGTGTGACACGCGGGGAAGTGCCGGACGGACGACGATCGAGATGATAAACTCAGTGGGCCAGATTCACGTTTTGACGAAACGGCGCTGCGACGCAACGCGTTGTCAATGTGCGCCCTCGTTGGCGACGGAGATACAGGCGCTTGTTTGCCAATTGATATAATAATAATAATGATGATCATTCACAGCCCCCTGTCAATCAACTGCTGGATGAAGGCCTCCCCACGCTGTGTCACTCGTGGCCGTCGTCAGAGCGTACTTCAACACCGCTGGTCAGTGTGGGTTGATGAAGGGCGGCGCTGCGACACTCAGGACCGGTTCAGATATCATTCGCCACCGACGTTACCACCGACATTAGCTACACCCGGGAATCGAACTCGGGTGACCGGCGTCGAAAGCACGGCGCGCTTAACCATCGCGCCGCGTAATCGGCCGTTCACGTCAATGTGATTCTGTCACCCGTATACGCGCGGTCATCTTGCCAATTGACGAGATCGAGTTGGGCGTTCAACAGCGCCGCCGGCGGCGTGGCTCCTGTAAGTACCCGGAGGGCGGTGGCGTCAAGGAGACACGGGCGTGCGGGGGAGAGTGCGAGTCTCACCATGCGTGCAGGTGATGAGCGCTACGCTTGGACAAGCAGCAGATGGTCAGCTCCGCGGTGTGTCGGGTAGCGAGCCCACACGGCTCTGTGCGGGGACCCGGGTTAGCGAGCGGGCCATGGTAGAATGACCCTGACCGAGATGCCGCATGCTGGCGATGCAGAACATGAGCTGTCGCTACGGTATTTGTAGGAATGCAGCGAAGAGCTTGAGGAGGGTTCCAACTCTACCCCGGGGTTTCAATTCTTGGGCGACAACGCATGCAGGCTTAGTGCCTGGATTTATCTGGCAGTGTTCTCACAAAGATACCCATCGACTCACGTCGAGACCCACAGATCCACACAGAGACACACATAGTCACATGTATACCCACATACTTACATAGAGACCTTGAGACTCACAGATACCCACTGAGCAACTGGAATAACCTGGCAGTGGCTTCATCATCGGCGCTTTCTCCAGCAGAGAGGCGTTCGATGCCCACTCAGCTTCCCAAGAAACAACATTTGCTGGGAGCCCAACACTGGTTTCATCAGCACCACCATCATCATCATCATGCTATTTTCATGTTGAAATCATTAATTAATCCAACTGCGCGTGAGATTGGAAACAAAAAACCCGGAGTGGAATTTGTAAACCTCCTCAACGCGGAGCCATGAGTCCACGCTGGGCAGGACGCACTGATCAGGTGACATAGAAAATGGATGGCAAGGGGCACCAAGATCCCGTAGAGGGCATTCTGGATCCCATCGCCACCACCTTCCCAAAACGTAATGACACCGCTCTCAGACCAACGTCTGGGCCTGGCCTTGGGGCGGGCCCTCAGCCAACCACGGCGAGACGGAGCGCGGGCGCGCATCAGCGGACGTGGCTCGTACGTCAACAGAAGCTGTCGGCAATACCAAAGGGCTTCTGATCAGCCATGCGGGACACGAAGGCATCATTTTGACACTGGGCTTAAATCGAGGCCTTTGAGCTGTGCAGCACAGAAGTGGACACAATTTCAAATTGAAGAAAATAAATTCAAAGGGAAACCTCAGTGGGTGCCGATCAATCAGCGATGATTCTGCTCTGCCGACGAGGACGCGCGGTTAATGTCGGGCACAAATCGCTCCGTGGGGCAGGAACACGCGGTGCGTTTGTTTCCATGAGCCAGCCGCGCAGAGTACGCGTGGATGACTCGCGGTCCACCCTGCTGCGTGTGGCTGCGGACGTGAGATCGATGCGGATGCGATGCACATTTGGGGCGACCGTTGTCCGGTTTTTTTACGGCAATAGCCCGAATCGCGACGGAGTCCTCACCAACAAAATGAACGCCTGACGCGTCTTCTGAGTTTGTCTTTTTTCCCACTCAACGAGTTCTTAAATGGCCGTCGTACAACGCCAGTTATAACGCAAATGAACCGGCGAACGCATGAACAAACGTCGAGAACGCGGCGCCGAGACGGCGGGGAGGTGGAAATAAACGACAGAGGCGGTGCGCACTACGATTATAAAACACATGCTGGAGCCACGGTCAACACGCGCTCCCCATTCTCCGCTGTCGTAAAACCTTTCCACGAAACATTCCTAATTCCACTTAATGTACAGGTTCAATACAAAAAAAACAGAAGCGACCGTCATGCTGGGGTTTCAACACAAACATCGTTACATTCAGATCACATTTTGTTTGTTTAAACATTCAAGGGTTGCACGGAAGAGAAAAACAATCGTCCCTTTCAGCCCCCTTCGACTTCTCGACAGCGATGGCGCACGACGCGCGTACCGGAGGGGCCGCGGCGATTCGCAAGTTCGCTGATCGGCATCGTTCCGCTTGGCGGAACTTGCTCGGGGGGGAGGGGAGTGGGGAGACGGGGGACACCAACGCACGCACGGACGGACAATCCACCAGACGGACACCGGGAAATTCCACATCGCCGTGCGCACGACGTCATCGGATCCCGCAGCCGCGGTAGGACACGGCCACGAGCCCACGACAAGACGGCAGGCAGCTCCCCCTCCACAATGGGCATTGAGCGAATATTCAGCTTGCATATTGGTATTGTTTGGCCTCTATCTCTGCCACCTACCAAACTGGCACTTCTGTTTCCCCTCTCACCTACCCACCTACCTCTCACGCGCTCTCCTCTCTTCCCCCAGATAGTCCAGTGCATTAAATTACAGGACAGTGTATTATTGATAAATCAATTGCTTGCCAAGAACATCTCACACAGATTGTTCTGTGCACAATAAACATAAATTGCACCTAGCACGTCTTCATAATTAATCACGGCTCGGCGGGCCAGACGATTCGAACAAAACGTTACCTGCGTGCGTGCCGCGTGTGCAGTGCGTGCCGCGTGTGCAGTGCGTGCCGCGTGTGCCGTGCGTGCCGCGTGTGCCGTGCGTGCCGCGTGTGCAGTGCGTGCCGCGTGTGCAGTGCGTGCCGCGTGTGCAGTGCGTGCCGCGTGTGCAGTGCGTGCCGCGTGTGCCGTGCGTGCCGCGTGTGCAGTGCGTGCCGCGTGTGCAGTGCGTGCCTGTCTGGGCAGCAGTGGTGGTGAGGGAGGAGGGGGTAGGGAAGCCCGGTGTTTCCATCACTCGGGGTCCGCGAAACAGCGCACCGCTCACTCTGCCCGCTGTAACGATTCGAAATCAATGCTGGCACAAGCAGCAGACGCTATCAGCAGCCGCTCTGACTCAACACAGACAGTGAGTGTCACGTGAAGCAAGAAAGCCACACCGATGTTTCTTCCGTTCTGCTTTCCACATTATTGAAATTATTACCAGCGCTTCGTTTCCCACAGTCATAGTTTCCAGGTCGCTGTTCCGACAGAATTTGGCTGCACGTGACGAGAAGTATCCCCAAGCCGCAGCGATAGGGATGTACTTGATGTGGTGTGCCGGATGCATAAATATTTGCTGTCTCGCTGATCCAAAAGAGACCCGGCTGAAATTAATCTCTGATCATTATTACCTTATACTTATGATATATTACCGTATAATCATGATATTCCCATTGTAATGCTATCATCTCGAGGTGGCCAGGAGATGGGAGACCTTGCGTCAGGACCAGGGGACGTCGTCCCCCGGGCTGTGTCCCACCTGAAGGGTGCTGCTATTAATAATGTGCAAGATGTTGTCAATTGACTACTGGATGAAAGATTCCCGACGTCGTGATAGTCTCGGGGGCTATTTTAACCACACCTCACCACCACGGACGGCCCAGCGCTGCTTAAGATATCGCGTGCCACCGATGTTAGCCGTGACCGCGAATACAACCCGTTGGCACTAACCACTGCACCGCCACTCCGAACCCCACCAAACAAAACTTGCCAATCCAAACTGAGCACCATAGAATAGGAACGTGACAAATCACCAATTCATCGATTAAAATCAATTACCACGCGCAAAGTAACGTGCATTACAATGATTTCCATGATCTACGATGTATGCAAATTGCATGCAAATTATATGCTCACCTTACATGTGGGCTAATGGGGCGCACGAAACCGTACAGAAACAGCGATGGGAACGAGACGGGAAACACGAGTCAAGCCACGGATCAAATTCCCAAATCTCCGATTCGTGAGAAGCCATCTCCAGACCCACTTCGCTGCCTCGCCACGGCGGGGGCGACGGGCGGTCAGCCGACTGACCGGCTGTTACTCACGAGGGCCCTTTGGCTACCGCTCGGACCTTCCGGGGCTCACGAGGGGTCCAACCGCGCCTGGCCACCACTTCACTTCCCCGTCCTCCGACACGTACTCTGACCCCGGGCTGTGAACGTCGCGCCTTCCGTCCTGGGCACGTGGACCGCGCGGTCTCTGCCAATGCGATTCTGAACGTCACTTCGGCCCACGTCAACCCCCCACTGAATGTGAACGGTGCCCACTGGCAGCCACATGTGGGGCTTGTCTCGGGGTCATCGGTTACGCTGGGACAAGCTGTGCTCAGAATCGTGGCACGTGGGGTAAACCCAGCACGGTGGGCAGGGTGCTGGTCGGTTTTGTTTGATCGTACTTCGCAAACATTGGCCCTCAAATGAAGAAGCTACAATCGTTGATTTACAATGAACCTTCTTCACCATCTCTCTGCTCGAGAGACAATCTACGTGATAAGTAAGGACCATTGCCAGAAACGTCGCCTATTACATGTTTCTAATCATTTCAGGGCAGTCTTATTGGCGAACGTGTTGAGTTTGTGTCGTGTCACTGTGCACCGCTGCCAGTGCAGGACCGCAGTGCGCGCTGTGGACAGGGGGCCTCGGGGAGAACGCGGAATCATTGAGGTGCAGGCAGCAGAGGTCGGCATGTGACGAGCGAGCGAGCGAGTGGGGTGGAGTGGACGCCGAGCGGCCTGATCGCCCTGTACCAGTCGGTGCCGGTATGAGCCACCAATCAGAGGCGTCATCAGAGAGCTGGCTCAGTAGATGGGCGGGTGGCTGGATGAAACTATACACTTAAACACTTATTTATTTTTCAAGATGAGCTCCACTGAGCTCACCTGGCCACAAATGATAGCTCAACGAAGTGGCTTATCAAGTGGAAATTTATAGCAGCCAAATATTATTCGCGCAAGTTTCCAAATGTGTAGAGAAAAACCTTCGGACCCCGGAAAAAAGTCCACACGACTACGGGGAGAACATGCAAACTCCAAATGTACAGGCGTCAGGGTCGGGATGGAACCCACGACCTCCTGTCTACTAAGCAGGGTAGTTAACATCTTGCTACATGGTGTCCAAGGTGACTGGCGGGCTGACTTGGTAGCGGCCGGTAAGATAGATGGATGATGTGCGGTTAGCTGGGTGATTGGGAGTGTCGAGGGAGAGTGAACGGCGTGCGAGCTGCGTGGGTTGATGGGTAGATTACTTGCTGACTGGAGAACGGAGTGAATGTGTGACTGACGGGCTGAGTCGGCGAGTGTCTGGCTGGTTGGTTGGAAGACTGGCAAGGTGGGTGGCTGGACGATGAACTGGCTGTGTGATGGTGAGAGTGGTGGCTAGCCGGCTGGCTGAGTGATTGGATAGGTCGGGGGCCAGGTGGTTGGCTTTACTGAGACAAAGGGGTAGAGATGGGCAGAGAAGAGCGCTTTGTGTTGTGGATAAAGTCCAATGTTTGAGCAGGGAAGCAATGTGGGACAATCCGTGCCATGTTACACCTTAGCCCACCTTCCACCCACCTCCTGCCAGGAAAATGTATGCAGCAATTGGCACAAGTGGGAGGGGAAACAGCATAAAGGCAAAACCTGCACGCTCATCGTCAGCCAGGGCCTATCCACTGCTGAATTAAAGCCTCACCCTTGTCAACATCCCTCAAGATCTTGCTCCTACATATGAGCTGATCTCATACGTCTGTCTCCGTGGTGGTCATCCTCTCGAGCACATTCTTTCCTTTGTCTGTCATCACATCGTCTCGTCCATCAGTCACCATTGTGTCCTGCCACTGTACGTCCTGCCCCCACCCTGAGTTTCTCTCCTTAGTAGTCCACGTGGTGTCCATGACTTGCGTGTGTGTCCCTGATCCGCGTGGTGTTCCTCTCTCCGCCCCAATGTCATAATCACGGAGAAATGAGTTGTGATGACACGAGCGGTGATGACACGACAGCACTTGTGCCAGTCTAGGTGCACTTTGAGGCCACGTGGATGTGCAATACAGTATACGTGCACACAACAACGCGTGCATGCGTTATCTTTATTCACTTCTTGTGTTGGCCCCTTGTCAATCCACTGCTGGATGACGGACCTCCCCACGCCGTGTGCCGGTCACGGGGGTTGTTTGACCATACTTCACCACGTCGTGCTGCATGCTATTACATGCTAAAGATGATAGCGGGGATTTGAGGGGGTGGAATTTGTTGAGGCGATGTCGACTTTACTGCTGTGATTGGAGCGCAGCTGGGGAGGGGGATTGGGGGCTCAGGGTGACGGAGGGGAGGGGAGGGAAGGGAGGGGGTAGAGGGAGTGGAGGGGGGGAGTGGATGGGGTGGAGTAGAGGGGGGAGTGGAGGGGGGAGTGGAGGGGGGAAGGGAGGGAGTGGAGGGGGGAGTGGAAGGGGGGGTGGATGGGGTCGAGGGGGTGGAGTGGAGGGAGTGGAGGGGGGAGTGGAGGGGGGGGTGGAGTGGAGGGAGGGAGTGAAGGGAGGGAATGGGAGGTGGAGGAGGTGGAGTGGAGGGAGTGGAGGGAAGAGTGGGGGGGTGGAGGGGGTGGAGTGGAGGGAGGGAGTAGAGGGGGTGGAGGGGGTGGAGTGGAGGGAGTGGAGGGGTGGAGTGAAGGGAGGGAGTGAAGGGAGGGGGTGGAGGGAGGGAGTGGAGGGAGTGGATCGGGTGGGAACCGCACAGGGCTCAGCAGCTGGGCCCTGCGTGCACCCGTCCGGCATAATTTCATCTGACTCACAAATTAGCAGCCTGCGGTCTCATCTCCGAGGAATGCGCACGGAATGTAATGAGTTCTTTAAGTGAGCTTGAGGTTGTAATGACGAAGCCCAGGTGGGGGCTCTCTGGGAGCGATCTCTCTCATCTCGCTGGCAAGCGGCGGCGGTGTATCTCGCGAGCGCCGCGGCTGAATGCTTCCCCAGCGAGCCACTGACCAGCGATGGTGAAGAATGATCAAACAACCCCCCCCCCCCCCACATTAATACATACTCACCTAAAACCATCATCTCGTAATCCTCTAGCCATGGCATCAAGGAGCAGACACCGCCAAGAAACGACGACGTCTAATTCCCCTTCATCCTCCTGCTCATTGCGCCGCCACCCCTGTGGTGCAGGAGCGTGACCCGTGCCTCGTAACTCTGCAGAGGCATCTGTGAAGACTGTCGCGAATGGAGTACACGACCGTGCTGCTGTTGTTATTGTACTGCCCCTGCACTCTTCGGCAGCGCGAGCGGCCGTGCAGATGCACACGAGTGTAGCTGGCCATTGAAGTCGTGCAATTGTAATTACACATTATATTGTCTTACATTCTGTACCGCATCTCTTTAGCTACTGCACACACACACATGTACGTGTCTGCGAATTCTGGTCTCTCCCCAACAGGACAACGAAACGCTCCTCAAGAAACATCCAAATGGGAGCAAGCCCCTCTTTTGAAGAGTATTGAGTTTCGTTGTGGCTTTGTCGACTGAATGAGGAAGTATCATTCAGCGCTCTTGTGCGACGAGGGGCGTCAACACCAGCACCAACTACAATCCTCTCTTACCCCCCCCCCCACCCTTGCCACTGTTCCCCTCTCCACAAACAACTCCCCGTCTTCTCTCCGCAGTACGAATACGCACGCTTGGACACCAAACTCTCGGCCGTGTCCCAGCCGGCCCCCTCCCTCGCCGCCGGCGGCAGCAGCAGCACGCGGCGCTTCGCAGCGACCACGACGCTGGCGCTGGGCGACGCGGGGGCGATGGTGACGACGACGACGATGATGATGATGACGACGATGATGATGACGACGATGATGACGACGACGATGATGACGACACTGGGCGGACTGCAATCGAAACACCGACGAGAGTTCCACGTGCACACCGTCGCCACGCGACACGGAGGGTTCCACACGCAGACCGCGGCCTAGCGCACGGACGGAACACGGCGTGGGGGGCGGGGGGGCGGTGAGGGGGTGCCAATGAATGAAACATGACGCACGATTTATTTATCTTTCCCATGATCTGGGGGGCGGGGGGGAGAGAAAAAATAAAACACAGAATACTCAACGTCATATTATTTAGCTCATTCATGCGGTAAACACTAAACTTCTCGCTGGACAGGTGTACAAATTATATACACGTATTTATATTATAACATTCTTCTCTTTATCTTGACCCTCGGTGGACTTTGTAGTTTACAGAATATTGCTTTAAGTGGCAAAGCAATGCTCCCTCTTGCGACGGGAGGCCCGCCCGCCCGCCCGTCACCCTGCTTGCCGTTGTTACTAAGTGTAAGTGACCGGCTGTCTGACCTGACTGGATTAGCCATCTGCCTGCCTCGCTGGGCTAACAGACGAAGCCATTCGGGGATGGCTGTGGAAGTTTGGGATGAAGCGTCAATTGGTCTCGGCGCGGGAGCATCCGTCTGTCCAGCAGCTGTGGCCGGGTGCGTCGATCAATAAATAAATCGAGAGCAAATCGATTGGTTCTCGAGTCTGGCGCCAGATGAGACGGCCGCCGCCGCGCGCTCTCGTGACACCTCGGGGTTCGGAGTTCAGAGCCACAGGAAGAAACGCGTTCGTCATTGACCGCATGAGAGGAGGCGGTCATCGGCTGAAGTCTGCTGCTCACCCTGATCAGCAGCAGCAGCGATGCATTAGGGGTCAGCATCAGTGGCGTAGCTACCGGGAAGAGGGAGGGGGGCGCATGGAAGGCTACGAGGAAGGGGGCAGCAACGCTGGACGGCGCGGGTTCCATTTCATTGCTTGCACCGGGGCCCATGCCGACCGCGTCGCGCCACTGACCACCGCATCGTCAGCCCTTGGCGGGGAGCCCCGTTGCCTTCAGCCGCGCTGAACCGCTGATGCGACGGAGGCAACAGTGGCGCGGGGAAAGATCGTCGACGCCTCCTGTGCGCGGCCGTCACGGCACGCACGGCGGTCCCGGCGCGGCCCGCAGAGCGGCGGGGGAGGCAGCCGAGGCGGGGAGTTGACGAGCTGCTCGTGGGGTTCAGGAGACACCGGCCGTTGAAGCTGACTGAGGGCCGGTGGTACCAGTGGGCTGGAACGGAGGCAGGGGAGGGGAGAGAGAGCGAGCGAGCGACATTCACTAGAATGAACAGAGATTCTTTCTCACAGAATATTTACCAGGCTGCTGATAAGACTGGAGTAGGCGGGTCCCGTGACTGGTAGCCACAGCCCGTAGCGAGAGAGATGGTGGAGGTGGTTTTCTGGGTGCGTACATACTTTCTGGGTGGCCTGCACTGCAGCATTCCAAGCAATTTTGTAAACCAAAAAAAACTTCGAGTTACAGCGCGAGTGACAAAAACAATTATAGCAATAACGATGAAAATAATTTACACTAATTGAAATAAGACATATTACATAATAAATCCATAACAACACACGGCTGTAAATACTCGTGTCGAATCGATGCCACCAACATAAGCGAACAATAAACACTTTTACGACGCTTTTATTAACGCGCCGAATGCTTTTCGCTTTGATTGGATTCGCAAACTTCGCCCACATATTCACGGCCATGCCGTCCACACTTCCAGAGTTAATTGCAGCAACAACAACAATACATAAATCACTGCCTTTAATTCCAACGTTGTTTTGTTTACGCGTTGAAAGCTGAGCTGTCTATGAATGGAAGTGGGTGGGGTGGGCGGGCAATATTTACGAACGTCAGATCGCCACCCCAACCGAATTCTACATCAACTGCACAATCTATTCACAACAAAAATATAAACTTCTTTACATTAAAGGGAGGCGCGGGGGGGGGGGGGGGGTGTTTGTTCATCGGCGGAAAAAGCCGGGAGGCCAATCCGGATTGGCACGCCACTCGCTGGCATTTTCCATTTCCCTGCCGACAAAAAGATCAAAGAGGGACGCCTCCGCTTTGATGTGAATTGGGCACGGCGAGTGCGTGCGTGTGGCATCTGCGTGGGGAGATGACAGGGAGAGGGAACCGTTGCTGGCACAGAGGATGCATCGGACAAGCTGTAACCCCCTTGGCTCGGTGTCCCCCTGAAAGCGGCCCTCTGACTAATGCGTGGGGCGTTGCGCAAAGGACGGTGGCGCGCGTGAAAAGTAGGGCAAAGCAAAGCAAAGAGAGAGGCACGTGAGCGCGTGCGTCCTTTAAGCAGCCGGTCTGGTTGGTCACGGATGAACGCGTACAAAACCTTTTAGCAACTTTCTTGTTTTTCTCAAGCAACCTTTGTCCACGTTTTTTTCTTCTCTCTTTCTCTCTCTCACCACCCGGTCGCCAACTCTGTTGATCGAAACTTTTTTGGTAATTTCAATTCGCTTTCATTTTCGTGCAATTCCAGCGTCGAGCATGGATAAGTGCTTCGATGGGCGACCACCGTGCATGGCGCAGGCGCTGTGGGCTGTCCGTGGAGACCCGCGACTTACGGTGTGAATCGCATTTCGGTGGGCAACGCCAGTCTGGCTGGCGTTTGAATTACGGTAAGCCCTGAAGCTCGGCTTCACTTGCCCCCGTAGGTGGGAATGAGTGTCTGCGTGTATCGAGAATAAATGGGGAATGAGAGGCTGTAAATCACCCTTGTGAAATGAGCAAGTTGAACAAAGATCCACGTGGAATGAACGCACGTGATGAGGAATGAATGACCCTGCGGCAAACATCATCGATGTGCAACCAACTTCCTTGTGGAACAAACATTCGTCGTGGAACAAAAATCGGTTCGCTATGAACGTACGTGTGCATTTAAGCTCTGCGTGGGACCAGCATTCTCGTGGAACGTTCGATCGTAAGAACAAACGTTGGCGCGGAGCGAACGTGCGCGTGGATCGAGCTTGTGCGGAACTCACCGTGGCCCCTGCTCGCTCTCCGGGCCACGGCGACGCGGAGGGCAGGGGGGCACCCGACCCGGCCAGCCGCAAAACCTCTTGACGTGACGCAGAGTGACGACGGAGTTTGGTGGGATCTAGAGGTGGTTCTTGAGTGGCGAAGGGAGGGCGAGGGAGAACAGGGGTTGTGGGCGCGCTGAGTGAGGGTGGAATGTCACTGTCAGATCGTCGTGCATATGGTGGTGGTGGTGGGAGGGAGGGACGACGCGGGCAGTTCGGGTTTATGGGAGGCATGGGGGAGAGGAGACGGAAGGAAGGAGTGGGGAGTTGCGGGTGGTGGGGGGAGGGGGGCTTCTAGGCTGATGTCTGAGCACAGGGCATGACCGCATTGAGCGATCGGAAGCCCAGGATATTCTTGCTAGAACACCAGGTCCCCCAGAGGCTCCCCTGGTCCGGGGGGTGGGGAGCAGGGATGGAGCAGGCGGAAGCAAGGGAGGAGCAGGGGTCGGGATTAGCGGAAGAGGGCGGCAGGGGGGACACAGAAGCGACACAACACAAACACGCGCTCGCCGGCGCCAGCAGTCACTCCGCCGCTCGGCCGATTGCCTCGTCTGTCAGGAGGTGGGAGAGCCACTCGTGTGCCGTGCTCCCATCATCACTGCGATTGCCTGGTGGCGAGCGATCCATCCCGAAGGCTGCGCCAGAGTGATCGCGTGTTGGCTGGCGAGACGTCCGTCGCTGTGATCCGCCCTCTCACGTCTTAATGGATGTGGGGTTATTTTTATCGCTTGTTTTTTTTATTTTATCTTTTGCGTTTCATGCGTGTAAGTAAAAAACACAGCAAGCCCTGTTGTACTCAGCGGTTCTGCCGTTCCGCGCTGACACATGGAGACACGCGATGACACGCGGGGACAAGCGGTGATACGCGAGGACACGTGGGTGACACGTGGGGACACATGGTGACACGTGGGGACACACAGTGACACGTGAGGACACTCGCCATGTCTGCCTGCCTGCACGGGGTAAGCATTCACTTGGCAGCCCCAGTGACCCAGGGTGGTGGTGGTGACTCAATTTTATCTCTCGGTCGTGTTTCGCTTTCTCAGTCATCCTCCAGTTGCTCCTCTCGGGGTGACGTCACGGGACAAAGATATTTACATTTGGAGCGCTCGCGTAAAGCGGCGTGACGTCACCCTGCGTTCGACAAAAAACGTCCTCCAGAAGATAACTGCATAGAACTACTTTCTAAGATCCCGAGTATGACTGAGGAGTCGGCGCTACAGTCACGGATTGTTTAATCTATCTGGGTGGAGCTTTGAGCGTCACTCGGGGTGCTCGAGTTGACTGCGGCAGGCTTGAACGCTCACTGTGAGTGCCGGCCAAACATACCGGGCGCAGTACCCTCCTGAAAGGGCTCAGCGACTTTTTCCTGAGAACGATCACAAGTTGATTAATCATTTAGAGTGCAGAGCCTATGACCAATTCAGCTGTAAATGCACTCAATCTTAGAAGCCAAGCAGGTTTCGGCCTGCTGAGTGCGGCCCGCCACACAGGTGACATCGACCGCTGCAGCCGGGACGCAGTCAACAGCAACATCAATTGCCGTACCGCATTGCTATGCTGCCTTCACCGAGCTACGCTCACCAGCGTGGTCAATTGTGCTCAATAACCACCCAAGAATGTACGGCGCCAAAGAAGTTCAACACACACATACATTCAGCAGCGGATTCACCAGAAGGGCCGTGCACGCTGAGCGCGCACGCGCGCAGGGCAGGGCCACGCATTGCGTGACCCCGAGTCGTGCGCGTCACGAGCGGAGCTGCGATCTCCGCTCGTTTGGGTAACCGATGCCTCTGCCGACACCGACATGAGTGGAGACAAAACAACGTCCCACCTCTGCTGCCGTGTGTGTGCCCCTGGACGGGAGGTGACGGCGATGATGCGCATGCAGTGACGTCATGGATATCACCAGGTGCGGCCTATAGGAGGTTTCCCACCTCCGAGGAAGCAGGATTTGCTTCGAGCTATCGATCGTACAACTAAAAACAGAGTCGATTATAACGACGCCACCGACTGATCGTGCCAGCCGTCGTATCGAGCCGTCGTCTCGAGCCGTCGTCACTCACGAGCCGTCCTCCCCCTGTCTCCTAACCCCCATGAGGCCGACGTGGCGGGCACCCGCACGCCGGAGTGTGGCCCACCAGGGCCCTGCCGCGTAACGTCGTCGTGCAATCAGCGCCGCCGAGCTGCTGCTGCTGCTGTTGCTACTGCTGCTGCGCTCGCGAGCGCGTGGGGGGGGGTCGCGTTCTCCGGTGTCGGGGAACGATTAACGCCGCCCGCGCTCGACACGCGATTGATGAGTCCCAGCCGCCTCGCGTCGCAGCTCGCGGATTGGGTGTCGGGAGAGACGATACCCTGCGAGGCGGGTGCCGAGCGGTGGTTGTGCGTTGGGGTTAAGCGAGTGCCTGGGTGAGGCGCGGCAAGGCACGGTGTTGGGGGTAGGGTCAGGCACTGTGAGTGCTGTAAACCCCACAATCTAAATTACAGTTTCGGCCGCTACTGAGTGGCAGGTGACATCTGAACCCTCCTCTGCTCGACGTGCACTGGCCTGTGTGGAGCAATATGCAACTGGGATCAAGCAACGCCCATGATCGATGTATCTGGGGTGATGGCGAGGGGGTCAGGGGGGCGGGGTCCTTCACCCGCAGTGGATTGCCAAACACCGCCCCCCGCCCATGCTTCCCCCACCAACATTCGAGTCCTCAGCCACCACCGATTGCTTTCAGCTTGTGCCAAGTCAGCAGCCCGTCGGGGAGTCGCTCCTTTTCTGCGGCATTACATCACATCCCGAACAGACGGGGGCGGGGGAGAGGTTGTGGGGGTGGAGGGTGGGGGCGGTGGGGGGGGAGCTCTTGCCTCGGCCAGGAGGTGCCAGTGAGCGATGGGCTTGCGTGGGTACGCCAGCATCTCGTTCCAGTGGTCGCGGCCCATCCCCTCCGCCTCTCCGCCCACCCAGCACACGCCGATCACCTCGTTGTGGCCCACCCTGCGGCACGAGACGTGGGGAGGGGGTGGGGGGTGGGAACGCGCGGTTAGCCCCTCGGTTGGCATCACGACCGCCCGGTGGTTGGTGAGAGAAAGGGGCGTAGAGGTCACAGGGGTTAGACAGATTTCACCTCGAGTGGAGGTGGAATTCTACCGACAGGGATTGCGCAGTTGTGCTGCTGTGCGTGGCGCTCTCCGATGTCGCTCGGCGCGTTTATTTCTCCACGTGCTGCGAGCTCCATTGAGAATGAGCTACTCCCCACTGAGTGAAGGCGGACTGCTGAGGGGCTTCGACAATGCCTTGGTCGTCAGAGCGGAGATTGCGTGGAGCGGAGTGGAGTGAGATGAGAGGGGCGAGGTAGGAGAGTGCACGTACGGGGATTCCGGTGAAACGAGAGGGGAGAGGTCAGGCTGGGGGCGACTCCATGCGAGATCGTGACGGCGAATGTGATCGTGTTGTCGATCTGGAACAGGATTGGGATGCAGTGGAGGGAGATGAGTATCGGGGCCACGTGGTCGCGTGTGTGGGCGAGGAGACGGCGGAGGAGAATGAGCCTCATGGCTCGGCTGCTCCTTTTATTCCGAAAATGAGGAGATGTGGGGGGCAGGGAAGGAAGGGGGACTCTGTGTGGGTGGCAGGGGGGAGGGCTCAGGAGATGAAGAAGCAAACTGGCTGTGCGACCAGCGCGTGTGCGAGAAGGAGGAGGAGACACCGGGTCAATGACATCGACCGGTAATTACCAGCATGGCTGCCCGGCCCGTTCTCAATTACTCAGCACCGTCACTCCAGAAAAAAATGTGTGATTGATTACCATTAATTGAGATTGGTCAAAATACAATTACAATTCCATGCTGCCCGGCATGAGAGCATCCATTAATAGCCGCACGTTCGCTGCTGCTTACGAAACTACAAGGTCATTAATTGCGCCGCATTAATGATACTGTACCACGGTGGCGATATGTTAACTCCCTCGCCGGGTATACAGGAGTTTGTGGGTTCGATTCAGACCCTAACGCTGGAGTTTACACGTCCACATGATAATCCACTTCGTTGAGCTATCATTTGTGGAAATTTAATCTATTTCGCTCAGTGGGCAGTACCTGGTAAAATAAAATAAATAGTTAACGGTTAGTTACGTTCCCATGGCCCACGTGTGTTTGCGTTGGTCCATGAGCGCAAATACAAAGGCGTCTCACGTCAAAGCGGCCAGCATCAGAGAGCAGGAGCGATGGCTCAGCTGGGAGCACTGAACACCCACACTGTCGGCACGCGACGGGAACGGACGCCCACATCTAATATTTGAATTCTCAAAGGTGAATTTTCGCCAAATTAAGTGAGGAATCAAAGAAATTGTGGTGGGATTTTTGCGTGATGTCATCAGGGACTGGGCTGAGACCATCAACTCCCTGCCAGTTTAATCTATGGGAGTCTACGGTCTCTGTGTGAGTCTACGGGTCTCAACGTGAGTCTATAGGTCTCTGTGTGAGCCTCCAGGTCTCAATGTGGGCCTACGGGTCTCCATGTGAGTCTACGGGTCTCTATGTGAGTCTACGGGTCTCTATGTGAGTCTATGGGTCTCTATGTGCGTCTACGGGTCTCTATGTGAGTCTACGGGTCTCTATGTGAGTCTACGGGTCTCTGTGTGAGTCTACGGGTCTCTAAGTGAATCTACGGGTCTCTACGTGGGTCTAGGGTCTCTATGTGAGTCTACAGGTCTCTATGTGAGTCTACGGGTCTCTATGTGAGTCTACGGGTCTCTGTGTCAGTCTCCATGTCTCAATGTGGGCCTACGGGTCTCCATGTGAGTCTACGGGTCTCTACGTGGGTCTAGGGTCTCTATGTGAGTCTACGGGTCTCTATGTGCGTCTACGGGTCTCTATGTGAGTCTACGGGTCTCTGTGTGAGTCTACGGGTCTCTATGTGAGTCTACGGGTCTCTACGTGGGTCTAGGGTCTCTATGTGAGTCTACGGGTCTCTATGTGAGTCTACGGGTCTCTATGTGAGTCTACGGGTCTCTACGTGGGTCTAGGGTCTCTATGTGAGTCTACGGGTCTCTATGTGAGTCTGTAAGTGTAATCGCTGTGGTGGTTGAAGCTGAAACCCGGACTGGATCCCAGGATCTCAGCGCTGCTGGCTCAGCGTCTCTGACCGCCGAGTCACTCGGCCACCACGAGTCGATGGGCACAGCCACCCTAGGCAGGGTGGGGGAGCTGGGGGGTGGGTGGGGGGGTGGGTGGGGGGCATCACGGGTACCCACCGGTCGTAGTCGACGACGGCGATGATGAGGTTGACTTGGTCCATGTTCTCGGGCGGAATGTCGAACACGATCTCCTCGTTGTAGACTGGGTTGAGGGTGTTGCGCTTGGTCGACGTCTTCCGCTTCTTGAGACGCCGGCCCGAGCACATGAGCGACACCTTCACGTAGGGGTCTGAGTGCGGGCGGGGGGGGGGGGCACACGGGCGAGGGGTCGCGAGGACGCGGGCACGCAGGGAGACAGGCAAGTGAGAATACACGATCACGTGGAGATGGGGGATACGAGGATATGAGACATGAGAGAACAATAACTGAAGGAAAAATAAATAATAAATTACGGCGTTTCAATCGCAACACAAGCAATCGTCATCAGGTAGAAATATACAGCCGTAGAACTGCTGAACAAGGTTCAGCAGAACAAGGTTCAGCAGTTATACGGCTGTATCATTCTACCTGATGACGATTTCTTGTGTTGCGATCGAAACGTCGTATTTTATTATTGATTTTTTCTACCTACGTGACTTTAACGAAAGAACCAAAGAGTATGGATTCCTGCAGTCACGAAAGCTTCAAATCAAGGTGGAAGAACAGAAGAGCATGTGGAGTGGATGTGAGTGAGTCTACGGGCCTCCGTGTGAGTCCGTGTATCTCCCTGTAAACCCAGGGACTTAATTTCTCGCTGATAGACTGCGGTCACGTGACTGAGGTGTTTCGCTACACATCGCCGTGGCGAGAGCGAGGCATGATGAGCTGTGGTGTGCCGGATGTAGATGTATATTTAGTGACCGAGCTGGCCGGACCCAGATTACATTCAGCCACGTGGTAGTCTGTGGATCTCTCTGTAAGTTCATGGCTCTCTAAATAAGTGTATTCATCGTTCTGTAAGTGTGTGAGTTGATATGTAAGTGAATGTAAGTCTACGGGTCTCTATGTAAGTGGTTGGATCCCTGTGTGAGGCTGGCATCGCTGCCTCACACGTGCGCTCGAGCCACCCGTCCGCCCCAACCCCAAGGCCGTGGGATCCCCAAACGACTCCGAAACACGGGAGCTTTTAATCTGCCCCACCGCCCACGGAATGATTGACACGGCCCTTCGCTCAGCCGCTCGCGACTATAAATCGTAACGACCGCAGCGCTGGCGAGCGGCAGCCGCTCGCTCACAACTTCCATCTGACCGGCGTGAGATCCGGCAGATGAACGGAAAAAATACTTGATTTGATCTTACCTATACGTGTGTTATGCGTTAATAAATAAATAAAATCGTTGTTAAATTGTCAAAATGTGTAATTTATGTATTTACACTACGTTAAATATGTACGGGCATAATCTATTCCCCGGAGTTTAGCCGTGCAGTCATGTGTTAAATTAACTTGTGTTTTTCGCGAACCATATCCAGCCCCACTCGCCCAATCAATTGTTTTTTAGCGCTCCCGTCAGTCACCCCCCCTCCGGCGGTGTGCCGCGAGCGTGCACGAGCGTTGTGTGTGGGCTGCTCAGGTGGCGTTGACGGGAGATGGGCTGATGTGGTACACAAGGCGTCTGGAGCTGAGTGGACTTGCCGATGGCCAGTACCAGCGGTGTCAAGCTCGGCATATGTGGAGGCAGTCGTCCTTCAACAGCAACGGAGGACAGAGGAGCGACGCTCACAACAACGAGCGGAGCGTCAGGTAGAAAAAACTCAGCAAGTTGGCACAGTGGGGGGCACACGTGGTGTGTCTGTCAGTCATCTCAGTCAGTCAACCCATGGCATCTGGGTCTGTCCCATGACCTCCTGCCGACAAGCCTTTGACAGGTCGCGTGGCCTCCAAGTGATGAGAGTGTGGTGAGAGTGTGGTGAGAGTGTGGTGAGAGTGTGGTGAGAGTGTGGTGAGAGTGTGGTGAGAGTTTGATGAGTGTGTGATGAGAGTGTGGTGAGAGTGTGGTGAGAGTGTGCAGAGAGTGTACATCACCTGAGGCCCCCGTGATGTCCATGGCCTTCAGGTTGCGCGCCTTGATGACGGTGAGCGTGAGTCTCCCGGCCGTGGGGAGGTAGCACAGTGAGAACATCAACTCCCCCAGGTCCACCTTCTCCTGCACCGCACCACGCCACACCGGTAAGTCAGCATAACCAGCCACACCACGCCACGCCACACCACACCGTGCCACACCACACCGTGCCACACCGTGCCACACCACACCACAACGCCGCCACCACAGCAGTGTTAGCGCATCGCACCCATGCGGGGTTTAATTTCAGCCGGGTCTGTCTGTGCGTGGGTTGCCCGGATAAAAAAAGTTTGTATTTCCGCTCCCGGTACACCACATCCATACGCCACTGTTATTGTTAAGCATAGTGACAGTTTTGAGATTAAGATACACATGGGTGGTCTCACCGTTTGGCTATTTAACGGTTCAGTTTGTATTTTTCATGTTCTTAAAATAATAAACTGCTGAGATGATGATGGTCGAACGAAATAAAATGAACCCAAAAAATCCCGACACCCTCTGGCTGGCATCACAGCGGAGCGCCGACGACGCTGACAGTCAACTCGCCATGTCCTGCCCCCTCGCCATCGAAACATCGGTGCTCACATCTCCCGTTAAGAGCCCTGAACCAGCGGTGAGAATCCACACTGCTATAGAGCGGGCGCGTCTACTCATAGGACAACAACGATGTTGATCTTCCCCACAGAGTGGTACTCGTTTTATCGATCGCCGGAAGGATAATGGGCTGAGTCAACCCTCACAAAGGGCGATTTGAACTCGCGACCTTCCGATTGCCGCCGCCGTGACCCCTGCCGTGACCCCTGCCGGGTTCGCTAGCGCCCGTGCCCCGAGCCGCACGCGGATTCCCCAGGGCTGGCTGGAGCCGGAAATAACCGAATCGATCAACCCTCTTGGTTTGTAATTTAGTTGTTGTGGTTGTTGTTCTCGTCCATCTATCTCATGCTCGTCAATCCCGAAGCTCGTAATTCCCTTCCCCGATCGCGACGCTACCACTTCGGCCGCCGTCGATGAATAAGAAGGGGGGGTGCAGGGCGGGTGAGCCTCGTCGACTGGAACGTTGGACTTCGCTCCACCGCGACCGCCGATCGCTACCGCCAGCGGCTGCTACCACCAAACTCGCCAGAATTATTTCCCCCTCCTCGTTGAGAGGGTCAACGTGGGACGTGAACAAAGGATGCGCCCCTCTGCTCGGAGTATTTATTTATTTATTCGTTCATTGCCATTTCGCGTAATTGAGTTCTCAGTGCTGGAGACGCGATCCCGACTCCTCTCGCGAGCGGAAAGCTCTCTGGCTCCTGCGAGCTGTTTACAGCGCGGGAGGAGACATTGCCTTGTCAAATTATTTGAGGACATTAATGTGAAAAAAATGTATCGTTTTAAAAAGCTTCTTCGAATGGATAATAACAATAATAACTCGTCTTCGTGCTGTACACACCCTGCTGTGCAGGGGCCAGGAATGAAAAGGAATTTCATTGAATTCTCACTGCGTCAAGAACTCTCGGTCCACAGTTCAGCCCCTCACCCCTCACCCCTCACTCCTCACCCCTCACTCCTCACCACTCACCCCTCACTCCCCACCCCTCACTCCTCACCCCTCACTCCTCACCCCTCACTCCTCACCACTCACTCCCCACCCCTCACTCCTCACCCCTCACTCCTCACCCCTCACTCCCCACCCCTCACCCCTCACCACTCACCCCTCACCACTCACCCATCACTCCCCACTCCCCACTCCTCACCCAACACTCCCCACCCCTCACCCCTCACCCCTCACTCCCCACCCCTCACCCCTCACTCCTCACCCCTCACCCCTCACTCCCCACCCCTCACTCCTCACCCCTCACCCCTCACTCCCCACCCCTCACTCCTCACCCCTCACTCCTCACTCCTCACTCCTCACTCCTCACCCCTCACCCCTCACCACTCACCCCTCACCACTCACCCATCACTCCCCACTCCCCACCCCTCACCCCTCACCACTCACCCCTCACCACTCACCCCTCACCACTCACCCCTCACCCCTCACCCCTCACTCCCCACCCCTCACCCCTCACCACTCACCCCTCACCACTCACCCCTCACCACTCACCCCTCACCCCTCACCACTCACCCATCACTCCCCACTCCCCACTCCTCACCCAACACTCCCCACCCCTCACCCCTCACCCCTCACTCCTCACTCCCCACCCCTCACCCCTCACTCCTCACCCCTCACCCTCACTCCCCACCCCTCACCCCTCACCCCTCACTCCTCACCCCTCACCCCTCACTCCTCACTCCTCACCACTCACCCCTCATTCCTCACCCCTCACCCCTCACTCCTCACCACTCACTCCCCACCCCTCACTCCTCACCCCTCACTCCTCACCCCTCACTCCTCACCCCTCACTCCCCACCCCTCACTCCTCACCCCTCACTCCTCACCCCTCACTCCCCACCCCTCACCCCTCACCACTCACCCCTCACCACTCACCCATCACTCCCCACTCCCCACTCCTCACCCAACACTCCCCACCCCTCACCCCTCACCCCTCACTCCCCACCCCTCACCCCTCACTCCTCACCCCTCACCCCTCACTCCCCACCCCTCACTCCTCACCCCTCACCCCTCACTCCCCACCCCTCACTCCTCACCCCTCACTCCTCACTCCTCACTCCTCACTCCTCACCCCTCACCCCTCACCACTCACCCCTCACCACTCACCCATCACTCCCCACTCCCCACCCCTCACCCCTCACCACTCACCCCTCACCACTCACCCCTCACCACTCACCCCTCACCCCTCACCCCTCACTCCCCACCCCTCACCCCTCACCACTCACCCCTCACCACTCACCCCTCACCACTCACCCCTCACCCCTCACCACTCACCCATCACTCCCCACTCCCCACTCCTCACCCAACACTCCCCACCCCTCACCCCTCACCCCTCACTCCTCACTCCCCACCCCTCACCCCTCACTCCTCACCCCTCACCCTCACTCCCCACCCCTCACCCCTCACCCCTCACTCCTCACCCCTCACCCCTCACTCCTCACTCCTCACCACTCACCCCTCATTCCTCACCCCTCACCCCTCACTCCTCACCACTCACCCCTCACCCCTCACTCCCCACCCCTCACCCCTCATTCCTCACCCCTCACTCCTCACCACTCACCACTCACCCCTCACCACTCACCCCTCACCCCTCACTCCTCACTCCTGACCCCTCACTCCCCACCCCTCACCCCTCACTCCTCACCACTCACCCCTCACCCCTCACCACTCACCCCTCACCCCTCACTCCTCACTCCTCACCACTCATTCCTCACCACTCACCCCTCACTCCTCACCACTCATTCCTCACCACTCACCCCTCACTCCTCACCACTCACCCCTCACTCCCCACCACTCACCCCTCACCCCTCACTCCTCACTCCTCACCCCTCACCACTCACCCCTCACCCCTCACTCCCCACCCCTCACCCCTCACCCCTCACTCCCCACCCCTCACCACTCACCCCTCACTCCTCACCCCTCACTCCTCACCCCTCACCCCTCACTCCTCACCCCTCACCCCTCACCCCTCACCCCTCACTCCCCACCCCTCACCCCTCATTCCTCACCCCTCACTCCTCACCACTCACCACTCACCCCTCACCACTCACACCCTCACCCCTCACTCCTCACTCCTCACCCCTCACTCCCCACCCCTCACCCCTCACTCCTCACCACTCACCCCTCACCCTTCACCACTCACCCCTCACCCCTCACTCCTCACTCCTCACCCCTCACTCCCCACCCCTCACCCCTCACTCCTCACCACTCATTCCTCACCACTCACCCCTCACTCCTCACCACTCACCCCTCACCCCTCACTCCTCACTCCTCACCCCTCACCACTCACCCCTCACCCCTCACTCCCCACCCCTCACCCCTCACTCCCCACCCCTCACCACTCACCCCTCACTCCTCACCCCTCACTCCTCACCCCTCACCCCTCACCCCTCACTCCTCACCCCTCACCCCTCACTCCTCACCCCTCACTCCCCACTCCTCACTCCTCACTCCTCACTCCTCACCACTGACCCCTCACTCCTCACCCCTCACTCCTCACCCCTCACCCCTCACCCCTCACCCCTCACTCCTCACCCTCACTCCCCACTCCTCACTCCTCACCCCTCACCACTCACCCCTCACTCCCCACCCCTCACCCCTCATTCCTCACCCCTCACCACTCACCCCTCACCTCTCACTCCTCACCACTCACCCCTCACCCCTCACTCCTCACCCCTCACTCCTCACCCATCACCCCTCACTCCTCACCCCTCACCCCTCACCCCTCACTCCCCACCCCTCACTCCTCACCACTCACCCCTCAGCCCTCACCCCTCACCCCTCACCCCTCACTCCTCACCCCTCACCACTCACCTCTCACTCCTCACCACTCACCCCTCACCCCTCACTCCTCACCGCTCACATCCTCACCCCTCACCCCTCACTCCTCACCACTCACCCCTCACTCCTCACCTCTCACTCCTCACCACTCACCCCTCACCACTCACCCCTCACTCCCCACCCCTCACTCCTCACCCCTCACTCCTCACCCCTCACCCCTCACTCCTCACCCCTCACCCCTCACTCCCCACCCCTCACTCCTCACCACTCACCCCTCACCCCTCACCACTCACCCCTCACCACTCACCCCTCACTCCTCACCCCTCACTCCCCACCCCTCACTCCTCACCACTCACCCCTCACCACTCACCACTCACTCCTCACCACTCACCCCTCACCCCTCACTCCTCACCCCTCACTCCTCACCCCTCACCCCTCACTCCTCACCACTCACCCCTCACTCCTCACCTCTCACTCCTCACCACTCACCCCTCACCCCTCACCACTCACCCCTCACTCCCCACCCCTCACCCCTCATCCCTCACCCCTCACCACTCACCCCTCACCCCTCACTCCTCACCCCTCACTCCCCACCCCTCACCCCTCACCCCTCACCCCTCACCCCTCACTCCTCACCCCTCACTCCTCACCCCTCACCCCTCACTCCCCACCCCTCACCCCTCACTCCCCACCCCTCACTCCCCAC